CTTGTTGCCATTACGGACATGCAACAAATTGAATTTTATTGTTTTTTTTTTTCGGAAACGAGACAATATCAGAAAAAAATTTAAGAGACGAAAATATCAGTGGCACATATTGTCTTTGTCAATAATATTCGGTAGGTGGGTGGTTCCCGCAACGCTACTGTTCTTCAGAATTTAAGTTCAATTAATCTTAAATGAACCTCTTATTACAACAAACAGCACTACCAATTTTCAACAAAATTAGTCAAGGGATATTTAAGATATTTTTTAAAACCTTGTTTTTTGAAAAGCATTTTCATATTCATATTCATCTTATTTTTTCGTGCAGAAATTATGTATATATTAAATGCAAGTTTTTCCTATATCTGCACATATTTTGAATATCCTCGGATTTTGTAGTGTCCTATACAGATTGTTCCAATAAGGCGTCTAATAAATGTTATCAGTGTTTTGTTTTACTAGGTTTACACTCAACGACTATTTATTAAGGGATTCTACCATTTTCCTAGTACTATGCAGATATATTTCTCCTCCTACTCTTCCTGTAGTACCAAAACCCCATCGATAGAAGTTCAAACAATTTTTTTACAATATTAATTATACATTTTCGAAAAGAGAGACGCAAACAAACCAGGAAACGGTCGAGTAAAACCACAAAATCGTAAAAATTCACCTTGACTGAGTTGGGCAGAGACGAATTGTGCAAATTCGTTGATATTGTCTGAACGAGAGGTTGGACCATTAGATAATATAAAGGCCGCAAGTGCCGTAAAACACACGCAAAGTGGAGTCTTATTAATTTTTTATTCTTCTATTATGCCTTATTATTACCCCAAATTTATCCATAAAGTTTCGTTTTCTGCTCGAATTAGCCGAGACAGTCAAACATTAATTTGAAATGTGAGCTATGGGCCTAGAGATCTGAAGGAAACACTATGGAGCCTAAAACAAAAGTGATCGGCCGCTTTTTCCCTATTTCAAAGTACCTGATCTATCAAACGAAATCGAGAAACCCCAACGAACACGGTGCACATGTTCGTTATAGAGCTACGTATTTATTATTTACTAACCCGCTAGACCCATGACAATTGACGATCGCGGACGCGTCATAGTAGCAAAGATAACTATTTATTACCTCTAAAGCCTATAAAACGTTTTCCCCCATCGCGTCGCAGCACTCTTAGACCGGAATTACCTGTTTGGTTTCTTAACGGCCTTGAACGCGTTTCCTTCGGCGGAAATTCAAGTGAACCTGTTTATACGATACAATTAAACTTATAGTGATTCCCTCGTAGACGAAAGTTTCCATCTCGCCGCCTACGTGACGTTGCACACACGCGAACGCACGCTGGGAACTCCCGATGACTGTCAATGATATCTTTTACTGTTGATTTTCGTTTAAGGACGGCCCGTAATTTCCCATTGTTTTTTCTTCGCGTTTGATCTATACGCGGCCAAAAGATATATATAATATGTTAAAGAAGACCTGATGGCGAAATATTTTCGCCCGAAATCTAGTGTCTTGCTAGTTGATGTAATTCCATATGAATTGTGAGTTGATTCAATTATTTTAAATTAATCGATATTCTGTTTTTACATGAGCATTACATACGATGTGGATTTTTGAAAATTGGGTTATGTAAGAAATATCACTTAAATTTTTTTATCGGAAATCACAGGACCCATAGAAAAATCCTCTAACGTAGCCAACTTTGTCATTATCGGTCAACCAGCGTCAGCGTAATTTTTTTTGAGAAGGTCCATTCAACGTGCGCATGCTCGAGATTTAAAATTTGCTTTTTAAGCAATGGCAGCCCTAATGACAAATTCTGACGCAAGATCCATAAAACCTTGCGGCTTTCAACAGACAACATGGCCGCTGACAGATCGTCGATGTTCCGCAAAAAAGGAGTTAAGGTTTGGAAAAGCAGTGCAGAATTAAAGCACCCACGTCATCGTCAGTATAAGACAGTAATTGACAAGAGATATTTCTTATGCTTGTTCTATTAAAAATTCAGCTTGTAGCTTAATTGCTTTCTTATATATAAAAATAAAGTTAAGCTACAAAATATTAATGTAATGTTAGATATTATTAAACTTTCCGTTGTCGATTCAGCAAAAAATTTGGGGCTGAGCATAGATTGTGATGTAAGATTTCGTGAGTATTTAAAAAATATCTTTCAAAAGGCACATTTCTCACTAAAAATCTTATATAGTAACAGGCATATTTTAAATTTTAGACTTAGGACACAATTATGTAAGTCACTTGTTCTCTCACATTTTAACTACTGTGATGTAGTGTATGGTTTTTTTATCGATAGCGAGTGTAAGTGCCGTATTCAAAGATTGGAGGATGCTTGTGTTCGTTTTATTATGGGTCTTCGAAAATATGACCATGTATCTGCTGCATATCGCCAACAAAACGGAACAAAGAAGAGCCCTTCATTTCAACATATTCGTTACGAAAATTATCTATAACCTCGATTCACCCGCTTTGCTGAGAGAGCGGCTTACTCCTAGGGGTACTATCCATTCTGTGAATGTAAGATACAGGTACAGACTAATGATGCCACAATCAGAGTGCCTTGTTTCGTAGATCTTTCACATTCAACGCAGTTCGTGTTTACAATTCATTGTCACAGGAATTCAGTAACTTAAATTTATATTCATTTAAAAAAAGGTCCAAAGATCATTTGTTAAAAATACAATTTTCCTAATAATGTGTTACTAATTATGTTATTAGCAAGGGATTATATTGAGTTATCACTTTCTTTATCTTCAATTGTATTTTCTGGAGTGTGTAGTAGAGTTATGTTGTTCTTCCGATTTTGCATTTTTCATATTTTATTTGTTAATAAATAGTGCCCAATTTATTAATTATATAAATAGATCTTTAGCGGTTCAGTAGAGTAGCTATTTAAAGCTAGACTGCCCGCTTTTGAGCTATCTGTTTACTTTGTTTTGAAAAATATTAATATTGTATATTGTTTTTTTTTTGTTATAATAAAGGTTATTTATTATTATTATTATTATTATTATTATTATTATTATTATTATTATTATTATATTTCCTGTAATTCTTGTACACTAACACATATTACCCAAACATCCTTCGTAGCTATTTAAGTGTACTTAAAAATGTAGAGAATTCTATTTAGTAAATATTTGTGTAAGTCAATTTTCCAGTTTGTTAAATGTCAAATATATAGACACCACTGTTTCTCTAAGATCTTGTTAGATGAATGAAAACAACAATGGCACAGGGTACATTATGTTCGGATGTAGCAACTCAGTCAGTTGGGAGGTGACGCATGCGCAAAAGATCGCGGCCGTAGTAGGGCCACTATATTATTTTATAGCTATATGCCGTTTAAGTTACGCCTCAAAAATTTTCCAATGTATAGCTGTTGGTGTTGTGCCCGAGATATTTATCAATATTTCGAAATATTTTAACAATAGAATCTTAATATTGTTATTAATGTTGCCTATTTTATTTAGATTGCAGCAAAATGGTTCTACCACTACCACGATCTTAATATTTTCATAAATTTTATACGGCTTTTCGGAAGTTCTTAACCAAATAAAAAAAAATATATTAACTTTACTAAAAAAATGTTTCTAAGAGGTCCTGCTTCTTGAAAAAATTAATTTGCACAAGAATATTTGTATATTGGACATACAGAGTGGCTTCAAAAAGTACCTGGTTTAAAACTAATAAAGAAGCGCGACCAATAGAAAATAGAGGAACTTATTTTTAAGTTTTCAAAATGTTCGCTAAACGTTTCATTACCAATTTTTCACCATAGCTAAAATGTACTTCATTTTAAAACAGATATAAACTCCAGACTCTTTTGTAAAAAACTTTTTTTCTCTATCTCTTTGCGGAAATCTTAACGAATTTAAACACGTTGGGATCGCTGAAAGAAACTTATATTGGCCTATCAACGTTTTTGTAAATTTGACAATTGTAATTATTGCTTGTAATTGCCACTGGAGCGCGTTTTTCTACATAATTACGAATAATAACTGGTTTCTGTAAAAAATGTGCAACATGACAGTTTTTACAAAAGATAGCCAAGTGAGGGACTCACACGCCAATGAAAACTCTATCTCCATATTTCTTTCCTAACCTAAAATATATGAGAAAAAGAATTTAAAACCCGAAAAAATCCAGACTTTGGGAAATATTTACCCGTTGTAATAAAATTTTAATTGTCTTTAAAACTAACCAAAACTATCCAAAATATTACCGGTGAGATTTGCTTAAATTTCCTAAGAACCGAAACTTTTGGTTTTATTAACGGCCTGGCATTAAATTCCCGACCGGCTCTTTGGTATCAGCGTGGTGGAGTTCCTTCTCACAGCGCAGCTGGGGTCAACGGATATTAGGATAGAACTTTTGCACGAGGATGGATATGGCGCCATATGGATGTTCCCTGGTCACTTAGGTCACCGGACCTTACACCCCTAGATTTTTTCTTGTGGGGTCATTTGAAGGAATTAGTCCACAAGCACAGACCATTCTGTGATTGTGAACGCTGTATTTTCGAGAAGGCCAATCATTTGTATGCAAAAGTGGAGACCTATATTTTTGAGTCATTTAGTTTCACTTGCTATTATTAAATTAGAAGTTGATACATCATAGAAATCATAGAGCACTTAAATTGTAATACTATTTTAATATATCACGTTTTTATCGAGTTATTGTCAATTGTTTCTGTTGTAGCCCATTCCGCACGTCTTTACGACTCTTAGTTTTAGAGATATACCCAACGTCTTTTGTTAATTTTAAATCCGGTACTTTTTGAAGTCCCCTGTATGCAGAACATACACAAAGCAGAAGTTTTTTCCCGCTTTCAAAAACACGCTGTATAGGTATTTTTCCATTTATTAATGTATACAAGTATATTTTTGACAATTTTAGAAAAATCCGTATCAGTTTCGTTCTTTTAAAAAGTTGTTAGGTAAGTCAAGGCCCATTAATAATTAATACTTATTTTCAGACAACGGACCATTGTCCGCACATTGCGCAACAGGTCCGTGGGCGGACTACGGCAATTGCTACGGAACGTACGGAACTCAGTCGAACTACTGTGACCCTCATCAGGATTCACCCTACGTTACGACCATGCATTTACCGACCGGTGAGCACAGTTTTATATAGTATATAAATATAAAAAAAAGTTTTTATAAATAAATAATAATATACAATAAAATAAATAATAAATAAATAAAATTAGGATTTTAACATGAAGTGATTAAAAATTCTAGATAACCCAAAAAATCTGTTTTAATAACACAGGTCTACAAAATGAAACTTTTTAACCGACGTTTTTATTTTGAAAACTGATTTTACGTAATTTTGGTAGGCTGATTTCAAAAATTCTATGCATTTTTTTGTGCCACGTAAGGTATTTTGCAAATATTAAAGAAAAAAAAACGTGGAATTCTAAAAGTGAAAAAAATTTTTAACTCAGACTTCTCTTAAATTTACCGAATGTGCAACGGGAACCGAAGCCAATTCGTTACCATTGTGCAATAAAACGCCTTTTAAACTACACTTAATTGAGTCAATAAACAGGCGTCATTCTTCTGTTATATACGGCATAATTTTGAATCTAAGTCAGGAATATTGTTACACTAGCGGTCATTCCTGAGCAAAATATTGACATAACTCTTTTTCGCGATCCCGGTAAAAGCTTGATGTGACACTAGGTGCCAGCAAATGCTGCTCCCGAAGTCTGGACGCTAACAATTCGGGCTCTCTGAATTCAGGTGTGAAATCTGAGGCATCTGGGTCCAAGTTAGATTCCTCTGATTCTGGCGATATGATGTTTTCTATTTCTTTTGAGGCGGTAGTATCGGTACATCTGGTCCATTATGCACCAGTCGGATAGCAGAGTCAATATTGGGATACGCAATTCGTTTATTTTTTCTGTTGAATCCTTGACTAATACACGAACAAAAATGGTTTACCTTTGCTTTACTACGACATGACTACAACAAAAGTTATTTGGATTATTTACACAATGTCTTCTTTTCATATTTATACGTTCCAGAACACTAGAAATACGCTACAACGAAGGCAACAGCCGCGAACACAGGACCACGATGACCAATGCAATCACGCTTCTGCGCCAACTCTGTTACTTTGCAGAGAAATCTAATATTATCCATTGTTGCCAAATCAAAACAATTCATTTAAACATCATGCCTAGCATGGAACAAACATATTCATATTAATAAAATAACATTTTTAAGATATATAGCGCTATAAAAAAATGACGCGATAGAGCAAAAATATGGCCTCTTTTGGAAAAAGGACCCCCAAAAATATAAAGACCTATATGTTATTTGAAATTTATGGAGTGGTAGGTCGTATATGTGCTAATATATCTAAAAAGATTCAGCTCTTTAAAATACAGCGATCGGTTTGGAAGGGCAGGGTTAAAATGCCTAAACAGGTACAGTGCCACCACTAAATTTTGGAAAATTTTGAACCTGGACATTGTTTGTGCTGCAAACGTAATAAACAAAGTAATTTATGAAAATTGACTTACCCGACGAAGTAGGACATTTTTTATTAAAAAATATTTAAAAAATAAAAATAAAAAAATTATTTTGGTAGACTCTAATTTAAAGCAATAGAAATCGAGCCACCAAGATGGACTAGACTACTTTAATAAAGTGTTTTTCTTTTAATTTATCTCTCTTACGCTCTATTTTAAATGTTCAAATCCTCTTCAAATTTGATGCAAAGTTAACGTGGTTTTAACATTTTAAATCCAAATCAAGTCTGGTTGATTTTATTGCAATTCAAAGAGGTAAGTGACTTAAAAAGTATAATAAAAAATGTTCCCGTACGATTCGGATTTTAGTGGTAACGCAGGTTATTAAGTAGTTGTTTATGACCTGCGACCTACCATATTTTACGAACTCACCACGCGATAAATATATTTTTTAAAACCGAGCTTTGCGGTATTTACAGGAATTTTTTAGTTACTTATCAATGCGACCGGGCCGCCGTACACCGCCGTAGATTAAATGGCGATTAACATATTAAATTATATTTATTTGTTCGAAAATTATCGCTTCTAAGGAAAAAATTAAGTCGTTCCGATTCGAATATAATTAGTTCGGTTAATTGCTTCCCCCTTTGAATACGGGGGGCATCACGGAAAATTACAATTTCAGAGTGCGCTTTTTTTTTCATATATTTTACAGTATATTTTGACCGTAAACAAGGATATCTTTTTGTATAACAAATTGTTTTAGGCAATACCATTTTTGTGCAACAGAAATGAAAGGTCCCCATAAAAAAAATCAGACATAAAAAAGTGCAGCAGCAGCAGTATTTTTTATGGCGTTATTCGCGATTTAAATTCCATTTGGAGTTCGCTTTGAAGCATCGTAGCTGTGCCAATCATCTACTCCTTATTATGCGCTAAGCAGCTTTGAATTTTAAATGCTTTTTGTGCCTCTATTGTGCTTCTGCGGACCACTATGGACTTTCGCAAGATCGATGTTATTTTATTGTTCATGCACCCTATGTAAAGTCACGTCGAACTTCAAAGTAACTGCAAACTTTGGTAAATTAAAAAATTTGTATCAATAATACCGATTTAAAATGACACTTTTCAAATATCTCGAGCACCCTGTATGGTGGACGAAAACCGTGAGTAGAAAATTGTAGCTCTCGACACAGTTTAAACCAAATCATCTCATCTTTTGCCGCAAAAAAAAAATCATAAATTAAAAAAATATATTTCGCGTTATGTTATTGCTCCCAATTTAAAGAGTCCAGACTTCTACTTCTCTCCCAAGTCTGAAGTCGGTAGCTGCAAATTTGGAGTACTTATTATGTTTTTTAATATTGCACGGAATACCGCGAACAACCTGTACAATACTTAAAAAAAAGTTTATGCTGTCTATATGGGCTATATCACCATGTAAAAGAAACTGATATCTAAAACACAGATTTGAAATTATTGCCAATTTTCAATAATAGGGGGACCCATTTTTCAGTTTTTTTGAATTTGCGGCGCACCCTGTATATTTTTGAAAAATTGTCAAAAATAAAAGTTTATGGAGTCGTTTCCACTGCGTCTTCCGGTTCAAGAATTTTTTCTGTCTTGTAAACGGTTTTTGAAAAATCGTCGTTTTTACAGCCCCCACATTTTCAATAGGTTCCGTCACGGGGCAAAGCTGCAATTATGCGCCAAATATGAAGTCAGGGCCGTTTCTTATAAGCTTATGTACCTCGTGGAGGGTTAAAAATTTCTATTTTGTAGCTCCAACGGTTCGAAAGTTATTTAGGAAAAACCAAAAGACGAGAACGGAGAACAGACAGACAAAAAAAAATTTTTTTCAACGGTGATCATTTCTGTACCAACGGCCATCCCGTAGGACTTACCGTTACCAAGATATAAAATTTTTATACCAGCACAGATACTTTCGAAAATTCAATTTCACCGATTTTCGAAACTAACAAGAGAGTTGATAACCGACGATTTTTGGGCCGGATGGTGATGTGAAAATGCATTAAGGTATACAGAGAAAAAGATGCTTGATGCTCTAAAACCTAAAATATCCAGAGACATTAATTTGCAAGAGCAAGAGCAATTTAGGTATAATCTTATTTCTTACATTCTCTCTTTTTACACTTATAGCTTCTTCTATCTGAGAAGATGTCTAAAATAACCCATACTTTAAATTTATTTTCTTCGATAGAAACAATGTTACTTGAAGGTTCCCTAGACTCAGCAATATTACGTTTCCACTTTTTAATATTAAGGGATCTATTACATACTAAATAATTTAATTTCTACATAATTGCGACAAATAAATTTCAATTTGAGCAAATACGTTAACATTCCATTAATTTATTCCAAGAAATCATTTTTGTATTCCGGTTAATAATAAACGTGTGTATTGTTAAGAATTGCTTAATTCAGAGAATAAATCATATAATATATACTTTGTGAATTTCGTTTTGTAGAAAATTTCAGGAATTTTTATTGGCCCAATAAGAATATCATTTACACAATTTTAGGAAAAATTACTCTCTGTGTATCGGTCTGTGTGCCAATATTGCGTCTGATAAGAATACGAGATTATTCAATGGAGAAACGTATATTAGGGTGTACAGGGTTTATAGGATCATCAGCGTAGCGTTGCCAAAGTTTTGGATTAAGATGGAAGATGTAGAAGGCTTTCTTAATATATTTGCGATGTTTGATTCATCAACAACCCACGCATGTGGAATGTAGAAGATTTGTGGAAGTTTGTTTAAAGAGTTTTCCTTCCGCATTTGCGAGGTAACATATTTTGCTTCAGAGATCTACCTCCAATTTGCTCCAATTGCAATCGTGTCTCATATCTCTCCGACTTATTTTGTGACATCCATCTTTATTGAGCAATCTGTCTGGTCGGCCACTTTAGTTTTTGTTTCGGTTTTGTTAATATTAGTTTTATTTATCTCTTTTATAGTCCCTTTTATGTATTATACATATGATTTGATGATGATATTGTGTTCTATTCCAGTTCTGCCGGAAGCTTCGTCCAACGAGTTCATTTCCACGTCTCTGACGACGTCGTCGCCGCCGCCCAACTTCAACAGCGCAAAGTCCGAACTAGATACGTTGGCCGGTCGGTATCCCGAGAACTCCTACTGTCCCAACAACTGGTCTACATATCCCGCCTACCCGAACAACAATTGCTACAACACGTCGTACAACAACCAGCAGTACATCAACCAACCCACCCCCGTGATGTTGTATCCCACGTCGCTGTATTCTACGGTCAACCAGAACCAGATACACTTCCACCTACATCCCCCTAGCGATTCCAGGAGCAGCGACGCGTATCTCACGGATTCTTCCGGAAATTTACCGAGCGTAGGGCTAGCCTCGGGTAGCGGTAGCAGGCCGGATTTGGTGCCTACGTCTTCGGGCGAGTTGAATTCCCACGTGCAAGGGGAAGAGATTCAGGATAGCAATAGGGATCAGCAGCCGAGCGCCGATCCCGTGTGGAGACCCTACGAGAGACTGTTCTGAGGATTTTTGTTTTAATTTCGCGAACCGTTTATGTGCGGAGTGTCCACGGGCGGAGCCAGGAAATGGTTTCTGTATGGGTGTACAGGGTGTTTCAGTGACATAGGAAGTGAGTTGTTCAATTATTATTTTCACATTATATTTTGTTTTGCTGTCCTTTTTTTTCTATTATTTTCAGCATATTTTAATATTGATTTAATAAATATATTGAGTCTACCATATTAACCTTCCATCCCCGCTTATTGGCACTTTTGTTAGATGCTGCAAATTGAATATTTTTTTATCTCAATATACAAACAACGTTGCTCTAAAAAATTCTTTTTAAAAGTGATACAATCTCTTAAAGCATAGTTTAAAAACTTTTTCCCCCTGCGCACTTCGTCCAAGGACACCATAGTAATATTTTTGAATATTCGCGAGCGACCATTTTGAAATTTGTTTTTTTTTTTCTACTTTTCCGTTTTACTTGACGATTTTCTGAGATACATATCAACTCTTTTGTGATCGACATATGTAATTCTGTACAGCATACGGTAAATGTCAAAGTAATAATTTATACATATCTGTAAAAATAGTGAAATAAATGTTTACCATATATTTGCTTTGACGTTTTTTAATTGGACGACCTTTCCTTTTACCGCAAGGACATTTCGCTTGTGCCATTAATAAAAATTAATTAACAATCGTCAATCCAGTGCCTATCAATACCGTTAAACATTCACTAAAACAATAATTGAGACTATAAATTTCGAGCTCGAGTTTGCGGATTTTCGAACCGCAACCACAGGAATAGCATTCGTCGATAGGTTTTCAGGCGGAATTGGGACAAAGATAGCTTTTGCCTGTGGAGCATTTAAACATACATAACCACAAATGTGACCACAATTTTAGAAGTTTTGAAACTTACAATGATAGTGCTTAATTTAAGAATCAACCGGATTTTCGCAGCAGTTTGCTGGCCTAGCACGACACTAGCCAAATATACTCGTCATTTATCGGTTACGCCCTAGTAGGTTATCAATAGGAAACGCAAGAGTGGATCAAATTTTCATTCACTGGGTATCACTCCCGACAATTTTAATTAATATTTTTCAAAAGTAGCAAACAAATTAACTGCAAATATTGCTAATACTTCCAACTGAGTCTATGATGGCGCATACGGATAAGCATTTTTCTTTCCATGAAGTCTCATATATTGAAATGAGAGACATCCTGGCCAGTTTTAAGTGTAATGATAGTAAAGAAAGATATAAATATCAATATTATCCATTACATTAAAGACTTAATAGTTATTCCATTCACTAAGCTGACGAACAGGTGTATATCCGATGGTATTTTTTTTAACTCCTTGAAGTTGTCCAGAATGATTCCAGTTTTCAAGAAGGGCGATGTAAATGATATAAATAATTATCGTCCAATATCTATTATCCCCACAATCGGCGAAGTTTCTGAAAATATTCTATATTCTCAATTAGCAGCTTACTTCGAGGACAACCAGTTTGGGTTTAGACGTGGTATATCGACTTGTGGAGCGATTAGTAGTGTTCTTGATTAGCTTTACGCAGTTTCTAAAGGCAGAGAGTACTCCGGCACAGTCCTATATGTCCGGCATCCTGGTCTTCTGAGTAAATTGTAAGGTATGGTGTGGATCCTTCATCGGTTGGATTCCTTCAAAGTTATCTTTCCAACAGGAGGCATATCGTGGTCCTGAATGTAAAATCATCACAAATTAGAGTTGTTGAACATGGAGTACCCCAAGGATCCATTATGGGCCCTCTTCTATTCTTGATCTATATAAACGACCTCCCTGAGCATATTGCTGACATAGTTTGTACATTGCACCTTTTCTTGTAGAAGTCATTCTGAGAACGACTTGGTGCACAGGATGGAGGGGGCCCAGTCCGGGGCTAGTGAGTGGGTTCGTGCTAACAAACTTAACCTCAATGAATCAAAAACACAACAAATTATATTGGGTTGTTCGGAAAGTCATTTCGTTTTTTTTGGGGAACATGAAAGACAGTTTTCGTATAATGAATAAATATTTTATTAAATTATATATTGGCCATTCTGGTCCAACACCTTTTGCCATCTTTCTGGCAGTAACATAATTCCCCTCTCATAAAAGTTTTGGTCCTTGCTGGCAAAAAACTGGTTCAGGTGGTTTTTGACATCTTCATTTGAGGTAAAGGTTTTGCCATCCAAAAAATTTTGCAGGGACCGGAACAAATAGTAGTCGGAAGGCGCCAGTCTGGAGAATATGGTGGATGTTGCAGTACGTCCCATTCAAGCTGTAAAAGTTTTTGGCGAGTGACCAAACTTGTGTGAGGTCTCGCATTATCCTGGTGGAACACTACACCCTTCCTGTTGATTAATTCGGGCCTCTTCTCTTTAAGTGAATCATTCATTTTGTCCAGTTGATGACAATAGACTTCTGAATTAATCGTTGTATTGTCCGGCAAAAGCTCAAAAAAAACGATTCCTTTGACATCCCACCAAACGGAGAGCATCACCTTTTTTTGGTGAATGTTGGCTTTTGACACGCTTTGAGCCGGTTCATCTTTTCTGCTCCATGACCTCTTGCGTTTAACATTGTTGTATACAACCCATTTTTCGTCACCAGTAATAATCCGCTTCAAAAATGGATCATTTTCTTGACGTTTGAGGAGCTAATCACACACGTCAACGCGACGACAAAAATTTCGCTCCGTAAGGACATGGGGCACCCACACATCGAGCTTCGAGGTTAAGCCCATGCCTTTCAAATGGCCATAAACAGTCGAATTCGACAAATTTAATCTCGCACCGATCTCTCGTGTGGTTATTCGCCGATTTGCATCAACTAATGCCTTTATCGCATCTTTGTCAGCTTCGACCGGCCTTCCAGACCGTGGTGCATCTTCGACATCAAAATTGCCGGATCGAAATTTTGCAAACCAGTTCTGGCACTGGCGTGCTGTTAACACGCCTTCTCCATACACATCCGTCAATTTTTTTCTCGCTTGGACAGCATTTTTACCTTTTCTGAAGTAAAAAAGTAAAATATGACGAAAATGCTGCTTATTGCTCTCCATATTTAAAAGGGCACCAACCAAAAACTACTGCGTAGAATTAATAGAACTTTTTCACACACAAGCCTTGCAATATCAGCTCTCAAGACATATAATGGTTATGCGGCTTAAGTGTGAAGTTGGTTTCGAAAAAACGTAATTAAGTCCTCTGACGGGAAAAAACGAAATGACTTTACGAACAACCTTATATTTTCTTTACGCGAGTCAACTTTCAACAACCCATTACACGTGAACAGTCTTGGGGTTCTGCTTGATCTGAAATTGACGTTCGAGCAGCATATTATTGGTCTTTGTAAGAAGCTCTCAAGGGTGGGGTACTTGTTGCGCGGTTTGGTTAGTTTTGGTCGTTAATTTGGCGAGGTCTCTCAAAGTATAGTCAGAATGGTATATTTTTCACTCTTTCAGGGGTTATTTAGCTACGCAATTTTAGTTGGTTAGAATCACACTTAAAATTAATTACTATGGCCACTAACGTTACTTTGTATCCAAATATTCTTCAATTTTTAAAACTTCCGAACTTTTTCCCATATTAATAATAGTAATTTTATTAAATTTATTACACCCCGACTTAAACATTTTCTGGAATTGAATGTACAACGATATAGAGGAAGATACATACACACTGTTTTTTAATAGCATATAAATCTAACACTTCGAAAAGTTGCGCTTTCTTCTAATTGCATTGAAAATAAATATGGTGCAATGCCAAGTTATTTTATGTTTTTAAAAGATCATTTTGCAAGCAGTTTTCAAAAAGTTTTTGAACTTATTCATGATTATTCAAAAGTACGCAGGTTTCCATTAAAACCTTCTTGTTTAATGAATCAACAAATGAATTTGATTTGCATTTAATGACAAGTGATTTCGACGGATTGTTCCACACTGCTATTGATATCAGCTGACATGTGGTAAGATGGTCGTAATTACTTTTTGGGGGAGGCCCCACCAAAAATCAAAACGATATACTTTGAGATACACTGTACTTCGACGTCCGTCAACGTCAACGAGAATGTGCGAGGAAACGCCAGTACCACGAAAATTCACGCTCCTGGGGTGCGTAAGTGGCGAAGACTTTCAAAAATGTAGATACGCGCTGGCCAGATTACACTCGTGTCTACCGGGTGAATTTGGCGAGCCAGAAATAAGACCCCTGCTAGACGTCGAATGGCATCGACTCATAGTCAAGTACCAGAGAAAAGTGGGAGGCAAAACGTGGGACGTCAAAGGCAAAGTCCTGGTATTGCGCGACGGTGAAGCCGTTGGCGACTTCGAGGATCTGTCGGAGATGATACGGAAATCATGGAGGCTCACCTTAGAAGCTGATTGGCACCAGCTCGGCTGTGAACACCTACGCTCTTACCTGAAAGCGATACTCGATCGAGGAGTAAGGATGTAAAACAAAAATAACCGGTTTGGAAGGGTGCATTTTGACAATTTAACCAAAATTTACAAAAACGAAGGTCATTACATCATGGTTAGTTTTGGTTAGTTTGATTTAGTTCAAGTTTAGGGTAGGCTTTTACCTGCGATATATTTTGACGGCTTGTGTTTTTTGGGGTTAGGAATTTGTGCTTTGTTGTCCTTAAAAACATTGTTTATTAAATGGAAATACAGCTAATGATCAGCAAAAATAACATCGAAGAGGGTATCATTTCTGCCAATATTTAAAATGGCGTCATACACAGGTCAATGATAACCGAAGTTCAAACCGCTTATTTTCGTTTCGTCAGCACAATTTCCGTGTAGAATCTAGCCCGTTGGAGCTAATGATGTTTTTTTAGAGGCAGCTGGTGTATTTGACAATTGCCATAAGTAATCGAGTAATAGGATCCCTACTGCTGGAAGTTATTGCTAATTACAAGGTCGCTATAAAGACCCTTTATGGTCTTTTATTTTAGCTCTACAATGACCTGGTACCTCTGACGTGTCAAAACTTCTTCGAAAGATGTCAAAATGGATACGCCGGCACTCCCGTCCATAGGTAAAGCCCATAACGTCTAAAACTCACTGGCTTTTGCTTTTATCGGCGGAACAAAACAACGAGCTGTAACATTTTTCGCACTGTTTCACGTGTATGTATAGAGTTTTCACAAAATTTAAATGTTCATATTCAAATTTCATTATACCAATTTTGTAAAGAACAAGAGCCATCTGTACGACACTAGCGAAACTACAAGGTTCGCTTTGAGATCGTGGTTCGACATGCTTTAGTCAAGCCCTGGTCCATAGATAGCGCAGCGATGGATTTTTGGTGGTTGCGCAAAAATACTGCCGGAGTTTTTTATTTGGTTGTTTTCTGTATTTAAATTAATTAATGAATATATTTCTCCGTTAAAAATTACGTATTGCTATCTTTAAAGGGTCGTGAAAGGCTGTTGGATTCAGTGCGGCGGATTCGATTTGGAACCCATCGACATGGCCTGCGAAAACTACGCAGTGCCCCACGACAAAAGGGGCGTGGCATCCATGTGTAACGCGGGACCGCACAAAGATAACAGCACCCAGTTCTTCGTCGCTCTCGATGCCGCACCCTGGATGGATCGTAAATACGTAGCGTTCGGACAGGTGATACAGGGAGAAGAGGTGTTGACCCAAATTGAAAATGTATCGACGTACTACGAATCACCGATCGACAAAGTAACGATCGTAAAAGCCGGAGAGTATTCGATAACCTTAGAAAACGGAACCTCTTGGCAGAGATCTACATCTATAATACCTGCGGTGTTAGAATCCGAAAAACATAATCTAACACGAGACTCTTTCTTTTCGCATAGTCGATTTGTCGATGGACTTTATAGCCTGTCAACCGACTTAAAGAGTTATGGACCGTTTAGACATTTGCAGGAATATTTGATAGACAACGGCGAATGTAAGGGCGAGATTCAAGCGACTGCACAAACTCATGAATACAAGCATGCACATCAAATGGGCAATTAGCTTAACATAAGGAACCACAAAACCTATAAAAAGGGAAAATGTTAGCTTTTTATAGCGATGAAAATTTGGAACACCCAAAGCGGAAAAAAATTCTAGCAAAGGCTGTAAGTAATACATCTGCAATCTGCAAAATAGGTATACTTTTTTATAACATACCAATGGTAAGTCTAACAGTCAACCAGCCATGAATCCACATCAGTCATCTTTCACATTTATCTCTGCTTTTTCATTTTCATTTCACACATTAAGGGGTATGTTGTTTGTTTTCTTTAAATTCAGCTCTTGATATGCATGCTTGTTGACCTATGAGAACGACTGTGGGTAAGTTGGTAGAATTTTGTGAACCAAAGTCATTTCCAGCTAATGAGGATGAACGTATTGGTTCTGCGTCAAGTGACTTGCTCGCGCACCCAAAGAAAAAGGAGATAATACAATATAGTTCTGCTATATCTATGAGCGATGCCAAATTATAAATTGCAGAACAATAAAATAATATTTTCACACACGGTGTTTACCTTCCAGTGGTTGGTTTTCTGCGTAATTATAGAAAGAGGAATAATCCAAATCCCAATTCAAAATGACTATTTACCATTCGTAATTTTTTATATTAGCTGAAGGGTTTATTTATTTTGTTACTGCCTTCTGTAAGAAACCTAATTATACACGGATCTAGCATGCGGAGAGCATCATTTTCCCACAGATCCAGGATATTACCGCACAATTTTAGAGCAAAGGATGTTTTCGAAGATATGACCGCATGGCTTGAAATGTCAGTGAATGTATGTATTCGTGGTGTTTTGCAAAAATTTACTTACAAACTAACGGTCGTAGAAAAAGTATAGTATGCAATAAGTTTGGTAAACTTGCATTATTGCATAAAGTACTATTAAAATGACCTGTGATTTTTTGTGATAACTTAATCTAGTGACTTTAAACATCACAAGTTCGTGGTTCATCTTTGGAAAACTTCATCTATAGGCATTTTTTTTCTCCATCGGGCGACATCTATTGCACGGCAGGTGAATAATTATAGTTCTCTTTTAGCGTGCTGACGAACCAGCACTAATTTTTTTAATCGCCCATAGAGGGCGTCGGTTTTCCGCAGATATTACGTGTCCCTCTTTTTAAACCAGCAAAACGCGCCGGTCTCAACGTACTTATAAATAGAAAGGCCTGGAAATTGGTTAATAATAACCCGGGCACATTGTTGGATAGTAAAACTGACCATGGCGAGACCCAAAGAGAATGTATACCGCGAAATTTGTAGCGAGAAAACTCTTCAATCCAACGGGAAGGGTTTCTTCTTGACGTTTGTAGAATGTGTGGAACAAAATGCGGGCAAAGAATGGATAGAAACCAGGTTCGGCCGGCTCAAGACCGACAAGGAACGCTTAAAGACTGTTTTCGTTGAAGCAGCGACCGGCGAAACTCTCAAACGGTTCCTATCGAACGTGCGCGAAGTTTACCGACCGAAAAACGCGGAGTTCTCACGAAAAAAACGGGCCGAAGCCGAAACGTCGCTCGAACGAGGCGAGCACCAGAAATCTTTCGTGCTCTTCAGCCAGAGCGTGTTGCGAGCGCCCAGACAAGACCTGCCTCTAGCCCTCTGGGGTAGATCTCAGGCGCTTCTAAAGATGAACAAATTTTCGCTGGCCCTATCGGACGTCCAACTGGCCTTAAAAGAAGGCTTGGCGGACGAATACAAAGCTCTGGCTTTCTGGAGTATGGGCGTATGCCACAAGGCAATGGACGACGCGAATAAAGCCAGGGTTTCGTTCGGTTTGGCTGAAAAACTTTTAGTGAACGACGCCGGACTCTTAAAATCGCTCAAATGCGACGAAACGCGCACGGTCGCCGAAGAAAAACCGAAAAAACGAAAAATAAAGACGCCCGAAATATTAAACGAGTCGGTCGGCAGTCTCGCCGGTGCTAGTGCGAAGCTATCGCTGAAAAAAAGCGATGAATTGGGACGCTACGTGGTAGCTAACAAAAATATTTCAACGGGGGAGACTTTGGTGGTGGAAGAGCCCTACGCGGCTTGTTTGTTACCAGAAATGTTCGGTACCCACTGTCACCATTGCTTCGCCAGGTTAGAGTCGGCCGTAGGGTGTACCGAATGCTCGAGCGTAGCTTTTTGCTGTACCGCGTGCAGGGACCGAGCAATTTCGACATATCACCGGTACGAGTGCAAGTACCTGGACCTGCTCATCGGCTCCGGCATGAGCATTCTGTCGCACACTGCTCTGAGGATGATCACACAGTACGGACTCGAACGTTGCCTCAAAATATACGAGAACAGAGACGAGGAAAACGTTTATCGGTTGTGCTGCAACGCCGACAAGAGGACGTCCGGAGATTTCTTGCAGAGGACCCTGATGGCGGCATTTCTGCTCAAATGTCTTCAGGAATCGGGATTTTTCGGCAACACAAGGCAAGATACTCACGGTAAGCTCAGGTGGTTTTACTTTCGTGCAAGCTTCTTAATGTCAGAGAATAATAAAATATAAATTTGGGATTATTAAACAGGGTGGACAAGTTCCAATAAATTGCACTTCCAAAATTCGTTCCTAAATTAGGGTCCCACTAATTTGCATACAATACAAACAATAATACAGTGAAAGCTCCCATAAGCGGACACTCACGGTTTCATAACTTTTGTCCGCTTATGTGAGGTGTCCGTTTAAAGGATAGTGTGTACGTATAAATACGTACAATGTATAATATAATGATAAGAGGACAACATTTTAAACTAGTGATGTATTTATCCTCAACATATACGTGGTGTAAAAATTAAAAAAAAAAAACATTATTCCTTAGGTTTTTGAAAAAAGTCTAAAATGCTTGTCTGACGAAATTTCACCATATTTTGATGAAGGAGACAATTTTCATAATAATTTTCTAAATTTTTAAGTGTTGAAATGCAGTGAAATCATCTCTAGCAAATGTTTTTAATACAGAAATATGATTTAGAGCTTCCCGATACGAATTTATCGTTTTTGAACTGCATGGTGCTTTCAGTTGTTCTTCTGAGTCATTTGGACTACCTTGATCCAAGGCTGACAAACTGAAGTTGTGTTTGGCGGGAAAAATATAATTTTCACATTTTTCAATTTCAGTTCACGAGGATGAGAGCATGCATTGTCCAAAAATAAAAGAACTTGCCTTTTTTGGATTCCTATTTTTCGGTCGAATTGGAGCAACCATGCTTTTTTATTGGATTTCCAAGTGGTTGGTAGATCCTTAATAGCAACGTTCTCTAAAGCACGAGAACGAGGCGCTTTCCCGCCATATTTGCACAGAATACGATGGTTAGTCTGAGAGACAGAGTTTTGTCGGGCAATGCACGAAAAAAAGTTTACTTTCATCATCGTTGTACACATCTTCTGGTTTGTAGCCAAGCAACATGGACGGAAGTTTTTCCAAAAACTGTGACACATTAACTTGATTTATTGCAGCAGCTTCACCAGATATGCATTTAAAACTAACACTATGTCTCTTACGCCACTTTTGAAGGCACCCATCGGACGCACTGAAATCATTGTAGTAGTTTTCATTTTCACTAACGGCCCTGAGATTGGAATGTTCTGATTTTTAGCTTTCACAAACCACTCAAAACATCTTTTGTCTATAGCGAAACCTTCCTTTTTCAAAAAATCCTTCTTTTGATTTATATTAGTTCCATATTGCCATCTACTTCTGATATCTTCCTTATTTTTGGCTGTTTCAGCTGCTTGCGTTTTCCCAATATTAAACCTTTCTATGTCTAAAACGTTAAGTAACAACTTCCACCTTTTCCATTTTACGTAAAATTATAAAATAACTTCAATATCAACTACAAATCTGAAGACAAAACACAACATTCAGGCTAGTAAACGAAATGTGTAAATGGGGAATAACCTAATAAAAAACGGGGAATCACTGAATTTTATGTAGATACATTGCAATAAACGGAACTAAAAATCGTCCGGCTATTAGAGTTTTACGGTCGCTTATGGGAGGTTTTGGGACACTTTCAGGAAAAATCTAGTGTCCGCGTCCGTTTATAAGAGCGTCCGCTTATCGCATATGCATTCAACATTGAAACGCTGAAAATGCTGTCCGCAAGGAGAGCTTTCACTGTATATTGTTCTTATGTATTTAAAAATTACATAAAATGGTATTATCCCAATATCTCGCACAAGTGAGATTATACAGAGTTCTCCAAACAATATACCGTTTTTACGACATTCCGGTTTTTTAACTTTGGTAAATTTTTAGGTCTAACCGCAGGTCTACCTCGCTTGGGTTTCTCTATGCAACCCCCAATAAATAGATTTGCAATTCTACAATGACGTTCTAGAACCATACTTCGGTACTTCATGCATACAAAGGCTGAAAGCTGACGGATTTTTGTAGAGTTTCATCGGTGAGACTCCTCGATTATTATTAGTCGATGCGGTGAAAAGTCCATTCTTACTTTCAAATGTTTATTATAAATAAAGGAGTAAATTTCGCTATAAATCAATGTTAGAATATTTATTAAAAAAAAGTTATTCAACATCAAAGTAGACACTATCGTCACTGGACTGGTCCCTCACATTAATAAATAATTCTGGCACTAGTCGACTTCTGTAAACATTTTCTTCTTCGATGACATGTTCTACACATTTTTTCCAACTGAAAGTAGATATTTTTTTGTACTTCACTTCTACTTAATCCTATTGCCCCAGAACTAAAGTTCGGCGAGGTTTTGTTTCTTCTTCAACTGGGTTTCAGCTGCCTCCATATCAGTTCTATCGGATTAAAATTGCAGTGATATGGTCTAAGACGGACCACTTTGAATCCCCGCTCCATGGCCAACTTGCCCAGGTTCCCGTCTTGAGAACTTCCAATAACTGCTTCTTTGTGTAGAAATTTTCAAAATACATATCATTTTCAAGCAAAAAAAAATCGAATGACTTCTTTAGTCGATGTCGTTGTCAAACAACAACATTGGGAAGCAATTTCTCAGAAAACCATTTTTGATGTCTGCTATCATGTTTTCGTGTTAGTTAACCTTTGTTTCTTTGACATCTTTTGCAAAAAGCAACAAAGCGTTACCTACCTAACCAGTTTGCCCTACTGTTACCATCAGTCCATCCTTTCTTGACGGTATCGTGGCTATCAAACCAAGTCTCATCTAAATATATGTTGGGGATTTCTTTCTTATTGACGGTTTTGTAATAAAAACGAATTATTCGTACGAAGGCACGCAAAGTCTCTTAGCACCAGTTAATGTTCAAAACACTACGCAACTCTTCATGAAAAATTTTAATTGTTAAAACAATATTCTTCTGATACGCATTATATATCAACTTCACTCATGTGAAGTAGACTTTTTGGGGTCCCACGATCTGTCCGTGTTCTCGAACGTTAATTTTATGCCTCCACTTTCCCCAGATGTCGATTTCAGAAATAGAAACATATTTAAAATCATAATTTTGGCAGCAACTGACAAATGTGTCCGCTGGATATCGCAAGTGACTAATAAAATTGAATAATGTTAGTATTTGGTTAGAAATAAATTGTAATAAAATGTATATGGTACCTCAACAAAAATGAGGCATGAAAACAATTGAATAACGGTAAGTAGGTAATTATTAATAACAAACACAAGACGGAATAGAAATAACTCCTAAGCTTCGACAGCTAAGAAAATAGTGTTTCATAAAACTGACAGCATACTCCGATTTGACCAACCCCCACAAATCAACAAATAGCAAACTACATAAGACTTTGTATTGCTTTCTTTGGAAAATATTTTAGTCATTATGTTAAACCCTTAAATTGGAAATCAGTTTAAGTTTTCTAATGTGTTTTTAATATAGGAGATCAACCTATCTAATGGGCAAATTCAACTTGAAATCGAGCTAAGCTCAAGTACGCACGGCACAGTTCTTGTCGACTAACATCTTAAATTCGGCCCTGGCTTGTGGTACAAGTGCTGAAAAGAATCCGAAGTCAAAACCATAAAAACGGTATATCGTTTGGAGAACTCTAGCTATCTTACAACAGACTTGTTACATAGGGCAACCTTAATTCCTTTATCACTTTCTTTATTAGGGGTTTCTCTCTCTAACAGCCATCTAGGAATATTATTTCTAAGATGACGTTTACATTTAAATTTAAGTTGTGTATAATGGTTTTGCAGTTTTTCCGACGGAGCCCGAATTCCATGTCGGCGAACTACTGCTCTACAACTTGCAAATGCTTCAGTTTAACGCCCACGAGGTGTACGAGACTCTGTATCCCACGAAACATCATATTAGGGACTCGAAAACTTTGTACATAGGCGTCGGGATTTATGCGACCGCGTCTCTTTTCAATCACGATTGCCACCCAGCCCTCACAAGGTAAACATCATAGGAGGCGTTATTAAAGTGATATCACATAATTTAACGATGGAATCTGAATCTTATCCTAATGCCAAATCGACATTTTGTTGCGGGGAATTAGCACAAAAAAATGATACTTTTTGAAACCTTATTACCTATCTCACTGTGAAAGACTGTCAACTGCACCTGATAGCTAACATGTTTTCAGACATTTTTCCGGCAAAAAAATCGTTTTAACAGCGGCAAGGCCGTTAGATGCAAACGACAACGTGCCTGAAAATTACGGGCCAATCTTTACGAGAAAGTCTTTAACTGAAAGGCAAAAATACCTGGCAGGCAGATACTGGTTTAAATGCGGCTGCTTCGCTTGCAAACAAGATTGGCCCACCTTAAAAAATGGTCTAGGAAGCGTCAGCGAAAGGATAAGGTGTCCGAGAGAGAAATGTCTCGGCTTTTTTACGTGTCCCTTGAAGAACGAGACCCCGAGGTGTCCAAAATGCAAACAAACTGTCAATTTATCAGATAGGGTATTGCTGCTTCGTGGCTGCAAAGAAGAATACAATGGGGCGTTCGAAATTATGAACTCCGGAGACACGCGGAAGGCTGCCGATATTCTCCAAGCAGCTATCAATACATTTTACAGGTAATCATTCATCGAACATTGTCGAACTTTTTTTGCTGCTATTTGTTTGGAACATTATGTTTTCTTCTTTATTCTCTACTAATTTCAAGCAGTACAAATATTTTAAGCAATGTTTTCAATTAACTCATAAGCACCACAACTATTTTCATTGCTTCAGATAGTATCTGAATAAAACAAATAGAATAGTAAAAGTTTTACGCCCTGTAAAGTTGTTACTTACTCCATACAGAAAGAAACTTTCTTTCTGTATGACTTGCTCACCATGTATGTATTTGCTCTATTCTAGGGTATCTCTCCCACCGCATAAGGACACACAATTGGCTGAAGAAATGTTGAGAGCGTGCGTAGCTGATACAGGCAACACGACGGAATGTTACGCCAAATAAATATTATAAAAACATCGCTTCTTATTTCCTACCGCTTCAAAACTTGCATAAGTGCAATATGCAACCTTCTATACCCCAAGTAACCGTTCTTACAAACAATGATGCGTTTCACATAACTGTTGGGCAATTCTGCTAGCATCATTTGCCCATTGCCGACTTCCGTAGAGGATCTTCGCTTTTAGTAAGTGACCAACACGTACAAAGAAGAAATGTAACCAATATTTGCTCAACTAGCAAACAACAATTTTGACCTATACCAAGTAACCGTTCTTCGAAACCTTGTTTACTTGTTTCCATAGGGCCAAATTGCTAGGATCATTAGGCCAGTTCTTAGAAAAATTTGTATGGAATTTATTGCATAGATCCAATGAAATTACATAGCTGAAACACCTTCGGATATATCGACATCGATATCGATAGCCGATCCATCCCTAAAGAAAAGGACCTTTGATCTTTGGAATTTAGTACAATATTTATAATTTTGTTGGTGGAGTTTTTAATCTTTTTTTATTTTAAGTTACTTTTGCACAGGTACTGGTTGCACTTGTTAGTGAGTTCCTCGAAAGAAAAATGTTTAGTAACCGTATTTACGGTATTTTGTCGCAAGTTTCTGCCCGCAATGTCCGATATGTTTCCGTTTGCGGAAGGTGTTATTCCACTGCCGTCGGGAGGAAGCATGTAGGCCTAAAAGTAGTAGACAATGTGGGCGTGATTACGCTGGACTCGCCAGGGGTGAAAGTTAATTCCCTTAGCCGCGAAGTAATGGACGAAGTTCGGCAGATCTTGAATGAAGTCCAAGCGAATGCCCAAGTTCAGTCGTGCGTTTTAATTTCTAATAAACCGAACTGTTTCATAGCTGGGGCAGATATAAATATGATATCGCAGTGCAAGACTCAGGAGGAGGTAACAAATCTATCTAAAGCAGGCCATCAAATTTTCTTTGATATTGAGAAAAGCCAGAAACCCTTTGTTGCAGCCATTCAGGGATCATGTTTAGGAGGCGGACTTGAAACCGCACTTGCTTGTCACTATAGAATTGCTGTAAAAGATAAGAAAACCCAGTTGGGATTGCCAGAAGTTATGTTGGGTCTGCTGCCTGGAGGGGGTGGAACTCAGAGGTTACCAAAACTCACAGTGTTGCCTAATGCCTTAGATATTGCCCTTACTGGAAAGAACTTGAGCGCAGATAAGGCAAAGAAACTTGGAATTGTGGATTTGGTGGTAGATCCATTGGGGCCTGGACTAGATACTGCCGAGAACATGACTAGGTTGCATTTGGAATCTGTTGCTGTGGGGATCGCTAAACAAATCGCGTCAGGAAAGTTTCCCATCAAACGTGAAAAGAAATTGACTGACAAAGTCCTTAATTACGCCTTGCAGTATGATTTTGTTAAAGATCAAATTTTTGGAAAAGCCAAGAAGCAGGTTATGAAATTGTCAAAAGGATTGTATCCTGCACCACTGAAGATCCTGGAAGTAGTGCGGGAAGGATTGGACAAGGGTATTGAGAGGGGATATGATGCTGAATCCAGGGGTTTTGGAGAATTAGCAATGACACCCCAATCCAAAGGGCTTATCAGCTTATTTTATGGACAGACTCAGTGCAAAAAAAATAGATTTGGTCAGCCAGCTAAAGAAGTCAAGACGGTAGCCGTTTTGGGAGCGGGTCTGATGGGAGCAGGTAACATTAAATGTTGATTATAATGGTACATGGCGGATTTACACATAAATAGGTCTTTTTTTATCTTTCACTGTTTTTGGACCTATGTGTCATGGGCACTCATTCCACCCTTTATTTTATCAAATATGATACCAATTGCGTTATATCGAATTAACATTGCATTTATTTGTACATTTAAATTTCCCCAATTCCACGTGATGTGGAATCATATCAGCTTATAGCCACAGATGTCCAACTAACAGAGACCGCAAAAAACATTCATAAAATTGCCATTGTTTTGATGCAAATGTAGGCCTTTAGACAAGGGATCGGTGGAGTGAGGATTGTTTTCTAAATATAAATGGTTCCGAGGAGGGCAATAAATCATTGGGGCGTGTAAGAGTATAATCTAAAAATATTAAAAATTCAACAGTTATATTCTATATTCTAAATAGTTAAATTAAACACATTTGACACGCTTTTAGATATAATATAATGTATAATAAACAATATATATAATAAACCATACAGAAAAAAAAAGAAAAAAAGGATTTGTTTACTGCAAACTTCACAGTATTGCGGATTTTTCGCTTTGAAAAAGTCATTTTTTCCACAAAAAATAAATAAAAGCTAAGGTAGTAATGAGCAGTCAGAGCAATTGTGCAGTAACGTATTCAAAAATTATGCCTATGTCGTAGATAAAAAATTTTGATCTTGCCAGGGATTACAGAACTGACAAACAAATTTCGTTTGTAGGTATCGCCCACGTTTCGCTAAACAAAGGCTATCGCGTAATCTTAAAAGACACGAACTCAAATTCCCTCGCGCGTGGCACCAATCAAATCGACACCGGTCTGACCGGCGCCGTCAAAAGGAAGAAAATGACGTCGCTCGAAAAAGACCGTCTAATCTCGAACTTGAACCGCACCCTCAGCTACAAAGACTTTAAAACCGCCGACATAGTGATCGAGGCAGTGTTCGAAGACCTCGACATCAAACACAAAGTACTGAAGGAGGTAGAGGGCGTGATCCGACCGGATTGCGTGTTCGCCACCAACACGAGCGCCATACCGATCGGTAAAATAGCGGCCGTTAGCGCGAGGCCTGACAAAGTTATAGGCATGCACTATTTCTCGCCGGTCGACAAAATGCAACTGCTGGAAATCATAACGACCGACAAGACGAGCAAAGAAACCACCGCGACGGCCGTCGACGTCGGTTTGAAACAGGGAAAAGTTGTTATTACGGTAGGCGACGGTCCCGGGTTCTACACGACCCGAATCCTAGCTGCCATGATGGCCGAATCTGTAAGGTTGCTCCAGGAAGGTGTTGACCCCAAAGAACTGGATTCTCTGACTAAGAATTTCGGTTTTCCCGTTGGCGCTGTCACGTTAGTCGACGAAGTCGGTATAGACGTCGCGAATCACATCGGCCCCCACCTGTTTCAGGTATTCGGCGAACGATTCGGCGGAGGCGACATAAACATCTTGAACGATGTGGTAAAAGCAGGATTTTTGGGCCGCAAGTCCGGCAAAGGAGTGTTCGTTTACGAAAAAGCGTCCAAAAATCGCGACGTGAACCCCGAAGTGTTGGACATCCTGAAGAAGTACAGTTCAGAGGCGAAAGGACCGTTCGAGGATGAAGACAAAACTCTGAGAATGGTCGCCAGGTTCGTGAACGAAGCCGTTTTGTGCTTGGAAGAGAAGATACTGGCGAGCCCACTAGAGGGAGACATAGGGGCAGTTTTTGGTCTAGGATTCCCGCCGTTTAGCGGCGGTCCATTTAGGTGGGTGGACCAATATGGGGCCGCCAAGTTCGTGTCGAAAATGGAGCAGTATCAAGGCGCGTACGGCCTGCCCTTCAAGCCGGCGCAGACTTTGTTGGATATGAGCAAAGACTCGGCTAAAAAGTTTTATAATAATTGATAACGTATTTATTTTTTAGTGTTACGCGAGATTAAGCAAATAAATATCTTTTGTTAAAAATTGTGTTTTCTTTTTTCGTTTTAGCACAAAAACTATTCTGTCATTATGTCACGGTTTCTTTCCCCCTAAGGAATGAGTTCCGTGGTAAGTTATAGATAACATGATCAGGCAGGTGGAGACAACGAAAATTTGCATTCAGAATAAGAATCATGTAAAAAAATTTTATTTTTAACATAAGTACAATTTATAAATAAAAAACAAATGTAAAATATTTTATTCCTTGACATATTTAACTGTTCCGCCAAAACCGGGACGTGTGGTCACGTTAGTTATAGACCATATTATAGCCCTAGTAGGCCTTCGGGCGGCTATATTTTTGTAGAAATGGGAATAATCACGCATTTTTCTAAATTTCGCCACTAACCTGCACATTGCGACATTTTCTTCCTAAGCAGCGATCTCCACACACTTAACTCTTTTCACAAAACAGGTGAGGAGGTCTGGGCATATTTTGAGAAAATGCTGCATCTAAACTGAAATCTCGCGAATTGAAACTGTCAGCGGCCATACTGATACGGAACGCTGCTTAGTCTGATTGGTTAAAAAACAAGATTTCAAAGTACTGCGCGCGCGGATTTTAATAATCATATATTTTTGATCGTCGCTTAAAAAATTGCTCCTAAATCAGCATGGGTAAGGCTTCTATATATGTTGTAGCTATATGTTAAAAACTCTGTAATTTCGGGGGGCATTGCCCTTTTAAATAAAGAAGATATTTTCGATTATGGTTCTTTTCTATTACGCAAAAGGATTTTTGAACGAGGTTAAAGAATTGTCTCGCGTGTGCCAATGACCTTTTCGCGTTCTGTGGTTTTTAAATGCCCAAAGTGATATTAAAAGGACGGACCTATAAAAAATGTTTTATAAAAATAGATTAGAGGGTTTAGCGATTAGTAGGAACAAAAATATTAAAGCGTATTATTTTGAACGTTTATTATGAACAATTTATCGATCCTTCGATAGAAATGCAAACATGGAATACGTAAGTGGAAATTTTCGATACAAACACATAATTCGATAGCAATTTTTGGCACCAGGTTAGGGCATTTTTTAAAAATTTAATTGCAAACGTTTTAATTACGAGATAACCAATTATTTTATTACCATAAAGAGTGCCCAAAAATAAACTATCAGTCTAATTTTAGAAAAATCAATAGACTTATCAGTTGCCTGAAACTATGGAGCAGGAACAGAAAAAAGTAAAACACAAAGGCTTTGCAAGCTTTTTGTTGCCCAATAAACCGCCGAATAAGGTGGGAGTAACTGTGAACAGAACTCAGAGTGCAAAAGAAACAAATTTGAATAATATGACAATATCTGAGGCAAAGGCCCCTTGGACCATGTCCAAACGACCTCTAAGTTTTGATACAAAAAACGGTGCGGTTATGACAAAATCCGACGTTGGACCGGTATGTAAGGTTTAAATGTGGAGATGAAAAAATTTTTATTCTATTTCTAGAGAGCATATTCGTTAAAGAGGGAGAATAGTCTCTCAGAAAGTAACTTGTGTGAGGAGGATGATATACCAAAACCTTTAGAAAAATACGGCTCGCATGAAAGCGTCTTGAAAGAAGGTTTCAAATTTTGCTCCATGAGATTGCTTTATGTTGAGTCTCTTGTTATAGGTATAACCAGTCTTCATTTAATTCCGACAGTAAAAGCGAGACAGAGAAACTTTCTCCATGGCAAGATTGGTGCAAATCCACTTTTAGGTTCGAAAGAACTAGATAGAGTTTGTCGCAACAGGGAAATTACAATATTTGTTGGCACATGGAATATGAATGGACATTCAGCACCAAAGTAAAACAATTGTTGATTGATACTGTATTGTGTAATATTATCGGTTGGATTTCAGAGAACTGAATGATTTCGTGCTGCCTATAGGAATAAAACATGTACCTGATATCTTAACCTTTGGAACCCAGGAGTCATGTTCTGAAAGATTCGAGTGGGAAGTATCCTTGCAAGAAACCATTGGACCCTCTCATATACTTTATCATTCTGTTAGTTTAGGTAACACTTCAATCCGTTTTTGTATCTACCTCCAATTTTTTTAATCTGTATTTTAGGGACTATTCATTTGTGCGTTTTTATTCGACGCGATCTAATATGGTACATTTCTATCCCCGAGGACGCAAGCTTATCAGTCAGACCTGGCACCGCATTTCGTACCAAAGGCGCTGTTGCCAGTTCGTTTATGATTTTCGGCACTTCCTTTCTGTTCGTTACCGCTCACTTGACAGCCCACCAAGAAAAAGTTAAAGAAAGAGTTAGCGACGTTAAAAGAATTGTCAATTCGCTGGATCTGCCTAGGGCCCTGCCCTGCAAAAACAAAAGTAAAGGTAAGAAATATTTTAAGCTGTAAAAAAAAGTTTTAATTATATTCGGCCAGTATTCTCAGCCTGTTTGCGCGTTATATTGCGAGTTTAATTATTTTCGATTATTTTGGAAGTGCAATTATTGTGCCTGGTTCGTTGAAATTTTACCGTAAGTAAAATTGGTTTTCCCCTTATTTATTGGTTTTTTTGCACAGTCGAGACATCTGCATTCATCACTAACTTATAGCGCATACCTATAAATCGCACCTTCATTTCATTCATTTGCATCTATGCATACTCTCTCATATTCTAAATTATCAATACGTTACCAAATTATGTACAGTACATCTAATTTGTTCTGTGAAAAAAAAAATAATTCAACACAGAAAGATAACTCTAATGTAATCAGAGTATATCGAATGTTATGTCATCTACACCCATGCACAAGCCCAAGTTTTGAAGTAAACATTTTTCAATATTTTGTATAATATCTAAAATATGCACATTACTAGACTATAACGATTTTGCGAATTTAAACTCGTCTCATTATTAGTCGTTCCAATCATGTGACGCAACTTTCCTGCTTGCTAATGATGCTTTGAATCATCTGACTTTGCCTTATTATTTTTTAACCCTTGTCCTTTTGAAAATGTCAATTTTATATTGTAAAATATCAGTTTCGTTTATTATCTGCTCAAGAACAAAGTTAAGGGAATATTGGGGTGCCGTTTGTCACGTAATCCAAACGACCAATCGGCCAAAATGGCCTCTATTTTGGCACATCGTTCGGTAAAATAACCTACTTTCGCCTAAGAGTGTAGCGATATCCTTAGATTAATTGTTAAAGATGCTTTGAGTAGCAAACCGCACCAAGCACACTATATTTTGGTTTAGATGAGCGAATGTTATTTCCTTAACAATTATTGCACTACATGCCCAAATTGCTGTCACCATAATTTCCCGTTGTAAATATGTCCACCGTTTGCCGTGCTACAATTCCTTTTCTTTCAAACAAATTAATGCACAATAAAGCTTGTTTTTTTTTTCTTTTCAGGTTACGCCTCAATCCCGGCGAGCGTCGTGGAAGAATCATTAATTGAAGAAGTTAGTCATATACGACAAAATTTTAGGCTACACTTTTCGACATATCCGATTACGTTCTCGTCACAAACATTTCTCTGTTCCAGACGTAACGCAGAATTTTGACTATGTGTTTTGGTGCGGCGATTTAAACTTTCGTCTGGCCACGCCTCGCAGCAAGGTGCTCGAATGGCTGTCGAACACAAGCTTCCCATTACCGGATCACTTGCCGCACGGTTACCTACACCACGATCAACTTTGCGCTGTGCTCGCCGAGGGGGCCGCTTTCAGGGGGTTCTCCGAGGCGAAAATAACGTTCCCCCCCACTTATAAGGTAAAATGATAGATATAAAAGAGGGGGGGGAGTATACCTCAATACAGTCCCCGCCTACCTGCGCGAATGTTGACATTTGTTTACAGTTACTACGTCTTCATCTCTCTCCCGTGGTTTGGAAAAAATTATAAATAATGTCAAGTTAACCTATAATGTTCTTTATAAAAACTGCTTAAAAACTAATACTAATGTTCAAAGACCTCTCAAAATAGAAAAAATGAAGCAATCGGAAATCCCGTCACGGAATAGAGAAATATTTACCATAAACCAAATATGGAAGTCTATAATACTAGATTTACTAGATTATAATACTAAATTCCATTTCACGTTTTTTACCTTCAACAGTTGATTTATTTATTTATTTACGGTTTAACCAATTTACAAAACTGTTACATATATTAAAGGCAAAGAGAGAGAAAGACAGCAGTATAACAGCCAGAAACCAGAACAAAATATAACAATAACAAGAAACAGAACCGAAAAGAATCAAAACAGTTGCACGCTTTGAGCATTCCAGTAAGGAGTGAATAAACTCCATAATTTGCGCGATGATAAGGTATGGGGAACATTGAGTTATCACAGCTTCTGTAATATGCATTAAATTGTATGCTATGTAAAAGAAATGGACAATAATACCAACCATCAGAATCTTAAAGGGAAAAACTAAATCACTCTGAAATGTTCTGGTTTGAAGAGTATCAATATTAAAGGCCTTAGTCATAATACTGTAGTTGATCTGATACCCATTATAGATGTTGATATGCGCCTTTGAAGCCAAAGATCTTAAAAATCCTTTGTGAACGGCTTCAATGTTATCTATATGGCAGGCATAATATGGAGACCATACCACAGATGCATACTCCAGAGATATAAAGGATTTTAAAGCAATGTGGAGTAAGTTGGCCACTATTGCGTACAACAAACCCAAGGACTCGCATAGACCTGTTTACCACTTCCGCAAAATGTGTCACAAAACTTTAGTTTAGAATCAAAGCAAACACCCAAGTCTTTAATGTCAGTGACGGCCTCGATCTCGACTCTATCAATACTATATCGGTTGTGAATCATACTTAATGAACGACTAAAGCTAATGCTACAGCATTTTTTTACATTAAACGCAAGACTATTAATCTTAGACCACATGCAAACACTGTCCACATCCCTCTGAAGCAGCAGAACAATGCAAGCAAGTTCAACGCTGTGTTAGTTAATTAATTAGTTTCTGCAATTCACTCCAACAATCACTTCAATTCACGTTCTTTTAGAATCTGACCCACTTTTTATACTGCAATTAGGCCCATGAGTTTTGTATCATCAATTTTTCGTGCATTGATGAAAATAAATTTTGAATATTAAGTAAATGAATAAATTCTCTGCTTGATATTTCACAGTACGATCCGGGCACTCAAAATTTCGACAGCTCGTCGAAACAGAGAACTCCCGCGTACACGGATCGAATCCTTTACAAGCAAAAAAATTGCCGAAGACTGAGCGGGGTGTTGGAAAACCCGCCGCTGCAGTGCGTCGTGTACGATTCCGTACCCTCTATCACGACTTCAGACCACAAACCTGTATGGGGCGTGTTCAAGGTCCACCTGAGACCGGGCTTAGATACGTAAGCGAGAAGTCGCTAGTTGTGGGGGCGTGGTCGTCTTAAGTATCCTGTTTTTCAGAATACCTCTGGCCGCGGGTCTGTTTAATCGCGAAGTATATCTGGAGGGTCTTAAGAGGAGGGCGGAAACCCTGAGCAAAAGCAAAGGGACGACCGTGTGCGTGATCCAGTGAACGTGGATTATCCATTCCTGCGTCCGTCCGTTACCGCAGCGTTGTGATTTTCTGTAGATGCGCTCTTCCATTACGGAAACAATCATTTTTATATGTTTTTCAGTTTGATGAATTGTGATATTCTTTCTATATCTAGTCGTTAGTAGTTCGTATAACCCGGGAACTGACCAAAGATAATAATTCATAGAAATAGGTGATAGGTGCCCCTTATATTTTATAAAATAAATCTCCACTTGTCCAATGTCTGTTTTTTACCGAATTTTACATAAAGGCCGCCAAGCCGCGAAAACAACTCGGCTGACAATCTGAAAAATTTGATACATTTGTTTTCGTGTAAATTCTTCTTTAATATTTAATTAAATGAATTAGTTAAAAATAACCAATTCTGATAACAGCCGTAAAGTTTAAACGAACACAGAAAACAAATTGTAACTAAGAAATTAAAGATAAAAAAGAATTTACCAAATGTTTCCATCACTAATTTTCAGGACGTTAAATTCGGTGGTCTGACAACGCCGCATCCCACTTGGGGGTAACAAAAACCTAAAAGAGAAGGCGACAAGAGTTTTTATTTTTAGAATAGAATCCAAGATCTATTTCATTATGTAACGTAAACAAGATCTATTTGAAAATTTACACAGGGTGTTTTCTAATTTAATGTCTATAAAAACAAAATTTGTCTCTTAAGTGTTGAAATACAGGGTGGCAATTTTTTAAAATAATCCCATACTCGTAGTATCAATCCAATTATCGGCAACAAAAAAAAAATTCGACAGGTACATATTTTATTCATAATTGTCAAACACAAAATAATATTTGCATTAAAAAAGGAATAAACGTATAAATTAATCCTAACGCTAAACTTGTACGTGTATGTACACCGTTTGATACATCTCCTTTTTCGTTTTTGCTGACGGGAGTAGGATAATTACTGATACATAATAAAAAAATGGTCTCGGGCGATAAAAACTTACGCCGGTTCTAAAACGATACGCAACGAAAAGGAAGCCATTTTATAGCCTAGACGGCAACGCATTAGCAAGGGGACTATTTACTGGTCCTCCAGTCAATCCCTCCTGTAATATCATAATACGAAAATATATAAACTTTAAAACCACACCTTTGCCGAAATCCGCCACGACAAATATATTAACAGAAAATTGATATAGCAATAAAATTTTACAATAAAGGCACTGATTCATAACCAAAGGCATTAAACCAAAAGGGAGACCCGATTGTTCGTTGCCAATATTATAGGTTTCTCTTGTGATTAAATATCCTGGGTTCTAACAGATTCATTAACACTTCTAATACCTACAGTAAACCTCCGTTAATCCCAAACACCACCGATACAAACGAAATGCATATTTTGTTAATCTGAGAGTTAATCACACAATATTTGAATGGGATTTGGAGTAAGTTCCGAAAATTTTAAATTAGCACATCGTTAACTAGACAAAGATTATAACAAGTAATCAATAATACTACAATAATAATGACGATAAATAATGCGGGAAAAAAGCGAGGATAAAAATATAATTTTCAAATTATTCTCCATTGATCGCGCAACTTGAGCAGACTTCAACATGAAGTTAATTTAAAAAAAAGTTTTAAAATATTTAATCAATCTGGGGATTGAATACAATTAAATTATATGGTTTTTAAAACAAAAAAATACGTTTTTATAACTACCTTCCTAAATAATAAATTTGCAATATAAAGTCGAGTAACAAGTATATGAACATTGTTCAGTAAGGCACCAATATTACCAATATAAACTTCAATTTTTAGAATTTAACCTCTATAATCACTGCTCGCTTAAAAATAAAACATCCGTTATACGCGATGGCGATCGCTTTGTGAGATCTTAATAGGCCAAATCGTGCCACTCCCTTAAAACTTGTCCAGTGGCATTTGGTCCGTGGTGGAACGAACCATCCTTGATTTTAAAAGATAAAAAGTATAATCTGAATAAAAAATATTTTTAATTAACTAAGAAAATGCTAAAAAATATCTTTTATTCGTTTTATTGGTATTCTTGGGTGGAAACGTCGACATTCAGAGTTGCCCCATTCCAATGAACCTGGCTGAATAAGACAAAATGGTAAGTTCTATATCCGCGTACGCTAACCGTATGAGACGTTTCACGTCCTTCGGCGCCGATCCGGCGAGCTTCGGAGTTGTTCGTCTCGCTGCTGGGCATTTTGTAAATACGCGATAAATTCCAACGCACGAAAAACGCTTAGTTTGCGAATTGGTAGTCTTGGATATATTGTAGGTTGAGCTTGGGTAAAAGTGCCTGTTTGCAGTCACGTCCACGATTTTCCAAAGCTACACGACGACGTTGTGAACGCACACCATGTGCCTGATGTAACTCCTGCGGTGCTTTGTCTCGAACGGGCAGTGCGGACACTCCCAAAACTCGACGTTCTTCTTCGTCATGTGGACGAGCACGTGACGCGTGATGTTCGGTTTCCTATCGGTCAGGTAAGGACACTGAGCGCAGTAAAACAACTCGTCGCTCTGCGGTTTCGGTTTCTTCTCGTCTTTCGAGCCGTGCTTCTTCGAAAAGTGATTCTGAAGGCTTCGCTTGTTTACCGTCGCGAACGCGCACTTGTCGCACTTCAACAGTGTGTCGCTCTCGTCCGACTTCTTAATATATTTAGGGAACTTGTGCAGCTCCTCGTGGCGCGACAGCAGCTCCTCCGTCTTGGTCTTGTACGAGCAAAAGCTGCACTTGAACATCTCGATGTTCGGGTTACACGTGTTGGTAGCCTCGTGGTCGGCCACGTGCGATACCAATGTGTCCCAAGCGGCCGACTGGAACTCGCACTGCAAACACTCGTACGCCTCTGTAGGCTCGTCGCAGTTTATGTAACAGCAGAAGAACTCCTTGTCCACAGGCTTGTCCTCGTGACGTATGATGTGGTGCAGCAGGGAAACCTTCTTTTTTGCCTTGAACTCGCAATACACACACTTGTACGTCGTGTTAACGTCCAGGTGGGTGAGTTTGTGCTGGTCGAGCAGCTCCTGCGACTTCGCTTGGAACGAGCAACTCTTGCAGCGAAACTTTTTCACGCTGTCGATCAGATTGTGGATGAGCTGGTGTTGGGTCAACATGTCCCGCGATTTGGTCCTATACTGGCAGCGGTCGCACGTCAGCGCTTTCTCGTAGAATTTTTTTGGGCCGTCCGCGGCCGGAGGCGGCATCGGGGGCGGCGCGTCAGCGTTCACGCCTAGAAACTCGACGATAGGCGTCGATTCGCGAGCCCTCCTGCGAAAGTGCCAAACACTTGTTTACCATCGCTATGTACGGGATAATTGAGGTACCGAGGTTTTTGAGGTGTGGAATATACTAAGTTTATTCCAACCGATTTGCTAACCGATAAACGATTCTATTTAAGTTCCAATCAAGTTTAACGTCGTTCTTAGAAGGATTCCAGTAATTTCGATGCTATTCAGTGTGACATGCGCGGTTAACCAGATTGTCAGCCCAATGACATTAGTATGGAGATTGCCTGGTTTCGGTGGTTCTTGTTTTGGTTTATAAATTTATTTACGTTTTTACGTTTAGGACAACACACATCTTGAATAATCTAAATTATTTCTCTTGCTATTTTCATCTTTTAGGTTTAGATTAGCTTTGGTACCTAGCAACGGGGCCCAACAGCGTTCCAACCGATCATCGAGAAAATAATCGTTTGGGAATGGTATAAAATTCGCGCATGCGTGTAAAACTAATTCTACCGATTTGACTGTTCTAAAACATGAGGTTACAACACTATAGAGAGCCTCTATCCCTCATCTCCAAAAAATATTCGACTTAAGAAAATTAGTGGTTTTTAAAGGAACTTCTGTGGTACAAAAGGTGGCCGTATAACAAACATGACAATGACAAACAATTAAGAATTCGATTCCCCACAAAAAATAAGGGTAAACTTATGTAAGATAACCTTTAGCAATCTTTTCTGGTTCACGATATATGTATTAGCGATTTTATGTCTAATAAGATAAGAGCTTAATGTGTTGTTAAACATCATTTCAGTTGTTTTGTTCGGCTGCAAATTATACAGGGTGGTCTTAGAAATTGTTCCAATTGTGATAAGTGAAATAACCTAAAAGTCCATTGATTATTTTCCGAGTATAAAAAATAAAGGTAAATCTATGAAAAATAATATATATATATATATATATATATATATATATATATATATATATATATATATATATATATATATATATATATATATATATATATATATATATATATATATATATATATATATATATATATATATATATATATATATATATATATATATATATATATATATATATATATATATATATATATATATATATATATATATATATATATATATAGATGTACTTCCGTTTAAAAAATATTCGCCATATTTGACACTGCAAAGCTATCGTGTTTGTTTAAGAAAAAGGAAACATTATCACTTTTTTTTGTTTTATATTTCGTGTAATTGGGTCATGTTACCTGTTGAAATAAAGTGCTATTATTTGCTTGCATTCATCTTGCGTTTCTTAATTTATGCCCGCTTTTCATTTATTTTATTTTTTATGGTATTAAGTATATGAAATTAATTTCTTAAAAAGGGGGATTCCTTTTTGAAATGTTTTATTCTTGGTTCTGATTTTTTTTTGTAGATATTTCCTTAGATTTTAAACCCAAATTTAATTTATTTTAATTTGGTTTTAATAAAAACGTTTTTTTTTTCTTTTGATTAGTTCTTTACGAGTCTTTCCTTATTGGAATTAAACAGTATTTTTTCTAGTCCAAACCTAATTATAAATTACACTTTAACTAATAAACAAAAAAATTGTAAAGTTAAGGAAATAAAGATTAAAGAACTCAAAATAGTTACTTACCTCTTTCTAGTTTTGATTTTAGTATTTGTGATCTGCTTCTTTTCCGCGCCCTCGATTGTACTGCCACTATTATTGCTACTGGTTCCAGATATCAGTTCTAGCCACTTTTTCTCCGCCTCTGAATTGCTTCTGTTGGTTCTGCGAATAATTCTCAACCCGTTAACGACAGGTGCAGATGTGTCGGCTTTGCTCTCGCCTTCGCCGACCTGACAATCAGCGCCATCTCTCGGCGCAGCGCCGAAGCTACTCGTAGGGGCATCAATACCAGCCGACACTTCCTTCGAAACGCTTCCACATTCTTCCTCCTGGGCAGCTTTCGTTTCAACATCAGGTCTTTCAATTTTCGTTCTGGTTCTCTTTTGAGCTGGTTCCGCTTCGCGCACGCTTTTGCGCGTTCTCTTTCTAGGATTTGAAGCTGACATAACCACGCTATCAGTAAACCGACACTACGCCGCTGTCAAAGGAGTCATCAAATTTTAATTCAGCATTAATAGTTTTTTTGGGTCTTCCCCTGCCTGGAACGAAATTTAAAGGCTCAGAGTCAGGAAAAACATCATCCTTTGGTGACATTTTACTTTTGGCGTCTAATTGCTTATTCTGATTCAATACTCCTTCAGTGACTTTGGTTCTTGGACTCTTTCTAATCTCTGGTGATATTTCTTTATTTTTCCCCCTTTTCAATTTGTGTTGTTTTTCTGCTTTGATGTTTTTGTTTCTTGGGGAAACCCTTATATTTATTGGTTTATTGTTCTCGCCCCTTTGTTCAACTGCTTTCCTAATTTCCTCTTTTTCTGGATAAACTTCCAACTTGATACCCTTTTTAGGCATTCCCTTCTTCTTCAAACCAGCCTTGTTTTCGTTAATTTTATTATCTTCAATATCTACATTTGAATTGTCTTTATCTTCATCACCTCCCACTTTTGTCCCTTGTTCTAGGGTTGCCACTTGTGAGTCATTCACAGGAATATCCATGCTCACATTATCCTCTAGCAAGTCAATCAATTCCTGCCTTGAGGGGGATATAGACTTGTTCCTTCCACTAAATCCTGACTTACCATTTGTAGTAGAAACATTTATTTCCACAACATCAACTGTTTCTGTAATTTTGTACATGTCATTTACACTGTCTGAACATTCTGAAACTTCGCCGAAAATACTCGTTAAATCTTGAGATGCAGCATCTAAAAATGACCAGTCCCTATTTGCCTGAAATTCTTTGCCTTTCCCACTTTCAGTTTGTTTTGGGTCACCATTACAGGAAATTGCAGTGCTGACTTCTGCAACATTTGGTGTAGGGTCATTCGAAGCCTTTAACACAGTTTTATCAACACTGTGATCCATTTTTTTTTCAATATCGTTATCAACTGCAGCAGCAGATGTGTCATCATTCTGTTTATTATTATTTTCTGTATCAGCAGGGGCCAGCTCATTTAATTTCTTTTCTTCATGATTCCTCTCCGATGCTTCTGTCTTAACTGAGTTTGAATCACCTTTTACCTCAGTAGTTTTGTGTAATCCTTTTTTAATTATATTTGAATCATTCTTTGGCTTAGTGTCAGTAAGTGCAAGACTTTTAATTTCTTTATTGGAATCTTGTGGTTCCATCCCAGATTCCTTTTCCTCATCACACTTTGTAGCAGAGCCAATTTCCTGTTGCTCTACAGGTGATTCCACTCTTTGTATTAATTGCTCCCCACTTTGTTCGGATAGAGCAAGACCTGGTGCTTTTTCTGAAGAATCATCACACTTATTGATGACTGTAATATTCTTCTCATGAACAACAATTAAATCAATTGCAGCACTAGCCTGTTTGGGCATTTCATATGTTTCCTGTTCAGCCAAGGGTTGATTGCATGACCTTTCTAATTCTGTTGCTGCTTTTGTAGTTATATTATTATGACTAATTGGAATTGCCTCAGGTTTATTGTCAATTAGTGTTGAGTCCAGATTTTCATCATCATTGACATTATTATTGTTTTCTACAACATCAGAAGTGTCTGGTGACTCACTGCCGGCTGCTTTATTATTATCAAACTTCTGCAAAGAATTAAAAATATTTAACAAATCCTTCCCTATTAGAGTTTCCTTTTTTAAAGAGTATGTGGATACTATAAATTTTTCCTTCTCAATCGAGTCGCAAACAAAGTAATAAGTCTCCTGTAACATTTTGTAACATTCTTCACACATTTTTGAAGGTTTAGAAATATTTAAATTCTAAAAAAAGAAAACAATTTATTCCCTAGAACCAAAACATTTTCAAAAAAAGCTTACCAAGTGAATGTTGCACTTTACAAAGAGCTTTTTGTTATCTTTCCATGTCTTGTCAAAATTGTATGCAGAAGTTTTTAAACACAAGCGACATATCTGATCTATGTCAGAAGATAAAGTTTGCAGAAAAAAATTTATATCTCGTTTCTGATGGCATTGGATTTTAAATTCGTTAGTTATAACGTTCTCTTTAAAATAAGCTAATTTTTTAAGTTTCTCTTCACATAATTCACACAAAACTGGTTCCTCTGTTAATTGCAGATTCTGAAACCAAATTAAAAAATTGAAAAATACTGACAAGGTCTGTTTTTAATGGGCACTTACTCTTATAGTAGCAAATGAAATAAGATTCAAATTTTGTAAAACAAGACTATTGTTTGTAATTGGTAAGCAAGATGTGTTGGCTTCTACATCTTTTAAACACAATCTACAAACGGTCAGTTGAGCTTGTTGGTCCATGTTTCTCGTCAAAAATTAAATTCTGCTCGTATAACTAAACTCCATTTTAAAATAAAAGAAAAGTGTAAACATAAAAATAAACAAAATTAAAAATTGGCCTTGTAACCTAACTAGGACATTAAAACATATCAGAAGTTAGCCGCCGAATACGTGTCACATCTGTCACAAAGTTCCTTTTTCTATGGATATACTCGACTTGTAACGATAAAAGGCAGGTTCCCTTGGCTAACTTACCCAACTCAGTAAAATATTAAAGGAGATTATTCCATGGATTAAGGATATTGTAACTAACCAAGTTCTTTTATCCAACCCCAAATGTTATTTCATACTTGAATTTTAAAATTATTAATTTTACACTAAAGCTAGCAATGAGGCATGCTTCGTTCATAGCTAGGACAGTCTTCGTGCAAAATAATGACGTAGAAGCAGCATGTAGAATCTTAAACAGAATACTAGGAAGGGAAGATATTCTCGACCAGTATAGAAGAACCAGATACTATGAAAAACCCTATCAGGTAACACTTCCGAGGAAACAAAATAAAATAAGTTATCCACCGTGTTTGTAGTTTCGTAGAAGAATCAATTTTGAGAAGTGTAAAGCAATTTACAATGAAGACATGGACCGAAAAATTCAATTTGTGTTGAGGAAAAATAGAATAGATCCTTTCCCAGGTTCCTTGTAACAGCCAAATAAAAATGTGGTTTTATTCTTAATACTGTGTAATAAAATAAGTCCTTAAATGTAAAAGTATAAATAGACAAGGCTTAGTAATAACTAAAGTTTAGTTTGACTTTATGCAATTTATTCAAAGGGATTTAGATTTCTATCGCAGTAGTTTTCACTGAATGGGTTGGAGTCGTCAAGATCATCGTTCTCGCGGAAGGGATTTTTTTCTTCATCATACTCATCCTCGAAAGGATTTGATGAAGCAAACCTAATGGAACTAGACCTGAGGGATGAGCTTTGCCTTAAAAGAAATATATTAAGTTCAAATGTTAACTTTAAAAAAAGGACCATAAAACACCTGGTTTGTTCTTCAGTTCTCATTCTGCCTTCGGATATTCTTTCAATTTTAAGTTGTGTTCTTATGTTTTCAGACTGTCTTAACCTAGCTTCAGCACCAAAACCATAATTTTTCACTTCCTTCTCCACTAACTTGTTTTTATTTGTTACTTTGGTTTCTTCTATCGGTAACAAGCTTCTCTGTAGACTTTCATCTGTTATGATCTTATATTTGTTAAATACGCCACGACCAAAATACTCTGCGGCAACAGAAAACCCATCATGGGCCTTTTCCAACTGAGAATGAAACATTTCATGCAAGTCTTTGTTATGTTCCCTGGCTTTTAACAAGTCCAACAAATTTTTATTCTCCGGTTGACAGGTCGGACATTCATTCTCGTCATCTGAAAAGCTCTGAAAGCAGTGCTGGTGGAAGCTGTGCTGACAAAGAAAATGTATGGCAGGTAACTCCAGGGGGTGGTGGCATGCCGCGCACCTCGACCCTCTTATCACGATAACCCCACTTTTCAGCGTTTCGAGGTGCTGCTTAAGATTCTCTGTGTCTTTCTGATACTTCTCAGTCAGTTCTGACATTTCTTTGGTTTTTTTCATTTCTTGCTGCAGCTCATTGGTTATATAGGATCTTATATGACCCAAAGTCATCTCGGCATTGCCCTTGCCTATAGCATCCACTACCAGCTGCGGGGAAAACAATCTTTCCTTCGCTATCACTGTGAATATCTCATTAAGAAGATCTGTAGACGGTTGACGACTGTCCCTGACACATGACCATAACGCGTGAACCCAAAGTGTCGGTTCTTGATGGCCAAACCTCTTGCAGCATGTCAAAACCGAATTTGAATCGTTCTGTGAGATGTGGTACCTAAAATTTCGAAACAACCTTTAGAATGTATTCTGCTAAAATGATGAATAGATCCCTATTCAAATTTTAATAGAATACCAAAAATAAGGAAATTAAGTTTATTTATTTACATGTTGGATTGTTGGTAACATTGGTGTGACTAAAATAAACTGACAGCTGTCAATATATCATAAATACATGAATCAACAATCCACAACTATTATGAAAGTTGCTGTATTCACTATCAGTGTTGCCAAAGGAAATTGTGGCATGGAGCACACTCGTTTCAGGAAAAAGGAACTAGTCTATTTTATAAGTTTTAAAATTTGCTCTTGCCTCAAAATTTGTTGATACAACTTTTGTTCTTGGTAGAGATACAAGATTCCTTCGCTGAAAGAATGCATGTGACACACGACTAACGCTTGCGATTTATCGCACTTTGTCTCGGGTTCCTGGAGAAGTTTTAATATTTTTTGAGAAAATTTATTTTTCTCGCCCACACTTTCCAAATTAGACCATACGTGGACGTAATGCTCGAGCAACGTATTGTACACCAAAGTGCTTAGGATGCATCCCTCTGACATTAAATGGTCCAAAAATTCCACCAGCCTTTCAGAGTTGTTTAAAAAGAGATGAATAAAATCCTCCGGGTCTGATTTCAGAACAACGTCATAGTTTCCCGTTAACATGCTATTTTCTGAAACGATAGGCGAATTATTGGGCTTGTAATTCGTGCAGAGCTTTTTGAGGAACTGGGTACTTTCGTAGGGTAAGTGTTCGACCAAAATTTTCCCGTATTTTTTCATATAATGTTCAGCTTCCTCAAAATTTAGATTTGAAATGTAATCAAGCACATCGGAATATTTCTCGTGGTCCTCAATTTGAATTTTTATGTACCAGTCGTGCTTTTCGTGCTTTTTCGCCAACATCAATGCTTCAGCTGGACTGCCATGTCTAAAAAATCCTTAAACTTAAGTTACAGATTATACACTGCAGTCCGAATTATAATGGAGAAACTTTCACAATGTATTCAGCAGATAAAAATGAGAAAAAAAAACATTTTTTCCTATTCTTTATATTTTTTTTTTATATATTCTTTATATATATATATATATATATATATATATATATATATATATATATATATATATATATATATATATATATATATATAATTTATAGCATAAATGAACTTGCTTTTATTTAACCAGTAGCGTTCGTAAGACAGTTTGAATTAATTTAAATAATAAAAAATAATGTTAAATGTTAATAAATTTAAATAATCTGATCAATTCTAAACAAAATGGTCTCTTCAGTTATTTCTGGGGTTATTCGAAAATATTAACGATTAGCATATTATTAGGCTAGTTTTGGCGGGTTAATTTTTTTAATATGAATTAGTATATACAAAACTTTCCACTGAGAATAAATTATCTCGCTGTAGAAAAGAGACAAATAATCTTCAAGGCTGCTGTCCTGTTAAGAATTTTGACGGAGATTTTCAAACTGGCAAATTCATTTTCCATACATCACTTTCAATTAAATTTATTTCTGTATATATATATATATATATATATATATATATATATATATATATATATATATATATATATATATATATATATATATATATATATATATATATATATATATATATATATATATATATATATATATATATATATATATATATATATATATATATATATATATAGTACAAATAGCTCACCGACAAACTTTGATAGCCACATCCACATCATAATTCAAGTCACTCTCCTTCATCAATATAAATTCCTTGAGACTGTCGCTTTGTCCAATAGAATTATTAAGTTTGGTGTAGCAGTTCAACAGCAATGTTGTATGATCCTCAGTGGCTTGCCCCTGCTTATGTAATGCTTGCAAATAGGTGGTTAGTTTATCCAAATGCTGTGAATCCAAGAACTTTCTTATGACGTAACTGGGTTCTAATTTTCCTATCGTTTTGATGTACTGATCCACTGCGCCATTAAAATCTCCCTTGTCACACAGGTGGTCTCCATATTGCTTAAAAATTGTGACCAGACCATCTGAGTCATATTGCTGCGATTTTGCAATTCTTATCGCTACATCATATAGATTTTTTTTGAACAAGAGAGCCAGTTTGGACTGAAGGTCTTTCTCATCAAGATGGTATACTTCATTGTTGACATCGAGTATGAAAAAAGAGCCCCATTCGTTCAATATTGCCTTTATGTTGGGCATTACACAAGAGAACACAATGAATTTGTTGTGAATGTCCAGTACTGTTATGAGATCACCTTGAACTGCACTGCCTTGACTTTCATTAGACATTGTAGTCATGGCTGTAGGACGGCTGTTTTTTGATATAATTACCAGATAGTTACGAAACCATTGCAACATAACCTTTTCCCCATCTATTGCGTAACATGGTCCCCTACCATCTGCAGAGTAGCAATACACAGCCTGAACCAAATAAACGGAAAACAAAATTATGGTAATCAAAATAATTGTGACTTACATCATTCCGACCAACCATAAAATGACATTCTTGGAATGATTCTGCTAAAACGCTGCAATTTTTTGCACACCCAATGTTATCCAGATGACACTAAATTGATAAACTCTTAAAATTTTACACACAACCTGAGCTCCTTACCTTCTGTTCCTTGTCCTTTTGGAAGATGTTGTAAACTATAATTGATCTGTCCGTGGACACAAACAGAAACGTGTTTGTCGCTAAAGACTTAAAGGCTAGCCCAGTAATTTCTGAAGAATGATCTTTAAATAACTTTTGTTTGCAGCTTCGTTCTCTTGTGATGTCTCCCCTTTAAAATTAGAGTAAGAAACAAAAAACTTTCCAGAAGTGAAAAGAAACCTGTATAAAAGCAAAGAGCCGTCAACAAAACCTATGGCCATTAATTGTAAACCATCATGCACAGTCAATACACTAACTTGTATAGGTCGACTTCCAGGCAACACTTTGCTAATTCTGTGGCAGTAGGGAATTCCATTTTTATCTAATCGACTTACATCCCATACTTTGAGTAAAGGATTTACTCCAGATTCATCTTGCTATTAAAATATAATAACATAACTTAGGATCAACATATCTTTATAAACATACTATTGATCATGGACAAAATACAAGAAATGCCGCAATAAACATTGTTCAACTACAAACCCCCAGGCACTGTGAATGTCAAATGCATATTTATTATTTAGGTCCTAAAGTATTTAATAGTCTTCCTAATAACATTAGGAAAAAAACAGATTCCCAATGTTGGAAATAATGGACACTGCATGATCAGGTTTAGAATTTGAAAGCATTAATAATTCCTAATGGAATTTACAGAAGTTTGGGGCTTTTAATTTCACATTTATATATACAGGATGTTTCAAAACAAATGAAATGCAAATATAATAATATGTTATATTGTATTGCTTGTTTTTGATATATTTACTATATAGTACTGTTGCTGTTACACCTAATAAATAAAAATAAATGTAAAAAGACATACTCCTATTGTAACCAGCAACGGAGAATTCCTTAATTGTTGGGAACAGTCTATCCTCAGTTCGTAACCTCTGAAAGATCTGATATACCATGAACGTGAAATGAGATAAATTTGACCTAAGGAGTCTCCCAGCACTAAATAATTGTTCCCGGCAGAAGTGGTTGTTACTTGACTTTCCTAGAAGTTCGATATTTAGCTAAAAAGAATATCGCAAAGACGTACTGAATACCTTAAACAATTCCGATAACTTGCCTTCATCAACGCCCTTTCTTAAATCAAAGAAATGAAATTTTCGCCACTAAAAATAAATAACTTAACGAATTCGATACATGAAAAACCGTACGCACTTGCCTCTAAAAATGCCATTTTTTTCTTTATTATTATTATTATATCGTTCAATATCTAGAATATTATCCCATAACCCCAAAAATAATGCAGGCAAGTAAAATCACAAATTGTTGTGGGGAACAGCTGATATTTGTCAAGGCTGTTGTTGGTTCCGGTGACCTCCATTCTTGAAATGGAGAGCATAAAAATTATTATTATTGTTACTGAAAGTATTTTATTTCATTTCGGTTAAAGAAAATGTAATCTTAAATAAAAAAAAAGAAATTTAAACAAGCAAATCAGTTCTAATTTCTTTAAAAAAATCTTCAGACAATTGTCGTTGACCTTGTCTTACCACAACGTGATTGACCAATCAGGATTAACGATTGATAATCAGGATGTCACGCACAAATTAACCAATTTTCAAATCAATTTTGTAAATAATTTAAATTGGAGTTGTAGATTTCTATTAAAATAAGACTTAAGTCGATTTTGCCTAGTTTTAATTGTGCCTCATTTTTGTTAACCAAAGAGAAATGCATTCAATTGTTATGACGATTTCCTAAAACTTTTATTAATACGCGGTGCTTCCGTTTCCTAGTTTTACTTTTACCACGGATGCTTTTGTATAGTTTTTGAATAACAAGGGTTAATGTGTTTGGTACGTGTTATAAAAAGTCTGAAATTCTAATTTTCGAATACTTTTCATTCATGTTTTCTGAAAAGAAACCAAAGTAGACTCAGTAGGCGGGAAAATGAAATCTAGGCAGTTCGTTTCCTCCATTTTTTAGATATTATTGACAGGTATTCGACATACGCGCACTTAAAGGAACAAAGATCGTTAATGAGTTAGAAAGAGATAACGCCATTATCTCGGTGTCTTAATCGGCAATGTCTTCGCACTTACGATCTAAAGATGGTTCAGATGTGTTATAGTTTTCAGTAAATTTTAAACACAGTTTGTTCTTATTTTTGGTTATTAATATTAATTTTAATTTGAAATGATCGTTTGAAATTATTTATTATATCTGTTTGCTGTGCACACAACGTAAGTTTCCAATAAGTTTTTTCAGATATAAGAATTTTTTGTTGTAATGATATTACACCATTTTGAATTTTCCTGTGTGGACATTTAAATAGACACGTTTTAATATCATTTGCATTTTTTACAGGTGTTAAGCGATGGGTTTGTTAATGAGGAATTACATATTCTAAAAATATGAGTGATTGTAGCCTGGACTTCTCTTATGGAATTCCTGATAATAAGGAAAAATATTGCAAATTCTCATATTCATCTTGGTGCCCAACTTGTGAGAAAACATCGCCCAGGAGACGAAGTCGAAGCGAAACAAATGAAATATGCAGAAAGAAATGTAAAGAAATGAAAACCCTAACCCCAAAAAAATATAATAAGAGCACTGAATATGAAAATATGGAGCTTGAATACGATTTTAAAGGCTGGCATGAGACAAAATATGATTGCTGCAGAATCAGATCAAATTTAGTTGAATTACCCACATCTTATATATCAAATAATTGTCAACCTGCGAATATCTCTAAAAATGACAGTGCCTATAGTGATTGTTTAAAAAGTGTCAAACATTATGATCAGAATATTAAGTTTGTTGATTTCAGTAATCATTTGGAAAATTTTGATGAAATGGAAAATTCCAAATTTTATACAAATTCTAAAATAGAACCTATAAAGTGTCATCTTAAGTCCAACGGCGTGATTCAGCCCAAATTGAAGGGTCCTGCTAGAGAACAATACCAAAATGACAATCAAAACATAGAAAACCCAAGCCAAAGATCCTGTGAATTGTCCAAAAGTCACATGTGCCCCGAAAACTGTTTATTAGGCAATGTTAAATGCCAGGATGTGAAAGATGGTAGGTCTTTATGTTGTGATACAGATACTTATTTTGATAGACCTGTGGATAAAGAGAGGTATGCACAAGAGGTCGAGTATCTCAGAGAAAAATTAAAAATTTTAAGGAAATGTACTTACGTGAATAATGAGAAGTGTTGTAGTGGCGATTCTGTTGAAAACTCTATTGACACTCTATCAACACCAAAACTAAAGAAAGATAAAATTAATTCTTTAGCTCCTGTTCCAAAAAATTCTAAAAGTAAAATAACCTTAAAAACCTGGAAAATAAATCCCTCACGCATCAAGAAGACGAAAGCTAAGGCTGCCAGCAGTGCTTTATCCATTGCAGAGAGGTAAGTGACCATCGATAGGTTGGCCATTTAGTAGGGGGCTACTAAAAAGGGAACTATACCCTATCTCGAAAAGTAATTGCTGTAAAGACTTCGGGTTAAAAAACTAATAACAAAAGTGCCACCAGGAGCGAAATAATCTTATATTAGCCAGCTAAAGTTGCAATAAATTAGATTCTTTTTTGTTAAATCATTTTGCGCTATCCCTTAAATGAAAGTGGTGGGGAGTGTTCAAACATTTTCGGAAATAAACGCTGCCCTGTTCAGATTGATTTGCTTGAATCGCGGTAGCGACACCACTATAAATAAAATTTATTTTTTCAAAAAAATTAAATGCAAGGATATCACTTTTATTGCAACAAAAAATGGCCAACAAAGAGTTTTACACACAAGTAAAAGTTCGAAATAATGTCGCATCTTGGGGAATATTTCCAGTATACCTGCCATTATTAAATCCTAATTTTGATTCAAAGAACTAACAACCCCAAAACACAGATGCAATTTAATATTATTGGCACTTAAATACCGCCATTAAAATTTTTGCAATTTAAGATTACCGATATTATTTCCAGTTTTTAGTGTTACCTTTATTTGTCTATTTTTCGTTGTATTGTTGCAATGATTTTTTTTGGGAAAATAAATTTTATTTGCACTTATATCGCAAACCGCTCTCTAGCGGCAATACAAGTGAAATCAATCCGGTCATGGCATGGTCTAATAACAGCGACAATTTTTTCGAAATAGGGCGGAGTAAGTTAAAAAAAATATAAGTTCGTGTTTGCATTGCTTGATCATTTTGTTATTTTAATCTAAGTGCAAAATGGTAACTGAGCTTTTATCAAAATTGAATTGGTACAATCCGTCCATCAATTTTTTTTACATTAAGGTAATTTAAATAAGTTTTCAACGCACTGCATTTTTTGCATTCGCAATTTATTTCACGGGGTCGCTTTTAATTATAACATCCTCACCATTGACCTACTTAACAACAGTTCCACCCGTATCATCGTATTGTTTTTGAATAAACGAGTGGGCGGGCGTCGCCACCTTGATTTGTCTATTTTTATTTCGGGCACTCACGGACTTGAATCACCCGAGAAATATTTTCGCATATTTTCACGTTTTTACGGGATCCCCTCCCTCCTCACCCGTCCCCCGAAGTCCCCAGGAATGCCGGGAACAATCCTTATTGCGACGTTGTCGATTCCCCGAAAATGTTTAAACAAAAATGTTCAGTAGTTTTCGCGCTTGTGGAAGGATCGGTACCAGAATATCGGTACATAACCCTAGTTACTGACATTTTGTTGTTGTTTTGGCGTGGGGGGAATTAGTTTCGTTTTGATGGTGGCGGCTTTGGTCCCTAGAAAATGCGACTGGATGTTATTGAAGATTACCAGGATTACAGGTATTTTTTAAAAGTTCATTGTTATTTATATGAGGAATGCGATTTCGTTATGTCCAATCTTTTGTACACAGTCAGCGTGATTGTGTTGTGTCCAACTCGTGGTAGATTTTACCACAACGAGATAAACTCCGAAATTATTGTATGCTTTTGAATGGAATTAATACTGGAAAAAAATTGAGGCGTATAGAACAATAATGTGAAAATCTTTTAGTATAGTAGGCAATGAAGCAAAAAAAAAGGAGCAAACAACAAACCTATATTGAAGGGTGCCGGGCCAAAAGAATTATTACATGTTAAAGCAGTGCTAAAATATTAAAAAACATTGTATCGAAACCGTCAACTGTTACTCTTGTGCTATATTTTCTAAAAAATTGTTCTTAAATTTATTTTTTATCACAAGGATCTTATTCCTTTCTACACATTAGATTAGTCGAAAGTGGGACTGAACTTGTTAATAATTTAAGTCGGTTTCATGCATAAACTTCTAAAATTGGTTCAGAGATGGCGCGTTTCGGGTAAACAGTAATTGTCAGCGTCAGAATGTACCAGACATCCATCCTCTGTGTATAGTCGAATTATAAGTTTTATGTGGCGAGATTTTCTGTATAAATGACAAACTAAATAAACAATAATATACCATGAGCAGTAATACTTTCCAAGTTCAAATACTTAGTTTTGGTTCGTAGCGATGGCGACGAGAGTGATGTCGTGGACGACGATCCTTTGGAAGAGGAACCTCTTAGTGACCCGTCCACCTATGATAATAGTACCAAGGATTCCTCCGATAACGCACCATTAAAGCGATTAGAAACCGGTGAGTACAAATTTCAGTTTGCGTCATATTATATGGCTTTTATCTGTGGTGCGTCAACTGCTCCCGTGCAGGTTAAAAAACCTTGTAACATTTAACTATTTTCAGTTTTGAGATTTTTAAAAATTAGTATAATCAAATCGTCTATCCGCCTGTCCGACTTTTTCAACAAAGTAGTTTGTTATTATTGGTTTTTAAGTGCATACATCCTGCGTTGCTGTGTCCGACATTCTGATCAAAACGTCAGCGGTATAATTTGACCTAAACTATACGAACATGTCTTGTGTTTTTTTAAATGTTACCGATATGTGACACTTTCTTGGCTGCACGGGTGTTCATTGGCGGCACCGACTTTAATTTTAGATTCGGTTAGTAAGAAGAAAATATGGGCACGCCCCCTTATTTCGAAAAATACTTATTAAATATAAACTGAATCGCATCGGGAATATATAAGCGACACGGGAAACGGGTTTCCCGGTGATTAATGTGTTTACATTTTCTCGCTAACCTTTTCGGCCAATCGAAATCCAACAGTAAGGAACGTTTTCGCGTTTTAAGATCGCCTTCACCCCCCGAATATCCCCGGTTTTGCTTTGACAATTTTCGTTTCATTCAAAGTGATCGATTAGATATTTTCCGTAGCGTTAACGACGTTGTTAGTGCATTTTGCGTAGGTGTCCGATGGGCACCTTGCTAATATCTGCGATGGGCACTTAACTTGCGTGACGTCACGCTTCGAAATGTCAAGTTTAAACGCCGTTTCTTTTTTGATTTTTGTGTATATTTAGAATTTTTATTTTTATAAGCGGCATATTTGGGTCAAGATCGGCAATTATAATTGGGAAATCAGTAGGATCGAGAATAATTATTGAGATTACGTTGTTAAGCTTTGAAAAGATGATTGTTCGGTGGTTCTAAATGGCCGTCATTTCAACTATCCAATAACGTCAATGGAATTTAAATTTGATGAAATTGATTTAAAATTGTGTGTTAGTTACTTGCTTTTATACTACTTCTTTAGTATTGTTAGATTTTTTTACGCCCATTAAGATATTAAGATGCTATACATACTATAGTATGAAACCTGTCAAACATACAATACTGCGAAACATTAAAATAACTTTTATAACTCACAAAGTAAATATTTCTTTGCAAGTACAATAAGCAGTAAAAGTCTTCGTAACAATACAAAATACATTTATTATATCCTTATAGCTATTAGATATACAGAGGCCTTGCATGTGTTGATAATAAATTAACTCCGTGTGTGTGATGGAAAAGTGAGGCAAATTTTGACATAGGAAAGGACGGCTAATGATGGGGACCCTTGTCTTTCTCTCGATAATTTATATAAATTTGAGAAGGGACTGTTTTAGTTGTATAATTACTTTAATTATCGATACAATATTTACTGAAATTATTTGCATATTACTATCTGCCGATCAAACAATATTTTAACCGTTTGTAAAAAGAGAGATAAATTTAAAATAATTACATGTTCTTTAACGTTTTAAAAATGTTATTCGCAGACTTAAAATGCCCACTTGTTTACCTACACTTAATAATAATGTTTTTTGTTTATTGAAATGGGAGAAATACATACTGATTTACTTTTCAGTCTTAAATAATAAATAAATTAACTTTTGTTATTATATTTATTATATAATTCAATGAGTTATTATTTATTTAAAACATATTTTTCAGGTTCCGGAGACTGCACGGTTTGGCCGGTGAGGCCGAGCCTATTCCCGAACATTCCGCCTTACATTAAGTTTAGATCCCACGACACGGAAACAGCTTACAAAGTGCCTGTAGGTAGAAAATTTTTCAAATGGAAGCTCAGCACCATCACCCCCATCATAGTTAGGAAAACGCTTACAAACTCGGGTTTCGCGTTGGTTAGAAGTGAGTTGGATAAAGGTGTGCCCCCCGCCCCCTTCCTACCTGTCCCTATCCCCACCTAACCATCATTTGGGCGGCGAAAGGCGACGGTGTTTTTTCTCAACGCGCCTTTTTGCCATTACCGGCGCTGTACGTTTCAGAAACAAACCAATGGCTCGGCACGTGGGGCAAACACATGAAGTCTCCCATGTTTAAGACGCTGAAGGAGACGCAGAAGCTGAATCATTTTCCCGGAACCTTCCAGCTCGGCCGGAAAGACCGGCTTTGGCGCAATTTTCAACGGATGATTAGCAAACACGGACTTAAAGAGTGAGTCGCGTAACTATAATACCGGGTGATGTAAACATTGCTGAGTCCAGAAAATATTACCGCGATGATGGTAATGCACCTTAATTTGACACATAACCTAAGTCGAGTGTAAAGGTTGATATAGGATACTCTCCAGAAATTTCACTCTTTTCGATACTCTAGAATAAAATTGAAAAAAGCATTACTTCTTTTGAAAAATCCAATGTTTTGGACGATACAATTTTTATGTCAACCGGTTTATTTTTTCTTTCGCCTTTTTTGGCAAAAATTGCTTTCGCCAGATTCGGATTTCTACCTCACACCTATATACTACCTCAGGAAATGAAATTACTGAAACAAAATTGGGAGTTTAAAAACGGCAACGGCAACGAAATGTGGATTATTAAACCCGTAAGTACCGAGGAACTAATAAAAAAATCCATTCGCAAAACGGGGTGGGTGTTATTGTAGCCCGCATCGGCCAGAGGCGTGGGCATTAAAGTGATAAACAAATGGTCTCAGCTTCCCAAAAAGACATCCCTGGTGGTCCAAAAATACATAAGCAACCCTTATCTTATCAATGGCAGCAAGTTCGATCTTAGGCTTTACGTTTTAGTAACGAGCTTCCACCCTTTAAGGATATACCTTTATCCCGAAGGGCTAGCCAGATTTGCGAGTGGTAGGTTCGCGGCGGTGTTCAGTCTGGCGGTGTTTCACGGTTTGTTTTAGCCAAATACAGCGACGACGCCAAAGATTTAAAAGATCGATATATGCACCTCACCAACTATAGTATAAACAAATTGTCCAGTCAGTATACGACGAACGAGGACGCGAACGCGTGTCAAGGTCACAAATGGTCGGTTGACTTTAAGAAAAATTGTCCCTCAGCGTTATCGTTTGGCGGTCTTTTTTTCAGGACCCTGTCCAAGCTCATGGAATACTTGCATTCGGAAGGTGTGGACACGAAGGGTTTGTGGAAAAACCTGCAGCAGCTCGTGATTAAGACCATTATATCGTCCGAATCGTTAATCACTCCACTCTGCGAGGATAATATGAACAGTTTCTATAATTGCTACGAACTGTTTGGTATAGACGTCCTCCTCGACGAACATCTAAAGCCTTGGTTACTCGAGGTTAGTGCCGCAAGTGTAACCGAAACTGATGGTAGCTAAATTTTAATGGTAAATAATAGAATAAACAAACAAAAATGGATGTGAAGCCTGTTGCACGGTTAGAAGTAATAAGAATGTTAAATTGTTTTTTGCGTATTTTGATCTTTTTAATTAAAGATGGGAGAACCCCTTGGTAGTACCTTGATTATAATAATTACAGTAAATATTTTATTTGTGAAAGCAACGTACAAAGATCCAGGTATTTTTCTCTAACTAACCATTATGATCATGAGATTCACTCAGTAAATTGTATTATGGCATTTCAATAGCACCTTATAAATATATACAAGGTGTTTCGAAAATGCATCGCTAAGTTTTGGGGTAAATATAATATTAACCCAACCCAACGTTAGTTGGATTAATAAACATGTCCGATAACGCCTGCGGCTGTTTTTAATTTTTTATTTACATCGTCTATGAATACAATCGCTAACAATAATTTTAACAATAATAATTATGTTGTTTTACGATAGAACATTTACATTATTTTGCACATTAGCATATTATATTCGTGAATATAGATAAATTCGTATCTATTTATAACTTTCTTCCCTTGCCCTTTCTATTTTTAGATCACTGGAAAGTGAAAAATAATTAGAGTTGAGATGAAGGGCTTTGATCTTAGGGTAACCTATTAGTCAAAAATTCGCGATACTCTGATGGAAACGCAAAACTTCAAGGTCATTTTTGCTCGGTAGGCGGTCGCAATAGACGTTGCGAATCAAATGAAGGCCCAAATTATTTTTCACTTTCCATTGTTCTAAAAATAGAAAGAGCAAGGCAGGATAAATAGATATGAATTCGAATATAATATTATACTAATGTGCCAAATATTGTCAATTAATAATTTTCAATAGTAAAACAGTTGTAATTTTTAAAATTATTTTTGGCGATTGTATTGCTGATAAAATAATTTTCCATGGGATGCAAATTTTTTCCATTGGTTGAAAAAATTTTGTAAAAAAGAAAAAAATTAGGATTTTATTTTTTCTTCGAAGCGCGAATATATATATTTTTAAATATTCTTCCTTGTGGAGCATTAAATTCCCTTTAAAAATTAATATTATTCTTTTTTCTATATTGAGATGCTTGTTAGTTTCAGTTATAAAATTCAAAAATTAAAAAGTTAGATCAAAGAAAGCTTATGAATGTTTATATTTTTCATAAAGCAAAATGGTAGATTTTTCTGGCCCAGTGTAGTGCAAACTTATACCGCAAAAGCATATCTAGGTTTGAATTTTAAAGAAATAAGTGGTATTTTGTCAAATTTCGAGTTATTTCTTTAAATTAACTGTTTTCCGTTCAGGTGAATATATCCCCGAGTTTGCACAGTGCCTCGCCCCTAGACGCTCACGTCAAAGGTCCCCTGGTTCAGACGCTGTTCGACATGGCCCAATTTCACTTTCCGATTAAGCTGGGCCAGAACGTGAAGACAGCGCCGCAGTGCTTCGATTCGAAAATTTACTGCAGAACGTTGACAAAGAGGGAGCGCAACAAGCACACGTACTTTACAGAGTTCGAGGGCCGGGAGGACTACGTCCACGATATCCTCGTAGATTTAACGGGTAGCCCTTCGCCGCATTGCTCTAGGACCCGCCTATTACCGTTATCGTTTCAGGCGACGACGTGCGGCACCTGACCAGGGCGGAGGACGAATACGTGGTGAAAGGGAAGTTCGAGCGGATATTTCCGACTGCACATACCCACAAGTATTTAGATTTCATGGAGGTGAGGTATTATAATCGTCTGTTCGACGCGTGGGAGTCGCGGTACGCGTCCAGGAGAGAGGACGGTGAGTGTGGATCTATCTGTTGAATCTATGTATCAGAAGAAATAAAATTTTCCAGGTCGTTGTCCATTGTCTGACTTGGTCTTCGTCCATTATCTGACTTATCTATTTTTTTTTAAATATTTCCTTTATGTATAGGGTGGGCCGTTTATCTTGTGACCCTACCTTATCTCAGAATCTATAGGGGATGGAGCAAAAAGTTAAATACAAAAGATAATTGGGGTATTCCAAATCTTGAATTTATTTTAATTTTGCATATACATTTTTCGTGGGCGAGTCTCAACTTTCTTGTTTTAAATGGAACACCTGGTATACTACTTTGTTTTTGAATTTTATACAAAATTTTAGACATAACCGTTTTTGACATTTTTAATTTTTTATGCGAAAAATGACGTTTGCAAGACTTCTTCTGACAATTTCTTCATTCGGAAGCATTTATTGTTTCACTTGATCAAGTTTTTTTTGTCAACGAAGGACTCGAATAATGGATTTCATAAGAAATTTCGATACATATTTATACAGGGTACGCGAAAAATAAGATTAAAAATGAAATTAAAAAACTTTTTTTTTTAAATGGAAACTACCCATTTCTCTAATCGTGTCATATTTAGCATTAAAAATTAAGGCAACTTTATATTAGGTTGCCCAATGAATTTACTTTTTGAAATATTTCCTTTTAAACATTTGTCTATCACAAATAATATGGCTGTTTCCATATAAGTTCAGTTAGTGTAAGGTGGCTATGACGGCGTTTGAACAAAACAAGTGCTGAAGTCATGATTTACCATTTAATAGTTGACCATAATCTTGCCAATGCGCTTATGAAGTTCCAAAGATTATGTATGTATTATTTATACAGAATAAGACCAAGGATAAGCGACAACATCGGTGATTTTTTTTTAATGAACGATAAAATAAATAAATAATTAAAATAAATCAATAAAAAAAAATTAATAGCTTACAAAGGATAATTTTTATTGTGACAGTTGTGCAATATGTCCTGCCCTTTGAGTAATACAAGCAGCATAACAGCTTCAGTCCCATTTAAATGTCCGATACCTTCTCTTATCCGACATTGACGGATTGTGTTACCTGTAAATCTTTAAGTGTACCCCACAGAAATCTAGGTTAGTTAAGTCATTGCTCCTTGGAGGCGAGGGGAAACCACCATTTTCGCCAATCCATTCTGTATAGTGGGCATTTAAATAGGTGCTAATTTCCGTGGTAAGCAGCGCCATCCTGCTAGCTAAAATAAATTTCGTCGTCCCCTTTCAGGCACTTCATTTTCAACAAAGAGATGGATAATATTTAAAAAGTCTCAGTAGCGTTGGGAATTTACATTCTGATCAAAAAATACTGGACTCATTATTTTGTACCTCCAAATGGCACACCATACTTGTTCTACCTGATGTTGTAACTCCCATACGTTTTTTATTATTGTTTTTCCAGTAATTGGAATTTTTCCAATTAAAAATTTTAGTTGAGGTTGTACTCATCTGTCCAAATAATATTAGCAATTATATTTTCTGAAAAATGTCTCTCCATAAGATTGTTGCAAAAATCTAAGCTGATGTTGTAATCCTGTTGCACTAATTTCTGCACTGGACAGAATTTATAGAGCTTCCAGTTTTTATTTAAAAGCACGTTCGAAGCGTTGTTCTTTTGACATGTAGATCTAAAGACGCATTTCGGCTTAAATCTTCAGGGGCCTCTGCAAAATGCAACAAAATATTAAGTTGCTCTTAATTATTCAAAATACGACTTTTTTTTTCTTCAAAGTTCCACATATTCTAAAGTCTTGGTAAATCTTGTCGAAGATCTTTTTTTCTGAACACCTCAATGGAAATTTTTTCATATAATCTCTAAGAGGCAGGGTCCAGTTTTTATTGTTCGATATGTAACTTTGTAACATATCCTTTGTGGTAAACAATACGCAAGCAGCCTTCTTGCACTTGTTTTGTTTATACGCCCTCATAGCCAACTTAGACTAACTGCTGAACTAATATGGCAACAGCATATTATTTGTGATAGACAAATGTTTAAAATTAAATATTTCAAAAAGCAAAAATATTAGGCATATACAACTTTATATAAAATTGCCTTAATTTTTTATGCTAAATATGACAAGATTATAAAAATAGGTAGTTTCTATTAAAAAAAAACGTTTTTTGGCAAATTTTTAAATGATTTTTTTAATTTTAGTTTCCGCGTACCCTGTATTATTATATATCGAAATTTCTTATGAAATCCGTTATTCGAGTCCTTTGTCTACAACAAAACTTAGTCAAGTGAAACAATAAATGCTTTCGAATGAAGAAATTGGCATTTATTTTACGATTTGCATTTTTCGCATAAAAAAATAAAAATGTTAAAAATGGTTAGACTTAAGTATAAGACATTATACACAAAATATGTCTACACTTTTGCATAGAATTCAAAAATGAAGTAATATAACAGGCGTTGCATTTAAAATTAGAAAGTTGATACTCGCACACGAAAAATGAAACACCCTGTATATACAACATTAATATAAATTGAAGGTTTGTAATACCCCCAGTAACTTATGTATTTAACTTTTGGCTCCATTCCCAATAGTTTCTGAGATAAGGTAGCGTCCCAAGATAAACGGCCAATAGCTTTATGCAACTGAATGTGCAGGAAAATTTTATTTCATTTGATTGCTTATATTTATGGGAGACGGGGCAAGTCATCCGCCACCAAAAATTGGAAACTGAAAACCCATTGTTTCCCAACTCTTTTTTCGGTAAAATGTCATATTCAGTGCACACGGTATCTTCCGGTATCAATCTTGATCTGAGGGAAGAAATTTTACTTGTTTGTGATTTTCATATTGACTGCATCAATGTCAGGGACCTTTTCCACCTATTATTAAATTATGAAACTATTATGAAATTCCACCCTTATGTCGCTTTATCGATTATTAAGGGGTTATAGCATAATTTTTTTGACGTTGTGTTTAATGTTAGGGATCTAACGTGTTCAAGAAGAATTTAGGTCTAGGTCTTCTCAGAGCAGCATTAGGTCCTAATTATCGCCAAAACCACATTCGCTTTCTAATATTCCGCATTTTCGGATAACCGAATAGGAAACAACTGCTACAAAAAATTACCTTTAAACTACTGGCTCAAACAAGTAACGACAATAGGAAGGACTTCTTTGGTATGACGAAATTTGATGTTGAGGATGCATTAGGTGTTCTTTAGAATAAACAAGAAACTAGTCAAATAAAAATAATTAATTTCATAACTCAAAATATTTTTTATTTTCGACACTGACAGCACGGTATACGCTTTAAACTTATTCCGCGTTGAACTTCATCGGTTAACAAGAGAAAACGTTATTTCTGACCAAGTGCGCACCCTTCAAATAAGAGACAAAGTAAAACAACGCCAAAATAAGAGGTGCAAAAAGTCCCTATTGTGCTTTATATGGTCTCTCCTGTCTCTTGTCCACGATAATAAAACCCTGCCGAAATATATTTTGTGTTTGTTATCGCACGCAGGAATTGCTCTGCTGCGGACCCTCTGCGCGCAGAAAGTGCACCTGAAGGTGGCGTCGCCGTGCCTGTTGGAGAAGGTAAGTGTATGCGTTTTAATGATTTTGTTTGGCTTCTTTTTCTTCGGGTCCTTTCGAGCTTGCGTCGATCATTGTTTATCGTATCCATTCGAGTCATCTCGTGCGCATTGTGTTCACATGTCTTTGTTTCGATACGACACATCCATCACACCCCCCCACTCTTCCGAAGGCGAGAAATTTCATAATGGGCGCGCTGCGTAACGTGTGCTCCCTCTGCCGCAGTAAGTTGTCGGTGGTTGTCTTGTCGAGGTTTTTTGTTTGCCTTAACATGTGGTCATACTAATGCAGGATAACTAGTTTTTCTTTTTATATTTAGTTGCGCCGTATTGGTACGTCGAAATAAGTCGATCTGCACGTGTAATTACACTATGACCCAGATGTCTACAAATTCGCGTATGGTGTGTCTCAAAGTATATGTCTTGGCTTTTGACGCACCGTCCCCCAAAAAAGTAATTAGGACCTTCATACCTACTGGTACTGGGTAAACCCAAAACCAATAATTTATTCATAGGTGAGGGACACGACAGGTAGATATCGACCGCGTGTGATCAGTGGCAGTGGCAATCATTTCGTTTTACCGTGCGTTTCAGAAAAGCTTACGAGTATATCACTAAAATGTGTAGGAATGTTTAATAAGTAGAGGATTCATTAAACAACAAGCTTTAAAAGGAACCTGTCTAGTTACAAAAACGTCAGTATCATCGATAAAGTATATTGTTAACAGTGAATTATTATTCAATTTATATGATAAGAAGGAAAAAATATTTCACCTATTAAAACCAGACTGTTCCTGCTTTAGGAAGATAAAAGCAATATTATCATTAGCCGTGCTTAATCTCCTCCATAGAGTTATTTGTAAAATGGGATTTGAATACTGCAAAATAAACTAAAACACTTGGAAATATAATTACAGTCAGGGAATTAAAAAGTATAGATACGAAAACAGACGTATATTTTACCTATATGAATCTTAGTTTGATAGCCACGATGCAAAGGATGGGTTAGTTCCATTAAAAGCTGCCATAATTCTCATTGAATTAAGAACTACAGCTTGACCTATTATCTAGAGCAAGCTTTTTGAAACTGGTTTCAAAATTTCTATTAATACTAATGTGATTTTATCATACCTAAATAAACGTCATATAATATTTGAACTTTATATTTTTAAAACACCGTCTTTGCCTGATATCCGTCATACAGGTGGTCAGGTGTTTTAATGCCGTCGACAGGTTATTTCGATAATTTCAGTTAATAGCCACGATATACTTTGGGACGCATACTATGTGCATTCTTGCGTGAACATTATGTCCAATTTTGCTGTAATTTTTTGCACAAATGGCCACCACCAAAACCATCAGCTATATAGAGAGAGAGGCTTGTTTTGGCGGAACAATCGCGTTGTTTAGACGAATAGCGGATCTAAGCGGTCTAGGTCGTACTAATACATTAACTAGGCATTTGTGTTTAATATTAACGGTTTCGCTCGTTGAATTTAGAAGTGTGGTAATAGTTGTGTTAGTTAGGCACTTTCTAGATTAAGTGTTTTCTTTAGCTGGCTGAGCTCCGAAACTGTCGGGTAATTAATTGTTTATAGCTTAGTCGGAAGTAATGATAACATGAGCCAACGTCACCATAGATTAAAAAATATCTCGAATACTTGTTAATTGAGGCACAGGATATGGTGCCATTGTTGAAATTGAGATGACCCGAAGAAGTTGATTCAAATTTTATGCTCTTTTTCATAATCTATGAATTGTAGCAAATGCGTAAGTCATTCAAATTATAATCTATACGTCTGACAACAAATATCGTAAAAATAACAAATATATTAATTTTATAATTTTTGTAGGGTTTCGCTCTTATGTTAAATTATTTGATTATAAAAACATGGCAACTGGAAAATAGTTGAATGTATGCACTTACGTATCTACGATAGTTGTTTTGATAGGAATTCAAGCGAAAACTATCTTAAAATTACCGCTTTTAGTTTTCCGAATTATTTGGATAAAAAAATATAATTTTGAATTTTGTTTTTTTTTTTTTTTGTTTAGTTAGTTTTTTTTTAAACAAGGAGATAAATTTGTTTCATAATTCAATAAGCGCCATAACAATGGAGCATTACTTCTTCCCGTCTTGTCCGATCCTAGTGCAGTTTGTCACGTCTAGATCAATATATAGATGAAATTATTGTAGAAATAGATTCCTGAAACGCGCCACGTGCGTGCGGCACGCCCATTTTTTTTGCAATTTGTGTTTATAGAACTCGCCGAATACGATCCATGGGGTGGAGATCAAAGGGCAACGTCCGTCGGTGGAAGGTCAGACGAATGGTGTTCGTGAGATGCCAGTTTTAGGTCAAACGCCTACCCTTAGCGAAAAGCGGCTTATATCAGGTGTGTTTGCGTTATTCAATTGTTTCAAGGTATAATAACGACCGTTTTTTTGATAGGCGAAAACGCAAAGATCAGCATAAACTGCCGAGACTGCTAAACCTTTTTGGAACCAGCAGAGCCAATAAAATTATAGTTCAATTTTTCTCGTTTATAACGTTTCGTTTTTTTTTGCATTTATTTGTATTAAACTATTCTCAATTATTTTTATTTGTAACTTATTTAGCGATTATTGTATTTTTATGATGTTTCAATAACAAAAAATTAATATGTCGTTTTATTCTTCGATAACTATAAAAAATATATATACACACAGATCTTAAAGGAAATACTGGGTCCATTCTCACGTAGCGTTTATAAAATATCACACGAGTCTCGCAGTCTCATCATCACCTTACTGTCAAACTGTTTAGTTCCCATCTTCGTCCGACGCTTCTTGCTCATCGAGCGTTGTCCAAGAACCTTAGAAACAACAAAGTTAATCCTATTAGCATCAGAAATAGGACAAAGACTTACTGTCCGACATATTATCAACAGGTTCGTCGTCCCTTAAGAAATTGTTGGGTTCATTCATAGGTCGTAGAGGTAAGGGTCTAGGTATGTGCCTTATTTGTACGTTAATGTCCAACTGCATTCGTATGTCCAAAACCATAAAACCCACCACTATAAGCAGAGGCAATCTGTACCTACAGTCCCACGCTAGTTTCAGCAAAAACATTAACGGTTTCATCGATTCCTTGAACCTGAAACGCCAAACTGCCTTTTACGAGGAGATTGGTTTTAAACCTATTTATATAAGCTAATAGCGTTATGTCGAAAGTTCCAATTCGATTCAAACAATTGACTAAAAACGGCGAACCATTCGTCTCCCCACTGTTTTAGCGATAGATTGTTTTTAATGACGATGGTTAAATTATTAGCCACGTCTCTAATTCTAGACTTAACATCGAATTTTTGTTTAGTAAGTATTATACTTTGAAAAAAGCCAAAAATCATAAAATCCCAAAATATAACCTTGAAAATGTGGAGTCAAAATGCCAACCTTCGTGATCAAACAAACATTTGGCTAAAATGTTGTATCGAGTAAGAAAGTTGTGTCAATCCAAAGGTAGATTTTTACAAGAAAAAGTAATAGACATACATTCATAAACGTTAAAACTTTTTCGTCTCCCGTAGGTCTAACGAAGTCTGAATGCAGCGATTGGATATTTAAAAATTTTATTAGCAGTCGATTGCAAAAAAAGGATTCTGTTGCTACATGAAAATTCATCAACTTTTGAATTAATTATTAATTACAAATCAAGGTCAAAATTATAAGGCGGGGCGTTTCTCTCGGAGTTAATTTGGAACAGCCTCAGGTTAAATAAAAGACTACTAATAACATTTTTAAATATTTATTTAGTATGGACAACATTGCATACTTTTACATGGAATGCGTTTATCGATTTTCCTTTAAGCATTGACCCTATCGAAATAATCGACGGTGTCGCCACTTTTAAAATCTCCTTTTTCCAAAACCTCTAGCAATTTGGAAACGGTTTGATTAGTGGTCAAAACGGTGTTGGCGCGAATTTCCTGAAACGTGGACCTGACCTCGTCAGACTGGGCAACATCGCAAACCATATCGAACATATCCGTCTGAACAGGTCCGGGGGAATAATTCAAAACAATTATATTTTTGTGTTCCAATGCGAGAACCTTGAAGAATAATTCGCGAGCTGCTTTCCCGCTACCGTACATCGCCGAGTTTGCAAAAGGCACTTTGCCAGCTAGAGATGATATATTCACGATTACCAATTGAGGCGCGATAGGCCTTATATGTTTGATAAAAGCATTGTTGAGTAAGACAGCGGAAAACAGATTAAGATCATAATATTCCCTCCAGACCTGCAGGTCTGACAATTCCGTCGAATCTTTGAGAACTCCCACATGGGCGGCATTATGAAATATAAGGCCAATCTCAATTCCAGAAGAATCGATTGACTTCAAGACTTGTTTGAAAATATCATTGTACAAATTTAAGTCTGGCTTGGAAAGGTCAACTTTGTATGTTAGCACTGTTAAAGACTTGTCTATTTCCAAAATTAATTGTTTTGTTTTGTCTAACCCCGATTCCGACCTGGCGAGTAAAACAAACACGGAATCTTGGTTGACTTGCCTGGCGGATTCTACAGCTATAGTTTGGCCAATTCCCTTTGAAGCACCCGTGACAAAAACGATACATTTCTTTGAAAAATTCGTTGCACCAGCCATTATAAACCAAACTTTTAGTAACAAATTTAGTAATTACGAACCTAATAAATTCAAGGACTGCGGTTTTCTGTAGGTGGCGTATTTACAGCCGGATCTTTATCGTCCCTACCTAGTTCATCATACTTTATAATGTTAAGAATTTCTCCTTGATTGAGAGCTTGCCGTTGGGTTAATATAGCGCGAACGATTTGCGAGCTGGAAATGGGTTCGTCCAACGACGAGTATTCAAAATAGCGTTCAGATTCCTCGTTTAACAGTTGTCGCATATACACCTCTTTCTTCGCCGCCAATTGTTGGAGTATGTTGGGATCGTTCTTGATTTTCAGCAATTTCCCTTCTGTAAATACACGCCGGTGCCGTTTGTTCAAATTTTCATTTCTATTAATTCTTACCGAGAACCGCCAAATATTCTTTGTGGTCGGGTAGTTTATCGATGAAATTATCCTCGAATTTTAAAGTGTTTTTATCCGAAATGTTCAACCTCGATTGACAAGACTGCCACGGATCCATTTTTTTTTATACACAGTGACGCCGCAGATCATTATCTCCGTGTTGGTTAGTTAAGAGTGCAAAAGCGAGATAAAATCATGCCACGTTTTCGTTGGCCGTCAAATGTATCACGTGAATCGAGATTACGACGGTTGCCAAATCATGGGTCGTTCGTGGACATTTACGACGAATGCGGGACATATAAATTTTAATATAATAATAATAATACATTTATTGTTAACTAAATGATGTAAACATAATAAGCAATATATTTTGGGCTTTTCAACTGCATAACCAATAATCCTAATATTTTTATCAATAGTGAACAACAAAATATCAGAAATAAAACGCAAATAGAATAAATCGGGTATATTAAGTATATACGCATTTAAAATATTACACAATAGGTTATTGGTTGACTAGATATAAAATATAGGTTGTCCTTTGGTAAAACTAGATCACGCTTCAACATAAATTTTTATATACCTTTAAAAATATTGCAAATTAAATTTTGATATTTTTAAATGCGAAAACGATGCGGAACAATTTTTGTTATAATTACCTATAATGTTTTCTTAGAAATGACGCACTGTTATGATCGCCTTATTTAGCCATTGCCAATATATTTCAAATCACAGCCCTGGAAGGTCATCATCAGTAGATTTCTCATATCGTCCTTCGACATCTCGTAGCCGTCAGCGCAACTCAAACATCTTAAATACTCGACGTACGCGTACTGACCAATAAATGTGCTTTCATTCAAATACATTTCGGCATTTCGCCTATCAAAACTTTTTGAATTTCTGACATAGTTTTCATCGATATCGGCGGCGGCCTCATCCGGAACCATTTCTTGATGCTGATGCTTGACATTAACTAGAAGATAATAAGGGAGGTGTATCGATTATTTATGAACAAGGATTATCACGGCAACTTGCACGTGCCGATTGAAAACCGACCGCTATTTTCGAATTTCGTTAGAAAACTGATGGGAGACTATAATTTACAGCATCTAAGCGCAACATGGCACGCCATGGGTTGTTAATTATGAATGGGCATAAATAGCCTCGGAAAGAGGGTGGGGTAGGGGTTATTTTAACGGTCCCTACGCTTTATTTTTGGGGTGAGCGCCTGTGAAGCGAATGTGGGATAGGGGCGGTCAGTTCAGCGGAGATTATTAACAATAGAAATCTTTACAGCTGCGACACGGAAGAGACTTGTACGGGGGTGTGAATTTATCATATAGCTGTTACATAATATCAAATTGCTATTAGATATATGTATATAGAGGCCCTGTATACGCCAATAACACAGGAACTTATGAAGCTACTGTGACAAAAAAAAATCGGATTGTCAATTAGACATTCGCATGCGCGAAATTTATAACTTTGTTTTTAGCCAATATGCTTTCGGCCTTCAACAACCAACATGGCCGCTGACAGATTTTCAGAAAATTTAGATACAGCAGTGTTTTCCTAAATTATGCCTACACTTCATTAAATGTACTGAAACAACGGGTTAAGCGTGTGGAAATAGTTGTTCAGAAAGGAAATGGTGCAGGTTAGTGGATGAAATTCACTTTCTCTACGACAATATCATTGCCGCCTGCGGCGCATCGATTTTTGCCGTGGTAGGGCCACTATATTATCTGATAGCTATATTCATAATATAGTGACCGCAACTAGGATAAAAATTGATGCATCTTAGGCGGCTATTGCATTTTCGAATAGCAGAAATTTTGCGCATTAACTCGCACTTTGCGTCATTTTGTTTCTGAACAGAGGTCTCCACACACTTAACTCGTTTTTCTAGAACATATATCGAAATCTTGAGAAAATATTGAAATAAAAATGTCAGGTCCAAATTGAAACCTGTCGAATTAACGAGCTGTCAGCGATCACGTTAGATGTTGAACGCCCCTAAGCAACACCTCCTACATCTCACAAGTCCGTGAAACTCTAAAGTATGAGAATCACATTAGGAAAGCTATATATTTGGTTAGTTTTGGTTGGGATTTCATAATGTCAAATATAGGTCAGAGGCTAACGAAAAATTATCAATCTTCTACATTATTTTAATGTTTAAAATATATTACAAAAACGGTCTAGAAATTCATACAGAGGTGGTCCATAGATGTTTTAAAAATTTTATTTGTTTTAATGAATCATGCGAAGAACATATTTATGAAGGATTACGTAATATAAAGTTAAATTTTATATTAAATATTACTTACTTAATATTACCTGCAGCATAGATTGTATTATTAGCACTGAATAAAAAAATTAATAAATAAAAACTACTTTTGACCAAACGAGGTGTTTTTCTCTTGGCTGTTTGTTAACTGTTCTTGGAAAACGAGTCAAGTGTATTAAAATCGATGTTTAGAAAGAAAATGACGCAAAGTTCAGATTAATGGGAGAAAAATAGAGACATGCCCTTCTGTACAAATAGGCATTTAATCTCCTTTTCGTGATGACTCACAGATAGTCTGTGTTTTACTGCCTGTATTGACAGATGTTATGCCATTTGGATTGATGGACATAGTCCTGGACACATTTTCTCCTATCAGTCAGCAGGAATCTGGCGACCCCAGGGCTTATGGGGAAAAATATTCGTCCTTTGTTTTCTTGACGTTTTGATAGATATCATATAACTAATATTAAATTAAATAATTAATTAATAAATCAAATAAGAAGGCTTTATCTATGATGATAGAACAGGTACTCCTCTTATTCTTCTTTTTGACCTGTTGAGCTCGCTATCGGAGAACACTCGCGCATTTCCGTTAAGAGGTTTGTACTTTTTTTGTTGACCACATTTAGCAGTTTTGTTCAAGAATCCCTTAGCCGCGTGAGATATGGCAATTTTACCGCAATTGAGATTTCTAAATTGAATTTATAGATAATTCAAACTTCTATACAGACTTCGCTATTCCACCTATGCGAATGCTTGCAAGAATTCCAGTTAAATGATATGGGATAATTATTGTGGATTGTTGTGATTAGAACATAACCTATAATGGAGAGCTTTTAGGTTTTAAAACAAATTCCAGGGATGTTTTTTTTTAAATATCGCTTAATCACATGCGACGTGCAAGTTTATACAGAATAGAGATTACGTTATCTGCAATCTTGCAGGAATATTTGTAATTAGAACATTAACGGAAGTACATTCATAGCCTCCTTATCAACAACCGCATAATTTTGGGGTCATTAGATGCATTCCATTGAATAATTTGATATAGTGCAGTTCCTGTTCCGGTATATTTTTTCAAAGATATGAAGATGAATTCTAACGCAGTACGTAATAAGTCGTTAATTTGTTTATACAAGGTTCACCACGTTTGCAGTTGTTTCCTAAGTTTACATTCCTTAATCTTTATTTTTGCTGAAGATTTTAAAAATCGGTGGAAGCATAGACGCTAAACAGGATAAGATGGTTCCAAGTTTATTTATGCAGTGTCATCCAATAACTAATGCGAAAGAGATTAAAGATGTGATTTTTGAACCACCATCGTGGGTGGACAGAGTTGAAACTTTAAAAAAGAGAAGTGCCACTGTTGTAAAGAATGTATTATCTGATTGTCACAGTGATTCTAAACACTTCATTGTGAGGAACAGACTAGATTCAAAAACTGTTCCGCAGACATTGGTTTGTCATGATTATAAAGGAGGGTATTTGGAAGATAGGTAAGCTCATACAATTTTGAGTCAATTCACATAAGTTTTAGCAATTTTTTTAATGCTAAAATTTTTTTTTATATCGTTGAATTGTGTGCTTAAATATACTAAAAGAAGCATGTATTTATATTGTTGGTGTATGTTGTTAGGTGTGAAATGGCTTGAAAATTTATTTTATTTCCAGATTTATATATTTTGAAAATGAAAGTATACAAGGTGATGGTTACACATTTTATAATTGGGCACAGATAGATTATTTTGTCTATTTTAGTCATCACTTTGTTACCATACCCCCTTTAGCATGGATAAATGCTGGCCACAGGAATGGGGTTAAAGTATTGGGTTAGTATTTTTCTAAACCCTAGTAATAATTTTGTGTTTTCGAGATAGTGTAGAGGTGATTTATTTTCTCATAGGCTATTTAAAAAAAAAAACAAAAATTCACTGTCTTTTATTGATTTAACCTTGCATGTACAGGGTGGTTCATCTTGGTTATTTTTAGTTAGAAGATCGCGGTTTTCTGAAAGTCCAACTTTCCTTTCAGATTTAAACGGCTATTTTGATGAGTCATTTATTTTATTTATCATTTATTTATTAACATTATTTAAAAAATTAACATAGTAACATGGATGGTAAATCAAAATATTTATTCAAAATCACAATGCTAGTGTTAGTTTTTAATTGGAATTGGTCTAAACAAAATATTGATTTCGTGTCTGGCGGAAAGTTAGATAACACTGTATATATCATAAGGATACCAAATAGAGCCCCCAATTTGTCAAAAATATTTTTCGTTAAATTGGTAACAAATAACAAAAAGAAAAAAAGTTTTCTTTTATCCCTTATAGGTACCTTAATAACCGAATTTAAAGAGGGAACCAAAATTTGCGATGAGGATATTTTCGAGAGTATCCCGTCAATGATGGATTTTGCACAAGATTTAGTTGACTTGACCAGAATATTTGGATTTGACGGCTGGTTGCTTAACATAGAAAACGAAGTAAAAAATCCAAAAATCCTCCAGGAATTTGTTAAACTCTTCACCGAATTGATTCATAACGATAATGAAGAAAACGTCGTTATATGGTATGACAGCGTTACTGAGGACGGTAAATTGCAGTGGCAGGATGAACTTAATGAAAGAAATCGGTTAGTACAATTACTTTCAAGCCGAGTATGGAATCGTTCGCTACCATCGTGTACTGTTTTCATTGCATGTTTATGGGAAAGCGAGTTATAATAATCCCTCAGATTTTCAGTACCAGTTTTTGATGATTATAATATTTTCCATATCTTTCTCAGTATGAAAGGGATTTTGATTTGGTAAAACCTTAGTTTTAGGTTTTCAACAGTCAAGAGATGGTGCAGTTAAAATTTGAAGCCTTGTTGTTTTACGACCATCATTCTAGTCAGAATATTAAATACGGACCTGATTTTTTTTCCGTAATTTAATTCTTGAAAGTGTCTTATTTAGATATTTAGTAATACGTCCAAGTGATGTGATATGATATAAACGTAATCGAAATTCGAAAAGATATTATTTAAAACCATTACAGAAAGCAACTAAAGCACCAGGATAAGTTATGCTAAAAAGTATTAGGTTCTTATTTAACATTTTGGTCCTAAAAAACAAACTTTCAATTCAAATACTAAATACTAAATTTTTTGTTAAAAAGTTGCAATAACAAAGCACATATTTACAAAATAAGAATATGTCATTAGGTAGGTAGGGCATATTTTAAAATTGCCAATTTTTCCGTTTTCCCTCGTAGCCCAGAAAGTACAGGTGCTATTCGAAATCTGATTATATCAGTTTTGAAGTATCAGAATAGTAGGTATGTGAAGTTCGGGCGGAATTTTCAAAAATAACGGAGTTTCCCATAAGGATACGTCAAAAATGAGACGCCCCATATGTTTTTCCTTCCGCATTTCAGTTGTTTCTTTGATCGGTGCGATGGGATCTTCTTAAACTATAGTTGGAACGAGCAGAAACTAATAAATACCGTTGAAAACGCTGCTCATAGGAATTTTAACGTATTCGTTGGTATCGACGTCTTCGGAAGAAACATGTTTGGCGGCGGCAAATTTAACACGTTTAAGGCAGTCGAAATGGTAACGAGATACAACTTGTCCATTGCGCTGTTCGCACCAGGTTGGACGCACGAGACGATAGATAGAAGCGCATCTGGAACGATATTTGACGATTTCTTAACCCGAGATTACGCGTTCTGGTGTAGTCTCTGGCCTTATCTGTACACGCACCCCATTAACGACTATTTCGAAACGGATTTTTACATCGGACTTGATAGGGTAAGATACAGTATTTAAAGTTTAGTTAAGTTTAGACCAATGCCGGTGATTTGGACTGGACTGAAAATGATGTTTATTGGTCATAGTAATTATTATTCATATGAACTATAACTTGGTCTTAATTAATGTAGCAGGCAAGTAATGTAGATTTTATAAAAGAATAGGAGACATTTTGTGAAGCGGAGAAGTTCATACTATGTCGGCCATTGTTTTAGATTACCTGAAACAACAGAGATATCCAAGCGCGGAAAATTAAAATTTATATACGGCGACGAATAATTCTTGTGAATGCACAGTATTGTTCCACCCGCGGCTTCCAGGAAGTCAAGAAAACATTGAGTTTCTCACATATATTTATAGTAGTTATATTCTAATAGATCTAATCTAATCTAATTTAATCGCTCTATTTTCTGCTTGTTATATCTATATCGAAACTTGTATTTTCCTTTTATTACTGCAGGCATACTATAATTTGTTCAGGCAAAGACAACAGCCGTCGAGGTTCCTCTACCCTCAAAACTCGAACCTGGTGGCCGACATAGCTTCGATACCCACATTGATTAATACTTGCTCGTGTATGCAGCAAAAAGCTTTAAATTCAAGAAACGGATGTTTCCTGTCCAAGGAAAATTTGAAACTAAACACGGAATTTGTCCACCACTTGTTCGTATGCGAGCTCGAGATTCGTGGAACGAATCTGACATATTTTCTGACGAAGAGTCTGACTGATGGCCCGTCGGAGATGAGTGTCACTTTACTGACTCGTTCGAAGAGCGGCGCTTTTCGGAAAATTAAACTGCTCGCTGATTTTAAAGAAGGTACTACCGACGATCAGTCGCTTTTGGAGGTCAATCCTAAAAGAACCTCTCTGCATAATGATAATGAAGTTAGAGTTATCCATAACAAGTTTGATAGTTTGAAAGAGGGCGATTTCCACCTGAGGTAAGTCCTTTTTCTCTCTCATTTTTTCCTGGTTGGATTTACTTTATACCTAGCACCACTTTACTAGGTTCGTGTATTGAAAATTGAGTGTAAGGTTGATAAATCCAAATCTCCTGATGTCATTTTTGTAAACAATATCTGCGGCTCTATGGCGCGTAACTTATGTATAAAAAAACAGTGCTTCTAATTCATTAAAAATTAGCGATATAATTAAGTTGGTCAAAAATATACATAATATAATAATAATATTTTAATAATATTTATTTATTTATTAATTTATTTTAATATTAATATATATATATATATATATATATATATATATATATATATATATATATATATATATATATATATATATATATATATATATATATATATATATATATATATATATATATATATATATATATATATATATATATATATATATATATATATATATATATATATATATATATATATATATATATATATATATATATATATATATATATATATATATATATATATATATATATATATATATATATATATATATATATATATATATATATATATATATATATATATATATATATATATATATATATATATATATATATATATATATATATATATATATATATATGATGACACTATATTCCGGGATATCATCCGTTCGCTCGTTGAACTCCGACTGGAATCCTGCATCCGACTGGAATCCTGCAAATCCTGCATCCGACTGGAATCCTGCAGACGTTTCGCCAAAATCTCACTTGGCATCTTCAATGCTCGCGCTCCGAAAACACTTCGAACACACAGTGTGTTCGAAGTGTTTTCGGAGCGCGAGCATTGAAGATGCCAAGTGAGATTTTGGCGAAACGTCTGCAGGATTCCAGTCGGATGCAGGATTTGCAGGATTCCAGTCGGATGCAGGATTCCAGTCGGAGTTCAACGAGCGAACGGATGATATCCCGGAATATAGTGTCATCATATTTTTCCATCCGTGAATCAATACGTGAGAATATATATATATATATATATATATATATATATATATATATATATATATATATATATATATATATATAATCATAATAAAATTTAAGCTTGCATTTGTTCAGTCTAATGCAACTTACTTTACTATTTATGGCTATGTTCATGTGGACTTATAATTATTAAAGTAAATTAAGTCACATTGTTATTAAATTTATTCACAGTTAATTTATCGCTTCCAGAATGTCATAGTCAACACTAAATAACCAGGAGTCGACAAGCCTCTTAATTTTTGTATATTCCCTATTTTGCAAATACATTGGAGTTATATATTCTAGGGGCTGCAAACAGTCTCCTCTGCACTGAAGTGAATTTTAGCATGGTACTGGCATGGCCTGATCTGATACAAATCTAGTTTTTACTGAACGGCTGATTGTTTCTTTACGAATTTTGTTAAGACTTTCGTTTCAGTAAACAATTCTTTAGAAGAATATAGTTTGTTTTTGAATAATATTATTTTCAAAACATGCTTGATAAGTTAATATAAAAAATTTATGGAATACCTTGCGAATTTTCACAGTGATATAATTGACGTGGACATCCCATTTAAGGTTCTGATCAAAAACGACCCCTAAATATTTTTGGTAGAATTTATGTAAAGATCGCATTTGCAAGTGTCATAGCCACAGTTAAAATTATTCTTTGCAAGTCTGGAGCACCAGCTTTTGTCATGGAGTAACTAATGAATTGGGTTTTCTCTAAATTAAGTGACAGCAGGCTATAATCTATCGATTTTTTTACCTGACTTAGTAATTTTTCAGCTTTTGCGACGGTTTCTTTCCAAGGGTTTTTAACAGTATTCGATGCCGCATCAGCATAGCAGACAATACCTTCCTTCGTGTTACTAACTTTCGTTAACATTCTCATATATAAAGTTATAAAAACTAAACAAAATAAAAAAAAATTAGCATCTTATATAGTTACTCATATTACATTGGAAAACATCAACGTATTGGCAACAATTTTTATACTTACAATAGTTTGTGATGACAATAAATATTGTTTTTCAGCTTATATGAATTCTACACGCCACCTTGCACAATATTGGAAATTGGAGCTACTATTGAGGCGGGCAATTCTATACACCTCTGCGGTTTCGGTATAAAGCGACTACTTTCGTCGTCCTAAATTAAATTATACAAATATAATGTACATTATGTTAAAATATATTGCAATAAAAACGAATTAATGATATTAATAGTTCCATTATTTGAAATACCAATTGAGGGTCCATGTCTTAAAGTTTTGCTATGCCCCTTAAACTTATTAGAGACATATGCGTATTTCTTTAACATTTAAATGGGAAAGTGAGTTAAATAATAGTTTGCGAATTAAAAAGTTGGCAGCTTTTCTGATATTTATTTGTATGTATTTAACAGCCTAAAAAGTAAGTTTTTATGGATTTAATAATGTTCTGCCCAACCTCACGAAGGGAATTTGAAGGTGCCAGAACTCTCTGGTTGTCTTGATAAAACGCTTATGGATCTGCCAAGTGTTACTTGTGGGTTACTTGCTGCGTTATTCCTGTAACCCTTCCCATTTTCCGCGAAATATCTTCTGCGAGGTTCTCTTCTGTTGCCTAAAAAATTCTGTTATGTTATGCAAGGAATTAGTTAATATGCACAAAATATTCATTTGCTGACAAATTTCATCAAAACTATTTTTAGTTCCTCAAAGTTGTCAAGTCAGTTAAGTTTTTGACCACGAAGCTTCACAACCTTCGTATGGATAATCTGAATAAAAAGTAAAAAATTTGAGAAAAAATTTAATATTTATGTGGATTATGCTGAATAAATGTCTTGTATATTGTTTATTTAGATTTTGGTTGTGAATGTTCTTTGTCCAAACACATATGCCCTGCCTATGACGATAACAATGCGCGCATGCGCGGCCTCTCGTTTGCAAGCGGTATACAACAACTAACATGGCCCCTAACGGATCGTCAATAAGTTTGGCGGCGTTTCTATGGTAGTATTTTCTCAAAATTTGCTTAGATCGCGTTGAATTTTCTTTGAAAACGAGTTAAGCGTGTGCGAGTGCTGTTTAATAAGAAAATGGCGCAAAGCGCAGGTTAGTAGGTGAAATTCAGAGGCATGAGCGGAAACCCATTCCCATCTCTGTGTTATTTAATAGCTATGTGGGTTCAAACTAACAGGCGACATGTAGATATCAAACCTTGGCATCGGTTATATCAGGTCGTTGATGATCTCCTCCACCCCTTGCTGAAGAATATTATAAAAGTTAGCGGGATTGAAAGCGCCCAACTGATGCGTGTAGCTGCCCAACCAAGGATTGGAAATCGTCAGATACTGACCGGGGGGCAACTTGTTGTTGTAGAAATCTGTAACAGGATCGTAATCTTCGTGAACTGGTTTTATCTCGTCGTTATAGATTATGTCATCAGGATCGATGGTCGTTGTTGGTGGCGGGGGCGCCACCTGCGGTCTTGTTGGTTGAACTCCTGAGATAGATTCAGGACGATTGAAGTTGTTGTTGGACACGGGCCCGCCCTGCGAGAGGGCTGGAAATTGTAGGGGGCCTGTATTGGAGTTACTAGTAATTTCCTGGGTCAAATTATATTATATCCAAAGGAGTCATTAATAAAATGACTAAAACCGGCAGCCATCATGCACAAAGGCTAAGATTATAAATAAAAATTCCTTCGTCTGCCTACTGCTCCAGCGATAGATCCAATGTTTTACATTTTGGTCGCGTGAAAAGGGGATTTAATCAAAATACGGGGGTTCCGATAAGGTTATACGACAAGAGAAATCATTCGGAAAAATTTGCCCGCTAGGGGACGCTGTAGGTACTGTAAAGAAACATAAAACCTCCAATGAATGGCTGCAATACATAAATTTTAATATCTATCTATCCAAACGATTTGAATATTTTTGGTCTCTTTGGATAGAGCATTTAATGGATTTTTATTAATTTTTGTTAATGTGGCTTTCGTTTAGAATGTGATTATGCTGTTCATCGCACAACTAAAGATACGGCATGTCGGTTCTCCTTTGGATATTATACGGGACCTTCTTAATTAACCACTTGACACCTTGACGTAAAGTCGAGACACAAATACCTGATGGTAGTTGAGGTAATTGAAAGTTATCGAAGGTTGGCAAAAGGGACTGGAAGCTTTGGCCTATTTGAGGGATTGTCTGGAGAAAGGACTGGATGCCCTCGCCCAAGCCTTGTCCAAATTGTTGCGGCGTCGGCAGAATCCCAGCAAATGATCCGCTAAATGCTCCTGGCGCAAATCGGAAAGGGGTTAACGTACAGGGTGTCCAGTTTTTATTTATTAAAGTTTGCAGATTGTTGTGTTCCGAAAACTGAACACCCGGTAAAGTTAACCTACACTCGAAAACGATATTTTCAAAAAATAGTAAATTCGATACCTTGCTGACTTTGTGGCGACGACTCTTCGGGACCGTGGGGCCCTTGTGGTCTGTTGCCAAATAAAAAGCCTGAAAGGATTGGTCTGTTTTCAAAAAATCCGCCTCCGTTAAAAAGTCCTCCTAAAAGGCAAAGATTTTTTGAGTTAACGATGGCGATACCGTCGAAAGAATGCTAACCTGGTTTATGAGGCTTGTGGTGACCCCCTTGTGTTGGTTTGTATCCTCCTTGAAATGGTTTGTTACCTAGAAATAAGAATCAGCCTAGCAAAATTTTGTTTGGTGTTTAGATTCACAAATTACAAGTGGGCGGCTTACAATTACAAAAATGACTTTCGGACATATTGATGACATATTTTAGAAAAAAAAAACCTGAATTGTATATTTTTGTTTATTGATTCCCTACAACATTGTCCGTTTAATCGTAGTAATTATTGTTTTAGTAGAATGCACAGGATTCACAAAATAATGGGTGCTAAGTTTGTGTGATTATATGTGTGAGTAGTTTTTAAGCTAAACTGTGAGCAGAATTGTCATGATGAATTCATTCAAAATTCTCTACCTGATATATTAAATAAAAACCATTAATTTTTTTTATTATTATCACTTTATCCTCGGTTTTGGTTTTAGCAAGTTATTTTTTTAATGAGCTCTTCCAAGAATCTTTTAGAGTGACGTAATAACTGGTTTACTGGCACTCACAAATTGATAATTCCTTTGCTGTTTCAATTTCGTTTGGTTTGTCGTATAGCCGTCAGGTCTTCTTTCTGAAAACTAAGTTTTTCAAACATAGTAAGGAAATCGCCATTAATTAATCCCTTCAAGTAAGGAGTTTTCGGAGACGGCAATGTGAAATATAGTAATATATCATAAAGCTAAATCTCTTCTTTGCTTTTTCCTTAAAGGTTTCCAGAAATATTGTACAGAGTGAGTCAAGGATAGAGTAAAGTTCATTATCTCATTGGTTTCAAAAATTTCTGGAAAATGGTAATAGTATATTATGCAACAAGTGCGGTAAACGGCATTTGACTCACGAGTTTATTTGACACGAGCGGAGCGAGTGTTTAATAAATCAGTGACTTAAAAAATTTACCGAACTTGTTGCATACTATACTTTTTTTACGACCGTTAGTTTTTGGGTACATTTTCTCAAAACAACAAGAATACATTCACTGACATGACTGTCAGAATTGACAAACGTCAAAATTCAAAGCGTGGGAAATATCTCCGAAAACATCCGGTTGCTCCCAAATCCGTGCGGTAAAATCCTGGAAAGTGGCTTGTATTCGTGGGAAACGAAACTGACGTGGTAAAGTGATGCTTCCCGCATGCTAGATCGGTGTGTAATTAGGTATTTTACAGACGGGAGTAGAAAAATATAAAAGTTAACTCAAAAAACGTGGCGAATAAAACGCGCCATTATTTAAGATGACTTAAAAGGTATATGTAACGGAATTTGAGTTAGATGCTACAGGGTGTTCAATGTCATTTGCCCAAGCCAACTAACTAACTTGAACAGAAAGAAGGGTCAATGTTGGAAAAGTTAAAATAACTTTAATAAAAGTTGTACGTTTTTGTAAGATCTTTAAAAAATACATATATCGGGCGTGCAATTTAAAAAATCGAGAGTTTTCAATTGAAGATGAAGCGAATATATTCGTTTATCTTAAAAGACAGATAATATCAAATATGACCCTTATCTTTACCTTTACCTTAAAAAGAAAACGTAATTTTTTTTTGCAAATGTAGAAAAATTAAAATATTGGAAAAACTCTTAGGTAGGTATTGAAAATAAAATTTACAAGTAGGGTATTCCATTTATAAAAATGTATATTTTATTCGTCACGCTTTTTTGAGCCACGCTATGACCTTCAAATTGTACATTATAAGAATCGGAACAACTTTTGTATTTACCATTTTCTCATAACTTCTGAAACCAATGAGGTTTACTCTATTCACCCGGTACATATTTAGTACTAGGGGTCTAATTTACAGTCACTCACACTTTACTAGACTCAACGATTCCACAAGCTTTTGTGAACTATTCTATAGGTATTTTTGTATAGGTATTGTCGATAGGTATTTTTTATGGGTTTCCTCAAGTACACGTCAAGGAATTACTACATAGTCATAGTCATAGTCTCATATAGTCCAGCACACGACTTGCCTGGCCTATCATGAACCGAAGGCCCTTTACCCTTAATAAACGGAGTAATAAATCAATAAAGGGCCGATTTACAAACGTTTTTAACTACAGGGAGGTATTTTTGTTTTAGTAGTGTCGACACCTTAGAAATTTTAAAATCTTTTGCGCATTGCCATTGCCAGTCATTATTTGATATGTTTAGATGGCGGGTTGAAGAGAAGTTCGTCGACGGAATGGAGGAGAGTAACGGACCAAAAAGAAAATGTTATTTGAATATGTGCTGCAAGACGTTTTACGACATTAGTCAACGTTTACTATAACATTTCGGAAACTTTAATATAGCAAATAAAATGATCTGCTATTAATTTATATGTTTTAAAGCAAATATTATTTGGACGAGACTTGATTCGACACCCAAGTCACTATAATGAGGGTGGCAAAATTCCTCATGGAGCTGCATTTTGAATGTTTTTTTTTTTGCAAGGTTGGGTGCCAAACGAACTTTCTGAAAATTGCAAGAGGTATTGTAAGTGTTCCTTAGTCAGCATGACCTTTAGTTTGAAAATATATACAAAAAAAGAACTAGTTAAAGATTTGAGATCAAATCGTATGATAAAACTTATTTCGTAGACCATTTATCGTGTGTTCGCCCAACGATATACCGTCTTTACAACTTTTTTATGGTTTTGACTTCAGAATGACTTTAAGACCCGCTTGTCTGTTCATATATATAAGAAAGTGGCTAACTGATACGAATTAAGGAAAGATCCGGGCAAGCTGTAAGAATGAAATATGGTCGAACAGGTACGTAATTTGCTTAGAATTTAATTATTTGGAGTTTTGTTAGGCAAGATACTAAATAATATTTATTTATTTATGTATGTATTTATATTTAAATCTAAAATAAAATTACAAATTATTTTTATTACCTACTTAAATTACTCAAAATTATTCACATAATATATCAGCATCACTATCGCTATCATCGCCTGTTCTAATTATTATTTTTTCTATATTATTTGCAATATGGATATACGATTGTTCTGCTTTTTGTATATGTTTAACAGAATTTGCCCAACTTTGTGGAGGGATGTTAAAAACTTCGGTTTCTATAAGTTTGAAGATATTGGAGAATTGGAGAATGGCAGATTTCAGTTGGTGCCAAACATGTTCAATGGGATTAAATATACAGTGGTAAGGTAGTTCTTCCACATTTAACACCGGTTTCATCTTTTTCAAGCCTCCTAATTAATATCTCTAATGCAGGCAGGCTTTGTTCCTCGTATAACTGGTAAATTTTACGCTGTATTATATCTTGATCACTTTCATCTACACTCGAGAAAATGTCAGCATCGCTTCCTTTTTTCCTCGCTGAAATGGGATTATTCACAATTTTCCATACAGTTGATGTTGAAATTTTTGTCAATGTGGCCGTTTCTTCTAAAGATGCTTGTTTATAACATTGTTTATAACTTCCTACATTTCTACATTTGGGAGGGAGCGTCTCCTGAGATGCACTAGACTCGCACATATTTTGTATCATTCGCACACGATTCAACACAAGCTGTATTACACACGAAATAAGAATGATTACTAATAAACTTAAACTAAGTAGTATACCAAACCAAAGAATATTAAACACAGGTAGGTATAAAATTATTTTCCATCACGGACCACAATTTTACCTGAATTTAATTTCCGAAACTTTAGGTAATAATCTTGTTGCATGACTACCCTTAGATAATCCCATTCAAAAGCAATTGGTCATTTTCTTATACCTATGAACAGACCATATACTAACCTTTTTCGAAGTCGTCACCTAAAATTTGCAATTACAGTCAACTTAAACCACACCTACCGTTTAGAATGGGTTTTCCTGGTCGGTAACCGCCAAACGAATCGGCGACTGGATAATTTTCACTAACTGGATGTCCCCCTCCACAGTTGATATTGTAATTGTGATTATTTTCGACGTTCAAGAATTGAAAATCTAAGAAAAACCGCTCGGAAGCCTCATTCTTTGGTTTGCCGTAGCCGCCGAAGTTGCACGGACCTTGGTTTAGTGGTCGACGACGTCTTTCTTGTGGCAATTCGTTACCCAAGAATTTGCTATTCTCATTGGACGGCAAAGAAGTGGTACCGTGAATCAATATATGCAGGCACACGGAAATTTTAACAAAAGTCTGGATCTGAAATAAACGGTTCATGCTGAGGAAGCGATTACTACAATTAAATAGATTAAAGATTGAATACATTAAGAAAAATGCTTTTAAAAATGTTTTTAAAGGTGGCTTTGAAAATGATAAATTGAAATATTCATTTCTTCTTTCATTTGGATAATTCTGTTTCATTTTCAATGAGTTTTCGGCTACGTTTGTGCGAGCACCTTGCGCAAATCAAAAACCTTTTGAAACGTAATATTCATAATGCTTGGTGTTTGATTACACAGGTCTACAGTGATTTTGGAGTTTGAAAGCTGTTTGCTTATTTGTATGTTTTTGGGGGCCCTTTTTCCAAAAAACGCCATATTTTTGCTCTACCACGTCATTTTTTTTAGCGCTCTATATCTTAAAAATGGTATTCTATTAATACACATACCTATGACGTGAATTTGGTTGTTCCATGTTAGGCATTATTTTTAAATGAATTGATTTTTAAGAAATTGAATGTGATTTGGCAACACTGTATAATATTAGATTTCTCTGCAGAGCAACAGAGTTGGCGCAGAAGCGCCATTACAGCGTTGTAGCCTGTTTATGCGCAGTTTCGTTGTATTGGTCGTCGTGCTACTGTGTTCGTAGCTGTTGTCTTCGTTGTTTTTGTTTTTATTATTTTAGAACGTATAAATATGAAAAGAGAGCATTGGGGGAACAATCCAAATAACTTAAGTTCTGAGCTCCTCATGTTTCGTTTGCGTTCAAGCATTAAGAAACTGGCAAAAAGGTAGGAAGAAACGTTTAAGCTTTGGTGTTCCTATAGTATGGCGGGAGCCTAGGATTGACAGTGATGCTTGTTATTTGTGTTCGTGTTATGTTCAACAGAAAAAATAAGAAACAAATTGTGTAGCTCAGTCTTGACTCCTGTATTCCACCATTTCCTCATGTACCAGATGTACCGTTACCTACCGCAAAGAACTAGAAAACGTCATATCGTCAGAATCAGAGGAATCTAATTCCGACCAAGATGACTCAGATTTCACACCAGATTTCAGAGAGCCCGAAGTGTTTAACCAAGGGATGCATCCGAATTGTTAGCGTCCAGACATCGCGACAAGCATTTACTGGTGTCACATCAAGCTTTTACCGGGATGGCGGAAACGTGTTATGTCAATATTTTACTCAGGAAGGACTGCTAGTGTATTGCAACAATATTTCTGACTTAGTTTCAAAATTAGGAAATGTGGCGTATATAAAAGAAGAATGGGCCTGTTTATGGCAACGAACTGGGCTCGGTTGCCATTGCACATTCGGTACATTTAAAAGAAACGTATGAAAATTTAGAACTTCTTTTGAAGAAAATAAACCACAAAGAACATCAGTGGATGCTTTGTGGTAACCTTAAAGTTAGGACTACTAGGACAACATGGGAGTTATACAAAATTTGCATGCTTTATTTGTGAGTGGGATAGTCGAGTAAGAGACAGACATTGGACTTAAATAGAATGGCCCTCTAGAGATAGCTCAGTTGAACTCAAAAATGTTTTACTGCCTCCTCTTCATATCAAACTCGGTTTGATGAAGCAGTTTGTTAAAACTCTAGACACAATTGGACCGTGTTTCAAATATTTGTGCTAGAAATTTCCAGCCATATCTAATGCTAACATAAAGAAGTAATTGATAAGTTTCTTGGGAACTCTAAGGGATATGCCTTTAAAAAACACAGCCGAATGTACGGACAAAGCAGCTTTCTGTCAAAAAGGCGAAGATTTCACTCAAAAAAGTCTGAGTAAATTTTTTAAAAATAGGATTCCACTTTTTTACTGAATGAAAAAATAAATCATTTTCGAAATATCGTTTTTCCATTTAATATTTGCAAAAAAAAATCTTACGTGATTCAAATAAATGGATAGAATTTTTGAAATCAGCCTAGCAAAATTATTCAAAATCAGTTTTCAAAACAAAAACATCTGTCAAAAAGTTTAATTTTGTACAACCGTGTTATTTTTGTTTTAGGTATTTTATTTATTTCATTTCACCTTAAAGCTATATTTAACAATTTTATTTAACTGAGTACAGTGTTTTCGAAGTAATACGTTAATATGAAAAAGAAATGCGTCTGCGCGTGCAAAGCGAAAATTTGCCCCTGAGCAGAGATACGCATGAATTCCAATAAAGATTATTCGGACAAATATATCTACATTTGTTAATTATTATTGTTAAATGCTTACATTTTCCAACAAAATTTTGTATGAATTTTTAATCTGTTTAGTTTCTATCACTTAGACCTACCTCAACTTTACCTTGTGCGAAGCAAACAAATGAGTCATGCATAATATAATTAAAAACACAAAACCCATTGTTGAATACTAATTTAAAAAAAAATGAAAAGCGCTCAGTAATTGTGTTGAGGATGTAAACACTTTAGCATTTAGCGGTTTAGGTATAATGCTTAGGAAGTGAATTGGAACAGTTAAAAAATGTCTTGTGTTATACCGGGAGCGGTCAAAAATAAATAATTACTAAATTATCGGTAACTTATAGGATTAATTATTGAAACAGAACAATATGGATGGAGTTGAACAATAGTCGGAAATAAATAGCTCCCAACAACGCGACTTTCTGTTTCAATTACTATAGGCAAAAACCTCTCGCACTCTGCAGGCTTACTGCTATTGTAATCATTTCCCCCTTTTGGAATTTTTTTTGTTATGTGATAATGTTATGTGACTGGTACGAATATAAATCCTGCAGTCGATGAAAAATGGGATCTAGATGGGAAACAGAACATTTCACTATAGAAAACATTTTCGTATCGTAACTTTGCCCCCTGTTTGATATGACGATGGCAATCGACTACAAAATATTTGTAAAGCATTGAATTATTTGAACGAAATTATCTCTTCTATCAAGCTTGGTCACTCGTTTACTGAATTCGAATCTGTAATTATATTTCCCAGTGAAATCACCAGATTTGTATTGGCATGCACGCAAACATTTATACGGATACCTGGTTTAATTGGAATCTAATCATACAAAGCACAAACGTTACCTACTTGTCATATAAATTACCACTAATTTTATGACTACCTTTAATTGTGGAATGGTTAATTAATTGGCTGGCAGCGCTCCCACTTGGCTAATTATTGTGTCAACTTCAAAATAAGATTCACTTTCATGAAAACCTAATTTGTAATTGTAAAAAATTGCAAACGTAAATATAAATTCTTTAGTTAAGGGTGAGATCTTTAAAAATTGTTTAACTAGTCTTCTCAAAAATATAAAATTTTGTTATGTTTTTATTTCTTTTATAATTTATAAGTCTAAATAACTAATAGTAAGTACTCACCGTTACCTTGAAATCCCGTAAACCCATAATAATAATTCAGCAAAATGTTATTCACAAAAAATAAACACACAATGACTTGACAACGAGGAAAAATGTAAATATTCGCAATGCACGTAACTGATTATGCTTACTCGCTGTGCGGAATTAAGCAAATTCAAAATCTCGACTGGGCCGTCATCCGCGTGGGATTTTGGAAAGAAGAGAGAGTTGTTTCATCCAGTTATTGTTACATATTGCGTATTGCGTAAGAGTGTTGCATATATTTTAATCAGACGTAGGAATACTGAATTCGCAATCAGAATGACGTCCTGAGTATTTATTTTGAAATCGACTTGAAAAAATTACGTATCCATCTGCATTATCTCTTTTATACGATGCGTTCAGGATGAAAGGGAGAACAGTCAATTAAGTTTTTCCACCCCCGTCTATAAAATACCTAATTACGCACCGATCTAGCGTGCGGGAAGCGTCACTTCACCACGTCAGTTTCGTTTCCCATTAATCCGAAACATTTCGGAACTTTCTGGGATTTTACCGCACGGAATTGGGAGCAATCGGATGTTGTCGGAGATATTTCCCACGCTTTGAATTTTGACGTTTGTCAATTCTGACGGTCTGACGTAGAAAAAGTATAGTATGCAACACGTTCGGTAAACTTTTTAACTCGCTCGTTTATTAAACACTCGCTCCGCTCGTGCCAAATAAACTCCTGAGTCAAATGCCATTTATCGCACTTGTTGCATAATATACTATTTAAATTTAAATGATATCTATATTTGAAACCAAAACCAAAAATATTGTAGTTATTTATCTACAGATCATATAAATCTTTATTAACTAGTTCAAAGTAATTAACAAAGTTTTAACGGGTGGTGTTGAAGCAGTGAATTGTTTCCTAACGTTAACAAGTGTCACACCACGTGTTTTTCCGGAACAGTATATTATGTAAAAAGACACGAGTTTTGTTTGACTAGTTGGTTTAATATACAAATAAGTGAAAAAGTTTACTAACGTGTTTAATACTATACTATTTTGCGACCACGAATCCGGACGAGTGACGTGCGACCTGACCATCAGAAGTGACAAAAGTCGAATAACTAAAATTTAAAAATATCTCGCAAATCCTTGACCAGAGTTCGAAATTCATTGTGAGAGTGGCTAACGAAGCTGTCGTCACAAATGATTGGATATTTTCTGGGCATCACCACCGTTACTGCATTTTTTAAAAATATTTGGCTCCTATTTCGATTGTTTGAACCCCAAATTTGTTAAAACTATTTTTATCCTGTGACATCATACTCTGGATTATTGCGTACATTGCCATTATTTAACCTCAAAAAATTATTTTCTCGCCCAGAAATAATAAAGTCCTCCCGTAAAATGTGTTTATTTAACTGATGGTTGAGGCAATCTTTGGTTTCATCCAGGTGTGCAAAATGATCAATTTAGTTCACAGAGCACTAAGGCAGAATTATTTGTGCATGGATGGTAATTACTAAATAAACCTACTTTCGGCCAAATGAAATCTATTTTATGAGCGTTGAGTACCATTGTCAATCTCATAGAAGCTGTGGATGATTAAGATCCATTAGATATTACTTTCGTGAAATGAGAATGGAACATCACTTAAACAAGTTTCTCTGTGTACTACCCGCCTGCCCTATTTAAATTTTGTAAAAAATAATTGTGTTATTTTTCTTTTCAGCTTTCGAGGAGCCTAACGGCACTTACACGAAATCCGTAGGTTTTTTGTTCAACCCAGTATCAAACATCCTATCGCACTATCACACACCAATCAATACTTTACGAGCACTCAATAACTCAATAGTAGGTTCATTCCAACAAATCGCTTTCAGAAACGGTAAATGCAAAAATTGTAGCTCTTGCTGCGCCTTAAAAGGAAGTTAAAACCAAACCGAACCTTTTGTCACGGTTTGTCAGTTACGGTCGAACAATGGCAATATTTTTGACTAAACTATACCTTTTTCGAAAAAATAATTATTTTTCGGTCCCAACTTTTTTCTTCACTTTTTAAAAAAATACTTCGGAGATTCGGATCTCGACGGGTTTTAATAAATTCCATCTGGAGATCTAACTTTAAATTTCTATGGCAACATTTCGGACACTTGCTTTGTTTCATGGCGACTTTGCGAGCAAAAACCACCAATAGCCGTCACAAAATTGGCCGTCGACTATTTGATCGGCTCAATATTTTGCAGATTGCTGTGCATCATCATGTGGATGAAAATTTGAAGCTCGCAGTTCCAATCGCACGCATGTTATCCGGAACAGAAAAAAAAATAAAAAGTGTTTTTTTTTGACGATCTGTACTGACGGCCCTGTAGGACCTACCGTTCTCGAGTGAGCTTAGATACGTTTTTAACAAATCTGTGTGTAAAGTAAATAGGAACAAATTTTATTATCTATTAAAACTATGACACAAAATGACAACAAATCATCGCAATTCATTTTTCCACTCAACATCAAATCCCGAATTGTTTTGAGATAGAACAACTTTTTCTCAACAAGTGTTGACAGTAATCAACGCCGGTACTTATGTCGTCTCCTCGTCGTTGGTACTTAAACCACATCTCGGCCCACACATACCTTCGAATTTTAGACCAACGCGATATTTTGTTTGCCAATTTGCAAATGTCATGACCTAGATTTATACCGAAAAGTAAATCAGATTGTTGACAACCTTTTCGAGCGTTACATTAAGTATAAAGACCCACGCTATACGAAACATAACATTTTCATAACGTTTTCGGAAAATAATTACCCGAGGCAATGTTCACACAAGGTTGACAGTACCATGAAATGTTTATTAAAAATTTGAATTATTACAAATATAAATATTTTGAAAATTGGATTTTTTATATTTTTATTGCATTTTACGAAAATCGTAGCCTACTGTCTTCAATTATTTTTGAAATTCCGAGGGTAACTGGTAATGCAACCTTTAGAAAGAGAATACGTCATCTAAATTGCAAACTTCAATTTTACGTCCCCATAAGAAAAATGAAAGTTTAAGAAAAAACAAAGTAGCTCTCTTAAAAATGTGAAGTAGACGTGGCTAAAAATATTTAACATCGCGATATTAATAATAGTTAATAACCCCCTATTGGTAAATATCAATGTGTTTTTGTTTTGACTTAGTATCCCCCACTCCCAAACAGTGTAAACGAATTTTAGCTCAATTGCCGCTATATCAATTGAGAGTAACAAAATAAGTGAAGAAACGTTTAATCTACCCGAACGGAGATTAAAGGATTCTAAAAATAAAGAAACATTTTATTAGAATGAACACATTTTTATTACGGACTAATTATCTAACAACAACCTACACCTAGATCAAAATATTTTTTATAACCAACTTGCAATAAGTACAAAAATAATTAAAATATTATCCAAGGCGAACTTTAGTTACAAAATTATCACAATTTAGCTCTGGGCATGTGGTCTCTTCAATACGAAGAGTAGCCGTATCCCCTGTAGCCGTGTGGCCGTCCTAGAAAGTTTGTTCCATATCCACCGTAACCGCCCCTGTATCCGCCATATCCACTGTAACCTGCAAAATAATGACGATCCTTATTAGTAATGACCAATGTGCAAAAAAAATGTTAACGCGACATATAACGTCCAAGCTTTAAAGCGAAAGCAGAATATTGCGCACCATGGTATTAAAAATTAGCACTTAATTAGATGAAACAAAACCTCCAAAAACTCCACGAGTTTCATCTTTTTTATGGACTTTTATGAATATCTCGAAGCAATCCAGACGCATGCAATAACATTTCCAACAAACCCCAAAGATTCCCATAAACTTTTAATGTTTGTTTGTTTAATGTAAATTTAAAAAAGGATCTCTATAAATTTGAAATAATTAATATGCCATGTAATTAACATTTCTTACCAAACTTTGACACTGACAACAAAAAAATTGATAATTTCAATGAACGAAAAAATTTAATAATCTGCTGCGATCTCAACAGGGCGTTCGATTTTGTTGATGGGACTTTTGATTGTTAGAAATCTTTTTTACCAAACAAGCAATAAATTTTACCTCAGACGTCAAATATTTCAACCGGAATACCCCAGGATTCAATTTTTGGTCCGATATTCTGTATCTAATTTACTATTTATACTCTATTATTATTTACTATTAGTATTTATTATATATTACCTATTTAAAGCTTTCGCAGATGATGACACAGTTTTATAGGGTGAGCTCTATTTACCTACATCCATGTGAAACCATTTTATGTGATTTTTTCAAATTGACTTGGCGTGTATATTGAGATAAACCATAACTAGAAAACACCTCAGATTTATTATGCAAATCTTGACTTGTTGTATGTGTCTGGCATTGGTCAAACCTCAAAAAAAGGTGCATACGTTTCCTTTTTGAAAAATTAAAAAATTGATAGTTTAAAAAAAAATTAACTGTACTGTGTTTTTTTTCTGTATGAAATGTACAAATCATCATAATTTTTCAACAAAAGTGATACACATAGTTATGTAATAAAGTTTTCAGTAGAAAAAACTTGCTATTTTGTGGAATATTATTTACAAATTATATCATAGGACTCTTGCATCATTTTTTATTTTTTATTTCAGGTTATTGTCGATAGAAATAAACGTTTTTGTATTTTATGTGTAACCATCTAATCACAATATGTTTAGGTCTATAACAACTACCTGTAAATACATTATGTCGAATAAAAACAAAAGTAGATTAATATCTACCCGTTTTGTGCCTAAAACGGTAACGAAAGCCTATTAGAACAAAACACAAGAACATGTGCAGATATTTTGGTCGGTCTCTTGTTAGAGTTACAGGCAATACTAATTTACGTTAATTTGGCGTAATTGCTTCCTTTAAGTAAACAAATGGTGCTGGTAATTATCACGTCGGTGAATCACGGTTGCGGTTACAAATTGTCGACACGACAAGACAACCTTTGAGAACATCGATACACATGCATAAAATTTAAATAATTACCGTGAAAACAATAGCTATTAAATGTCGCAGATGACCAATATTACGCAATTTATGCATGCACGAGTTTTTAATATTATATTTCGAGATCGATGTTGTTTGAAATGCGAGCTTTTGATGGACGTATACAGGGTGTTCACAAACATATATGTTTGTGAATGGGATTTGGTTATTTGTTAGGATTGTGATTGGTTGAAAATTATTAGAGGGAAAGTGGTGGTGCGACCCATAAAATTATACGCAAAATAGTAAAGGTTTCCAATTTTTATCTCGCCGTGCTTCTTCGAAAACTGGTTTGTAGGATCATTGTATAATTTGGCTTCTATCTACACTTTTTATGTCGATCGTTTCATTCATAATTCTTAATCTTGGTTTTAAGTTAAATAAAATATTTAATGGGAAAAGTGTGGGTTTTCTATTAAAAACAATTATATTAGTCGAATTGATAAAATAAGTCATTTTTGCAAAATAAAATAGTTCGTCACTGAACTCTATATAAAAAATTACATGATTCAAATTTAAAATTTCGATATATTAAAAGACAATACAGTTTGCACCAATAACACTTCTATTCCATTGGCGTTTCTTGAGTTTTTTAAGCCAATAAGTCGATATTGTTTTTGCTTTCTACATCTAGAATTACGATTAGTCTTATTTCGAGCAGACACTACAATGTTTGGAAAGAGTCAAATATAGCACGACGAATAACAATAATGATATTATAAACAAACGAAATTTAAGATATCAGCAAGATTATAAAAACAACCACTTTCATTCAAAAATGAAACTGATTTAGGTTGATTTTAAAATTCTTAAGCGTTTTTATTGGTTCTTTATTTCAGTAGGTTGTAGATTAAACATTTTTTTCCATTGAGTGAGGAGACCTTCTGTCCACGGGTTACCGCAATTGCAGGTATTATGATTACTTGTTTCACCATTTAATACAAAACGGTGTTTGTTTCCAAAAATGTGAATACTAAGGTCGTAAATAAGAAAACCGGCCAAAATCAACAATTGCCTGGCTTGAAGTGAGATCTACATCATAATCTGTCTCAAGTCGAGCAAGGCCTGCTCTGGCTTTTGTATACTGCTTCTTTTGCGATTTTATTTTTGATGATACATTGTCGCAATTTAGATTCTGGACTACTGTAATTCTAAGCAACTTTGTGCAATCCACCCTTAAGAGTCCCTTTTCAACAACGTTTATATTTCTTTTAATTTTCTTTAAGTACAAAGGAACCACTTGAACAGTTTATCAAAATTTGTATTTATTTTTGCTTCCAGTTGTTTATCATCTTGTTGAGTCCGCTTCTTGATAAACTTAACCTTTGCAAATCACTAGAAAATGACACGATTGGTCTGATATGATTAAAAGTCTATGTGGACCATACTATGTATATATATGATATGTCCTACATTAATTCGTTTTTAGAAGGGCGCTATGCTATAAAGACAGTCGTGAAAATTTATGTAATGTAAAAAACGCGTCCTTCTATGTATACATAGCCCCATGCAAGCAGTCCATTATCCATGCTAGCATTTGAATATGATTTTATAATTCATTATAAAGATAATGTTGATATTCTCGGCATGCTTGAGAATAAAAAAAAATGCAATTTGATCCCAAAAAAAAGCCCTTGACAAGTTACCTTCGCTTAGCGATTCGCTTTCGCTGTACCTAGCCGTGGTGCTACTATAGTATTCGCTTCTCTTATTTCCGATTTCGACAACATTATCTAATCGTTCTAAAAGGTTTTCCAAAACAGCTTTCCTCCACGAGTCGACGTTCTACTTACCAGATCCGCCGTAACCGCCGTATCCACCCGAATAAGGTCTATAGCCTCCGGATCCCCCATAGCCACCCCCTCCGTATCCGCCGTAGCCTCCGCCGCTGTAATAGCCACCCCCACCATAGCCTCCGTAGCTCCCCGAACCGCCGCCGTAGCCTCCGCCGCCGTAATATGGGCTATAGCCGCTGCTGCTGTAGTAGTAGGGCTTGTTGTAGTAACTACTTCCGGAGTAGTAACTGCTGCTGCCGTAGCCCGACGTAGCCGTGCCGTAGGGCCCGCCGTATTCAAGACCGAGGCTATTTCCCAGGAGGCCGTATCCGCCTGCGTAGGCGGTCGTCGCCAAGGCAGCGCATACAACTAATACCTGAACAGTTCAACGAGTCTTTTTCATGGTGACGGAAAAATTTATTTTAAAATTTATAGAAATAACTCTCTTTAGCAACCTTTGCCTTTGATTTTGAGTAAAAATTTAGATCTTTGAAAAAATCTTATATTCTAGTTAGTTTATTTACTACCTATATTTTACTTTTTACAAAACTTCTGCATTTCTCATGCGTCGATTTTTGCTGAGTCGAAATTGCTGACGTTGGCTTCTTCAGAGCTTGACTGAAACTGGCTCGTATTTTACTCTGTACTTGCTTATATATATTTTGAGGGGGAGCTAATGAGGGGCATAAACACCGTCTCGGATGACTAATTCCCAAATTGGTGACCTGAGTCGCGGTAAAGATTGTTAGTTTGTTTATATGTGTTCTTCGAGCCTAGTTGGTATTTTTCGTCCGGTCTCTCCAATGTATTCCTTGCCGCATATTCCTGGTATGCTGTCAACTCCTGGCATCTCAAATGGAATTTTGTCTTTGATGGACCGAAAATGTTGAGAGATTTTTGGATAAGTGGTAAATCTGGTTTTGACGTTATACTTCTTTAGAACTTTTGATATGTGGTCAGTGATGTTTTGAATGTAAGGAGGGATCACAGTGGCAAGTCTAGGATTGCTTTTGGCCTTATTGCTATTGGAAGGTTGTGGCGAAGTGTATTTTTTGATGGAACACTTAATATCTTTAATGTGGAAATTATTACAGAGAAGAGTGACTCGGGCTGAGATAGTTTTACAGATCTGTGAACAAGAGAGTTGATAACCGATGATTTTTGGGCCGGATGGTGATGTGACCATGCATTAAGGTATCGGTCTGTGTGCATAGGTTTTCTGTAGCACAATGACCCAATGTTAGGTCTGATTTTCTATTGATAAGAATATTTAAGAATGGAAGGTTATTATTAGCTTCCAACTCAATGGTAAAACGTATGTTAGGATGTATCGAGTTTAAATGTCTAAGAAAATCTACTAGGATTTCTTGACCACGAGGCCAAATAACAAAAGTATCATCGAAGTAGCGTTTCCGACTCAGCTAAAACCGACGCACGAGGAATCTAGAAGTTTTGTAAAGAGTTTGCCTTTGACAATTTTTGAATAAAGATAAAATAAAGAAAAAATAAAGATTTTTCGTTCAACAGCAACCAAATCGTTGTATTAAACTCTTTTTATATACAGGATGTAACACCAGAGACCTCTTTCATCTGGTATTAAATAGCAAAAACTTGCAAATTTGGAATTAAACTAACGTTAGTGTCGGAAATGCGGCTAAAATATTTCCAAGATGGCGCCACATTTGAGTGTACCAACTTTCTTAGTTGAAAAGCATTTGATTGATAGTATTTGATTCCCCAGAAAATTCAAGAAATATTTTGTGTATAATATCCTACATTGAAATTTTACCGTTTTTCAGTTATTTAATTCATGTCAAAAATGAAGTTTCCAGACAGACCATTATTCAGAACAATATCTGTAAATTTTGGCTATAGCAAGTAACGTACAAACTTACTGTATTGATTTAGCCTGTAGAAAATGGTCTCTTAAACAAATTTAGTTAATAAGTTCGATTATTAGCAACACAGAATGTAGAAAAAAAAAATAAAAATTTAGGTAAAATTGAAAAAAACTAGCGAAAATCGTACTCTTCAGAAGGAGACCAAGTTATAAACTGGACGATGCAGGGTAAAAGAAAGAGAGGAAGATCCAGAAAGTGCTGGAAGGGAGGGATAGAAATCATATCCGAGAGAGAGACCTGGAGGAAAATCTGTGGGTGGATCGAGATCAATGGCGACTGGAGAACGTTTTAATCCCGATTTTATTTACATATCTGGACGAAATCTACCAAGACCCAAACTATCTCGCGTTAAGATTTTAGATTAAGTGCTTTTGCCTGGTGCTGACGAAGAAATATGATATATACAATTGTTGCATTTCTGTGTGTACTGTGCACTATGCAAATTTTTCGTCTGTGATGGGTGCAACTATTTTGGCATTTAAAGGCTTTAATTAACATATGACAAATGCAAAAACTGAAGCGTTGAATAAAATCCCATATTGATTTTTGTGATTTTTAAAACCAATTTTTGGGCAGTTGTTGTTTATTAACGGTTGCTTTTGGTTAAATGACCAACTGATAAACTAAATAATAATGCTATACTTTCTTGATAAATCACAAAATTTTTTCTGGATTTTTTTTACAGTTGCTTCGTGAATATTTATATGTTCTGAAAAAATTTAACAAAATTGTTGTCTAATTTTTAAAAGAAGCTCCCACAGGCTATTTTGAAGTGCTATTTACAAAACTTTGTGGGGATTGCTTTCGGACTGATTGCTATTGGAAGGTTGTGGTGAAGTGTATTAGACAGAAGAGCGAAGGTAAGGTGTTTTAATTTTGGGTCAAGTCACTCGGGCTGAGATAGTTTTACAGATCTGTAAACAAAAGAGTTGATAACCGACGATTTTTGACCACATATCAAAAGTTCTTAAGAAATATAACGTCAAAACCAGATTGACCACTGGTCCAAAAATCTCAACTTCTTCGATCCGTCAAAGACAAAATTCCATTGGGGAGGCCAGAAGTATATAGCAATCCATGAATATGTGTCAAAGAATATATATGGGAATCAGTCATCCGAAATTATGTTTACGCCCCTCATTTAGCTCCGCCCCCCTCAAACAATGTATAAGCAGGTACGGAGTAAAATGCGGACTAGTTGCAGTTAAGCTCTGAAGAAGTCGAGAGGATGATAGGCTTCAGCAATTCTATGGATAAAAACATTTATATTTGCTGACCAAATTTTGATTATTTTGGGTTCTTTCTTCTACGATCGGTTAGCTAATATAACAAAACCACGTCTTCACTTTGCCTTTCTTTGGCATGATTGATTATGCATTTGAATAATTTATTTATTATTATTTATTTATTTATGTATATATAACATTTTTTCTTGTAAATTTTGTCTGGTCTTCCAATTCGATCTAATAAAAATATCAATTTAGTAGTAAATCGAACAAAAAGGCGGACAGCAAAAAATAAACTAGAAAGCAACAACAAAACACTAACCGGTATTTTTAAACATTTTTTTTTTGTTTTTGTTTTTGAATAAATTTGAAAATAATATAGCAAATCAATTTCTTTTCTCAGATTGTGATCAGATTGCTAAACCACACTTGTTTCGCCTCTGCAACAGTGTAAAGCAGCATTCCCCGTCAAAACAATAACAAAATACGTATCGTTAATAAAAACAAACTTGAGGCGCGGCCATCATTGCGCGAAGACACGCTATGAATTCATACGGCGTGTAATTCGTTCGTCATCTCGTTAATGGCTCGAACAAATTTCCATCGCTAGGCAGAAAAAATAAAACAATCCACGCCGATGATTAGACGAAGACAATCGAAGAAGAGTCCTTCCCGCTAACTCGATTATGGACGTGCAAAATAGTAATCGTGAAATTATCCAAAGCGGAGTGCGTTACACCTATTGTTAGTTTTCTTCAGTTTATTTGCATAACGTTAGGGTCGCACAAATTTAATTGGATATCCTAATCGAAATAATAGGATTTTACGGAAAAGAAAATCTTGTGCATATCCTGTTACAATTTTATTGCTTAACGCAATTTAATGACCTATTGGGTCAAGGTTTGGTTAACTATTCGTAGAAGTCATTGGCGAGTCGATAGTTTTGGTTCGTTTCTTATTTATATTAAACTTTTTTTTCACAAACAATATTGCTATCTATACATAACTGGATAGCTCCTTACATTTTCAAGAGAACTAAACTGGGCAATGGTGAATGATCACAAATCAAATATATGGCTACTTCTGGGTTTCCCCAGGGCTCCACCGAAGCCTGCTATTACAGAAACGAGAGGAGTGACTAATAACATCCGCTCGGTTTTAATAATGCGTGAGAGAGTTTGATTGCAGGTTTTATCCGTTTTGGGAATTTGGTGACGATGGTCTAACTAGTTACTATCGCAAAAATTATGCTATTCATTAATAGTCGACGGGATTCCCCAAAAAAGAGAGAAATTTTGTGTTTTGTGTTTAAGGACCACCCGACTAATACGATTTCTGGTTGTGGAAGGAATAAGGCGCCCCGTAAGATAGAGCTTAATTAACATGAATATCTAATTAAAATGAAATTGTTTTTTGCATGATATTGGCTAAAGAAATCTGGTAGGCATTATTAATTTAATTAAACAAAACTAAAAATAAATAACAAAGGAAACAACAAAAGAAACGTTATTTTTGATATACTTGGGGCGTTGATATAATAAGAGGTTAATTACCTTAAACAAGTACTTCATAGTTAACGCAAATTACTGCAACACCAAGTGCACAAATGTCTAGTTTGAATGTATTTCTGGTCGGCATACGCTTAAACGTCTAGTCAATTAATCAAACTGAGATAAGAATTTTATTAAGGTCAGTATTTATCACAGAAAAAATATTTTTCGTCAGATGTATTAACAACAATAATTTCGCAAGTTCTGCAGTGGAAAATATTTTTCGAATTATATTTTATGCGTCCCCGAGGTCTTCATTCAGGGTGACAAGGCGATTATAGAAGAGAACTGAACGCTAAGTCAGCACTAGAGTCATCCGCCAATCGAGGGTTCTAAATCAGAGGAAGGCTATGTGAATGTGGCATTCTTAAATAGGAAAATATCTGCTTTGGAATATTCGATCCTTGCTTGGATTATTATCAATAATAAATCTAAATCAAGTTTATACGACACACAAAAATTAAAATCTAATGGGCTACAGTTGGTAGGCACACTTGATCAACTTTGGGAAACTTGTAAGATCGATTTGACATTTCAGTTAATTGGCATTTTACTATTAATATTTCTTTAATTGTGAACGTGATTGCTATTAATTCCTAAGACGCAATGTTATTAGAGGATCCTTAAAATATATTAAAAATATCTTATAATATTCGGAGTGGGTAAAGTATAATCTGGTCTGTTCTCAAGAAAAATTCCAGATAAGGAAATAGTATTTTTTAGGTCGGTCAATACCTGCAAATCACTATTTGAAGCTACTAGGTTAAAGAAAAGGTTGAAAAACCATATTTGTTTTCTTTTAGATATTTATCGTTTGTTTTCACCTGAGGGGTTTAATTTATGTATCTCATTTTACTCCCTATATTAATATTGCTAAGACATATACTTTTAAAAACTTCTAATGGAGAAATTTTCGAGAAAAAATAGTAAAATTTGTCGAAGGATTGCAAATTATTAGATGAAGAAATATTTATGAAATAATACAGATAATCAGTTTCACACAATAAAAAAAAAAATAGTGGATTTTTGTGGGAAATACTCAACTGCTGCATTAAATTTTAAAATTTTTCAAGCTCAAGCTGACCAAAAAGTGCAATTTAAGGAAAGCTAAATAGACTAGCGGTAGTAAATACCAAAAATTTATCCTAACAACTAATTTCGATAAAATAATCCGGAGGGAGTTTTGTGTAGCAATTTCGCATTCAAATTTATTTTCAAGCATTCAGAGCTTCGAATCGCACACTTTATAAAATTCGCAAAAAACTTGGTGTGCAATAATTTTAATGGACTCTCTTAAGATATTAAAAATTAAGCTAAACATGGGCTTAATTTTTTGAATAAAAGGATTGCTTAACTCACCTGATATACATACTCTAAAATTTTAAAACTATGCTGAATTTTTTTTATACGTGTGCTATAAAGTTAACGAAATTCTTTGGTTGTTATTAGACTATATTTTTATTGTCTCAAAAGTGCGAAAACCGAACCCACCATTTGCGCCAATTTACAATATTAGTTTTTTAAAAAATTTAAAAAGTTATATGCCCTTTGGTGTCATTATTTCTAGCTAGATAGTAATATAGTATAATGTTTTTTTAACCGTGGTTTAAGCACAGCTAAAGCACACAAGTAAGATTTACATTGACTAAAATTTTTTCAATAAAAAATACCCCAAAAATTTCTCAACATATCACCATAAAAAATGGTTTCACAAAAATTCAAAAAGCGGATAAACAAATGAAAAAGCGTACTTACAGCACTCCTCATTCTTTTTTGGGTTTAACAAAAGCACCAAATCAAAAAATCTGTCGGCACTCGGGTGGGTACTTCTATAAGTACTCTTATACTAACCTTGCTTGCGCTCTCCCACTAACAGGCTTAAAAATCGACGATGAAACGAATCGCTTATACGAAAAATCGCTGAAAATTTCAGCCCGATCGACGTTATTGCTCAAAGTTTGTCTTTGTTAAACATTGTCACACACAGGAAAATGTACTTATTGCATTGAATCGTGTTTTTTGCTCGTTTCGCTGGATCATGTCGGTTCATTTGCATTGGTTCTTTTTTTCTGCATTCAAATTGCACCATCACCAATCTCCGCTTGTTTAGTCGCGGGCTTTTCCATCAGTTAAGTTTTTATTTTGTCTTCCTTTATACTGCACAGTTTTGATAAGCAATCCGAAAAATTTGATAGTCGATTGTTAAAAAAAAAAAATTATCGTCGCAATCCTCAAAAACATAATTTGTTGCGATTGAATATGTTTCTTTCGTTTTGTTTTGAATAGCGTTTTGTTATGTTCCTTTACAGTGTGTCCCACTTCATGGAGTATTGAATCCCTAATAGCAGGTCTCTCTTCTCTATCTCTTGTTAAATAGTCTCAATTGGCCATGACTTTAAGTTGAACCAATATGCAAAAGAAGATTTTATTGCATTTTTCAAAGATCTATCCAATAAAAAAAGAATTATCAAAATCGATCCATAAACAAAGATTTCACAAGGCTGTACAGTTCTCAAGTTTGAAACACTATATATAATATAATAATTATATTTTTATTCGAGTAGGAAATGAAAACATTGTATAGATATATATCTAGTCTAAATATAGACAGCCTATTCTCTTTCTGTGGAACAAGTTTACAAGTAAGAAAAACTATAAAATAACGATTTAGCGATAGCGATTAAGAAGAAAATTAAAGAAACTACTGACTGCACCTTTAAATTATTTTGTTGTGGAGATTTTGGAGAGTATAAATAGCACTTTTGAAGCTAACATCTTACGAAGAACAATCAATATAAGTATGCATGAGTCATTTAAAATTTTTCAACCTATAATACCTGCCTTTTCAGACCAATCAATAAGACCTTCAACAATCACCACGGCCACTGACAGTTCAATAACTAAACAGTTTTCCGTTTGAATCCTGCTGAATTTTCAAAAACATTCTATGAAATGAACACCATAAATTTTATAACAAATTCGGATCTTATAGAAAAACCAATGCCAATGAAAACTAGATACTTTTTTCCATTTTCCATGTTATGATAATGTTGCAATAACAATAAAATTGAATGATACGTCGCGGTTAAAAAGCAGTTTTTGGAGACCCAGTACATTTAATATTGCTCGTTCTTCTCTACACTGAATAATGAATCTAACTGGATTATTTTCTAGGCACTCTTTCAGCTACCTAATTGGTAAAGAATGAATTTTACTAATGTCATGATAGGATAAGGATTTATGTATCACTGATGTGGTAATAAATAACATACTGCTATGCTTTAACAGCTTTCTATTTATTTTGATTTTGGTTGTATTAAGAAAGTTCTCTTATTTCTATATTGTTTGATCTAACCGTTTTCAAGTTGTTTCAAATTTTTCAACTTAAATTGGTGCCGCTAGTTAGTGTGTGGTTAGTATTTTAATTCTTTAAAACTATCTAAAATGTTAGGAACTAAAATAAGTATGCAACATATAAAACAAAGGTTGACCTGTAAATGTATGTGTCACTTTTTTATATCACTCTCTCTTTTGAGCGCATATAACCCGATAAGGACAGACACCAGACACCAATCTCGTGATTGGGTCATTTGGCGAAAGTTCTCGATACCTCTGTCATTTAAACGTTTAAAGCACGCAAGTCTCTCTCTGACACAGTTTATCAATTGTCAGTTGTCCGAAAATTTTTGCGCGTCAAACAAGGACACTCAAAACTGTTGAGAAAATGCCGGTGCGGGTGGATCCGACGCTTCCACCGCCGGCTAATTCTAAACAACCAGGTATAACGAAATCGCTGTTATACAACGGTTCCAGATTCCAAGGTTTTCAAAAATCGAAAGGCAATTCGTACGAAGTTGAAGTGGTTTTGCAGGTTAGAATGATTTTGGTGGTCTCTATTTTCTTTGTTTTTGCCAATTTTGTTACGTTAATTTGGCATGTACTTCGTTAATAAACTCATATGTCGTGCTTTAAGTTGGTAATAAAAATAAAAATGGGGATGTGATTTAAATTACGGAAGGTTTGATTTAATAGCTTTAGCGAAAATGAATATAAAATTTGTTTGTGCGAAATATAAAGTGATTTGGGGGTTATTTTAGCACGTCGACGAAGAGAATTCATACCTATGTGGATACCTACAAATTAACGGCTTAACTGAAGAGTATCCTAAACTGACTACGTTTTTTGATGGAGAAATAATAAGTCAAAAATATCCTTTTCTAACGCGGAAATGGGATGCTGATGAGGAGGTTGACCGAAAACATTGGGTAAATATCCATGAACCTTAGAAGTATGTGTCTAAAATTGTGCATGTTTGTAGGGTAAATTTTCCTTATTCAGCGAGTATGTGAAAACATTCAACTCTGACAATTTTGATTACAAAATTTTGGCAGACACAGATTATGTATTTATGCGATGGAAAGAGCACTTTTTGGTACCTGATCATACCATTAAAGATATCAGTGGTGCCTCGTTTGCAGGATTCTACTACATTTGTTTCCAAAAGTCCAAGGCTACTATTGAAGGTTATTATTATCATCGTAGTTCTGAATGGTAAGTACATTTAAGCAATAGTAAATAAATTAGGGGTATGTACTATTAAAGGATAGTTGAAAGGTACTAGAGACTGAAATAAGTTAAAGGAAAATACATTAAATTACCTTTGCTTAGAGTTTACTTTGGAAATGTGTTAAGACAACGTTAAGAATAAGGGTTCTTTTACCTTTTAACCCCTTTTTTACTTTTCTAATGCTTTCATGGTAGATATCCTTAATTTAAATACAGAGTGTTTGATGTGTTCTCATGTTCATTTATTTTTGTAGGTACCAATCTCTTAACTTAACGCATGTGCCTGAAAATTCAATACAGATATATGAATTTAGGTAAAACAAGTGAACGCCAAATTTTATTTGCAACATCAATTTTATCATAACATTTTGCAATAATACTTTTTATATGAGATTTTTGTATCACTGTTGAGTTGCAGATTGTGACTTTTATTTAGAGTTTCTATAAATTTTACAACTTGTAAGGGTTGACTTGTAGGTGGTGTAGATCATTTGAATAGGCCTTCAAGTTTGATTCATGGAAATGAAAATATTGAAAGCTTTTACACTGTTTTAGGGAAATAAAGTAAAACTTGAACTGAAATACTTAGCATTTTGGTTTTTTTCTGCTTATTTATGAGTGGAGCATTTCTACTATGGGCACTCAAAAAAACTGCTCTAATACCTAAAGGAAAATGATGTAAACATTTGTTTTTAGCCCAGATCGCTGCCAAATGATATTGTCTTGACAAAACCTAGGCTGGTAATAAGTTCCCTACTTATTTTTAGATCTAATTGATAACAAACTTTTAATTCTTGGTAAATGTCATTCCTGTCAAGATAAGACATTAAAATGTTGTGTATGTACATTCAACTACACTCAGTCTTTTTTGACAGTAATATTGATTGTCTCTTTATACTCTACTCGCGATCTTGCATAATTGCAGTGACAACGTTACTTCTTTGGTTTGGTAATTCTTAAAAGCAGATTTTTTTTTTAAAATGATTTTTGTAATAGGAAAAAGAATTGGAGATGGGATGTGTTAACAGATTCTATTAAGAGAAAATGAATGTGTTAAAAGATATAAATAAATAATGAAAGTGACGGAATTGTTACTGGAGAGATTGTGACTGGTTATTTACAATGCGATACAAAAGTTTTGTTTACCAAAATATAAGATCTTTTGTGGCCATAACATCCAGGGACCTTACAACTTACTAACCAAAACTTGTTGAGATAAATTTTATTTAACACTTCAAATGTTTAATTACATGAAAAAATTGCATAAAATAGACCCCAGCTTAAACCCACTCTATTATGTTTCTTCGTGTTCTCTATGTTCGCTCTGGTGAAGTCCAAAACATAGATTGCTCAAAGCAAATTGGAAAAATTAGGAGAATTTGATAAATTCTCTTGTATGTACGTACTTTGTTGGTTACCTTGTACAGGCCATTGTTAAAATAATTATGCTTAGTTATATTCTGATTCTAAGTAAAAGTCCAAGTACATCAAATTAAAATTATCATGAAAGACTTTGATGGCTTTTTCAATTTAAACAGGTCTATTTTCGAACTGATTATCAAAATAGGTATTTTGTGTGCTTTAAATTTTTATTTTATTTTTTTGTTTCGCTGTAAGGAAATTTTAGGTCGGGATTATCCAACTTGGTGCTGTTTATTCACAATTGTATTTAAAGCTTTGTCTATTTACTTTTTTTTTAAGATGACTTTAATTGTAACAACATTTACAGTTGCATTTCTCTCAACTATTCTCGTCCATGATGGTAGATAGAAGTAAAGACAAAAATTTGCTGATATTTCCTGGTTTTTTATGACAATTCAGTAAGCTACTCGTTAAGTTCGGATGAAATTTTCAACTAAATAATCACATCTATGTGTCAATCGTTTTGAATAAGGTGCCTTTCAAACCATTTTTTCATAGAAAACTGCTGCAATTTAAAAAAAAATTGTTGAAAATGGAACCGGGTATTTTAAAATTATTTCTAAATTAAATTAATAATTAAAAATATCATGCTGGATAACCTCGGCCTTAGCCTATTTATTTGATGAAATGGTTATGTATATTTCTGTGTATAAAATATTTAAATATATTTTTTTGAATTGTTTTTACCAGTAAGTAATTGTGTTGATTTTGAGAAATTGTGAAATAAATTTTATGGATTTTAGTTTTTTGTAGTTGTGAGTTTTAATTTCAATTCCGGCAATATTAAAATTATTTTTTTTTTAAATGGTTAAGACGAAGTATTAAAATGGTATAGTTCGTTTTTAAACTGACCCAATGCGTTTTTGAATTGATCGCACGGCTTGAAGTTTGACGATTGTCAATTCTGACGTTAATAAACTCTTTCAGAAGGGCCAAAAATATTCAAACCCCTTCCGAAAAGTAAGAGCTCTGCTTCCACAGTGCGAACTTTCTCCGCGGCAGTTGTTAACCTAGCTGTAGAATGATTCAAGTCCTTTTTTTGTTCGTCTATTTAAAATGTTTTTTTCCAAAAACAAAAATACATATGCATGCTTAACGAATCTTTAATTTAGAACTTATGATATTTAAAAAAATTCTCTTTGTGAATCGGTCAGGTTAAAAATTTAAACGAATTTTATTTTATCCTGTTTTTGCTCTCGATATCTTGGATAATTGGGACAAAAGTTCTGAGAGATGATTGTAATTCACATATTATGTTTTTTGCCGTTTTTTATGTAGAGTATTCCACTCGTCCCTTGCATCTTGCTTTACTGAAACTTGAGTTTGCCACTATAACAGGTTGGAATTAGCGGAATGCCGTTCTCTGTGTCGAACCGAAAGTCTTATCGGAACCCACCCCGGGTTATAAATTTAGGGTAACGTGTCTGACAATTTATTTTGGGGTTACAATACAAAATGGTTCATGAAAATTTATTAACTAAAAACAAAATGATTTTCTTTCGAATTTACGTTAAAGTTTGCTTATGAACGCATGGCCGAACCGCCTGAAATTGGACCTGTAATATTTAAAATGTTTCGACTTATCTGGCCGGTTGGCCCGGTCGGTAATACAGAATCAATTCTTATCGACCCGCCTGAAGTAACTCAAACGCACTTGTACGGATACAGTGTTTGATGTTGGCTTTATCATTCCCTCTGTATTCGTATCTGGACACCTTGTATAATGCATTAGATTTAATAGAAACACAATTTGACTCCTCATGTCAGTGCACATAATTAGAATACCATACAATTCCATCGGAAACAATGAAAACTATCTCTTTTTTTTTTGCAATACTATATTTTTCCACATAATTATAAGTTCACTTTACACTTGAAATATTTACAGCTAAATAATGAAGTTACATGATAAGAAATTATACTGAACTGTCATATTACTTAAAAATTACATAAAAATCCTAAATTTATTTTCATACTTTATTTAACTGGAACTAAAACGTTCCTAATCAAGGATTTTCTAGATATTTTTTCACCATATGTTTTTTAAAGAGATTTAATCGATTTGTTAAATACACAGTGTTTGTTTTCATATACATATCTGCTAACATTCATTCCTTCGTGGTCACTGACTTAATTTCTTTTGTAAAAATTGAATGGTACTTTTTTCTATTATGATTTATCCAACTATGAAATTCATTGTTAATACTAAAATTGAAATTCACTGGTATTTAAAAAATCTAAATTGTAGTAAGCTAATAAAAACAGGTTAAATTGAATTACAATTAAAAAATATCACAGAATTTATATAAGCAATATAAAAAAGTAAATAAACCTAACTTACAGCTAAAAGTTATTTTTTCAATACATGTATTTTCAGCCTAAACATTTTGCCAATAAAAATGTATCACAAAAATAGTGTTGCTTTTCCAAAGGCAGTGTGCATTTGAAATCAAAACAATGGCCAATGAGCTGACGGATCAATTTATTCTTGGTTTGGTAAAACATAAAATTCTGATACTGTTAATAAAATAAAGATCTGATAAGAAACAGTGCGCGCCATCCAAAATATTGCCTAGCAGGTGTAATATTTGCTTGAACAATCTCATCAGCTCTATAAAAGAGAAACGGCCAGTTAATACATTATTTTTCAACCCATATATTCCTTCACTGAGATCTAAGGTACTAGGATGCGCCTCTAATCCGAACCTTTCGTGATTGCACTATGGCCTTTTTTCTTTTGTGTACCTAACTAAAATTAAATAAAACAACTAAATTAAAGATAATGGTCGGTTTATTACACAAGGCAACCGACAATTTCGATCTTTATCTGAGGAAGCAGACCTGTAACTCCTGGTTTCTTCATATCACAAATTATATAAAAACATGATTAAAACATCGATTTTTTACATTATTTATTTTATCCAGGGTACTTGATAAATTTCAAAAATTAAGACGCGAACATAACTAGCGGTACAGCGACTGCTCGTCTGGGCAGCTAGTTCCTACTTGTACAGATGCTTCTATACAGGACATTGTAATTTTTATTATTGCTGATAAGCTCCAGCACTCTGCCTAGCAAAGACAAGCTGCCGCTACCTAAGATCAGATTTTAAAAAAAATGTAGTGTTGGTAAACCACGCGTCAATTTTTGATGTATTATAAAATGTGCTTTAAATATTTTTACAGCTATATGGTCAACGGTATGGTATGGTCACTGTACAATATAAAAATAACACTAGAGTTAGCTATATTTTATCACAATTTTATAAATATTTGAGTATAGTTTACGTAGTATAAAATATTGTTGAGGCAGGGTTATCTTATAAATAAAATTTGCAAAATAGATTATATAATAGTTAATGGAGAAGAAATGAACTGGCGCGAATCATTCCAAGACTCCCGTAAAATTTACTAAAACGCTAACAGACGTAGCAACCACACATCTTGAAAATCGACAAACAAAAAACCAAAATGATACCTAGGAAACTGGGTTTCAGATAATTGGAGGCGTTCTCCTCCAGCTTGGTGTACGGCAGTTTCTGATTCAAGTCATTTCCTTCGTAATTCTTGGAGCAGCCCATCCAAAATGGCGCCGATAACTTTTGATCTATGTGTTCTACGCGCATATGCAGGTCGTTGAATTTCCAAAAACCCTTGCCTTTGAAAAAGTAAGTTCTCCCTGCGAAAATAATAAGAACGGCAAAATTTTATCTTTGAGAATGAATGTTGTTGGATGTTGAAATGGATACAAAAATAAATTTTGATAAAAACCTGTTAAGGATAGTTCCAAAATTAAAACTTTTTACACCATTATAACGATATAATAGAATATATGTATAATATATCATAACGATATAGTATTTCCAGAAACATCTAAATGAAAGGCTATTTGAATGAATACACCTTAGCATGGGTGTTACGCAGGTAAATACTTTTATACTACTTCTCGCTCTTCTTTGCGTTGTTGTTTTATATGAATCAAGAAAATGAAAAATAAACAACGAGAAACGTTCGCAGAAATAAACCAGTAAATCAAAATACAATCTCGATTTGCGAAGGGAAAGATGTGAGGCCGTTTAAGATTACTTTATAAATTAATCTTCTCAATCAATTTCGGATTTTGTTAGGGACTTTCTTTATGACGCTTCGAGGAACTGTCCACAGAATTTTAAAAAAATTCATTAAAAAAAGGCGAATTATTAAATTTCAAGAACGACTTGCCCAATTCTTTTTATTAGGCCACTATTGGCAACAATATGGGTCACCCTAAACATTTAATCATTCTGCTTTTTTATAATGATTTTGGATTCTACAGAAATGGATAATTTATATTATTCCAAATAATATTAAGAAAGTCAAAAAGCAGGGGGAATGCTCAATGTTATTTGAGAACATTTGCGAGCGAAAAGTCCTATAGTCAAATTAGATCAAAATGCGATTCGAGGAATCCCAATAAAAATATATAAAAAAATATTAATAAATAAATATAAATTTTATTTTAGTTTTAAGATTATTTCGGTCAATTGACACAAAAAAATTTGACAAGTCAATTCCATAACGTCTTGCAATGTTGCCACTTAGTCAAGTGGTAACGTAATTTATGTTGTGAAATTTTTATGAAATAGTTTTTCGACGACTACGATGAAATGTGTCTAAAACCTCTGTCAAAACAAGATCTGAAAATGAGTGTCGGCTATGACATTTTCTTACAATTCATCAATATGGTTAGATTGGTTGGTTTGGATAGGACACTGACAACAAACGTTTTCGCAATTGTTGGAGAAGAGAGCAAAATAGCCATAAAATGTTTGAATGTATTGATTCTTCAATGAACTTGAAAAAGTTTATGCTGAAATGTGAGACATTTAGGTTAATTAAACATTCTATGCGACTTACCATCCTGCCACTGGAAAACGGCATCAATATTAGTCCCAACGCCCTTCCACATTTTCATATTTCTCGGATAGTCCAATTCAACTTTCTGTACGTCTTCATCGAATCTACGATGAATAAATAAATACATATATAAAAACTCGTATCGAATCTTAATGGCGATTTCTTTGCATACCTCCAATACATATCTCCACTGTAGAAGTAAGTTTTTCCATTGTGGCCCCATACCATGGCGCCGTCGATTTTTTTCAACGTTCGAGGAAGACCTAAATCGACTATGGGTCTCGGGTAGCCCGCTTCCACCTTGACGCCCGAAAATAAGTAGTAAAGATCGTCGACGAAAAAAACGATAAGTCCGTCGGGACGTTCGTAGACGGCATCAACGTGGGTGAAATTCGACGGGAATCCCCGCCACAGGCGCGTTATTTCTGCTGGGTAAGTGTTGGACACTCCGTTGTCGCCTATTCTCCAGAAATACTGCAAAATGATTGATATGACAATAGTTATTGTCTCGCAAAACGAAGACTATTTAAGTAATAATTAAAAGTCGTCATAAAAAAAGTATAACAGTCACGAGTTCTACTTCTACCAGGCGAACGAGTGACTGAAGAATTTTATCAACTTGTAATACTATACTTTTTCTACAATTAGTTTTTGGGGCAATTTTTTGAAATTTGGTTTGGTATAAGACGCGAGAATCTCTTTTTTTAGAAAATAAAAAAAACACATTGTTGTTAACTCCTCTATAACCTAGTTATCGGAATCATCTTGAGGTTAAAATAAAAATTTAAGGCAAAATTAACAAAGGGTGTAATTTCTATCACAAGGGTCAAAGAGAAATGCGACATTTTTATATAAATATCTTGAGAAAAACAAGTACATTCTGAGCAAAACAAAACAAAATAAAAATGATGTTGTTTTAAAGTTATAACAATGTGAACAATTAAAACTATTTTGGCTGTTGACTTTTTTGTGGTCCTTTGCCGTTGAATGATGAATGTAGTTGTATATAGTTGTAACATTGAAAATATCCAAGTATGATAACAAAGAAATCCCTGACCAACAACCAGCAAGACGAGCGAACGCCATAAATCTGTAGTTTAAAGTTCGTTTATTATAAATAAAAGTATTATAACCACAAGCACATTAAATTGAAACATATCTTAACAAATCTTAACTTTTTCGGTCAACGAATAATTAAAAACTTAACCCAGTGGCAGATGCTATTTTACTTTTTGGTGGGAAAAAAGAGCGATTTCGAGAGACAATAGGTTTATTTCATTCTGTGAAGGAAGTATCGACTATACCAGATAATCCAATTTATACTATCCGAGATACGACAGATATGGGTAAAGTTGTTAATTTCCGTGTTTAATAATATATTGCTTAGAAACTTGTAAAATTCATGGTAGCAGCGTGGGAACGATTCGTTTTCTATTATAAAAAAATGTTGGTAATTTCAGGAACGCATAATATGATACAAATTTTTAGGTTTAAAAAAATAATTGGTGCTTTTGTCCCTTTTTTGACTAGTTTGTTCCAAAAACATTGGTTATAGGCTTTAAGATCCCAATGGTATAGAACAGTGTAGGTCAAACTAGAATTACTCCGAATACTTTATTTTGTTTTTAAATTGGGAAAGAGGTTTTCCAGATGCACTTTGCACAGGAAGCCGAACCAAAACGCTAAAAAAATCGGCTTAAATCGTTAGAACTGAAAATTTATTTCGTTAAAAATTATTACTACACATTATGGATAATTTATATAATGCTTCTAATATTTGTGAGCTCGACGGCTTTCTTAGAACCAGTGCCTTTTCACGATGGGGGTCGAATATTCTAGTCGCCTTCTCGAAGGGCGATATTTTTGATCACGCTTCGATTCGCGGTACCCGAGTTGCTTGGAACATAAACAAGGCCGGGTTCAGCCCATTAGCTTCGTTCACCACAATATTTTTGCAATCAGTATAGAATAGAAATGGTATTTTGGGAGGTTTTTAGCTTTTGTTTGGCTTCCCGTGCAAAGGCTATACGCAGTATAATGTGTAAAGCATAAATAAAATATAAACTTAATGTGACTTACTCTATCTTTAAAGACAAACATCTCCCTTCTGATCATCGCGACGGCATCGTAACTGGTATCGCAGGTGTCTGGGGGTTGATCTCTCTTTGGCGTTTCTTTAGAAGGAGATGTGGTCACCTCGGGACGTCGTTCGGGTACGGTGGGGTTGTTTTTCGTTGTTGGCCGTACTGGTTTCGCGGTTGTTGTGTAAGGGTAAGGTCGCCCTGTGTCACATATAAATAATCTTTATGAAGCATCGTTGATGTCCAACTGTCATTAATTTAATTATCTTCCGCAGTAAAGAAAATTTTACACGCCTTTTGAGCACCGAATGACCATTAGTAAATAACATATTAATTAATATATATATGAAGTAGACAGAGAATTGTTAGTCTTTTCTTTCACTCGTAACTTTGAAAAAACTTCTCTAGTAACTTGATATTTTATTTTTTAATTGTATTTATATATATTTAAAAACAAGTCTGAACGTATGGATGTATTCAATCTTAGAACTTGAATATCCTGTAATACCGATAATATTCTACCGGAATCAGAAAAGGACAAAATGGTCGCTGATGTAGTGATTCTAGAACCTGTCGTCTTACCTGGATGTTTATGGTGCGGGTATCTTCCGTGAGGGTAGTTATGTTTAGGATAATGTGGTTTCTTTTCGGGACGCATTGGGGTTTTGTTATACGGATTCTTATTGGGCTTGTAGGGCGAGTGCGGGTAATGAGGTCTTCCGTAAGGGTAACGAGGATCGTATGGAGCTCGAGTTGGGTAAAATCGTGAGGGAGTTCTTGCAGTTGTCGTGGTGGTGGTGGTGGTGGTGGTGGTTGTGGTTGATGCGGTGACTGGAGGTCGGTATTGAGGTATTCGGTCCCACTGCCTCTCTCTGGCGCCTGAAAAATGAGTAATTGCTAAAGGCAGTGCTCCTATTCCAGACGGTTAAGTAAATAAAAAGTTCAGCAAGTGATTATGTTTTGCGTTTGAACTTTCGACCACTCACCGTAGAGATACTGAATGGCAAGCCTATCATCCTCCGGTAGTTCGTAATCCAATCCGTCCTTCATCTCCTTATACCAAGGGTACATCAAGGCATCTTGCTCGGTAGAATGCGAAAGCCCTAATGAATGACCTATCTCGTGGGCTGCTACGTTGAATAGATTGGTGCCTGTGACAAATTTGCATCGTTATCATAACGAATTTGAATGTTTAAAGTATCGTTGTAATGTGACGTCAATGTTCCCGCCTCCCAGTAGGCTAATTAAATTTATGGAACTGCATGTGGGACTTTAGATAAAATTCTGAGAGAATGTTTCTCTCTGCCGCTCTTGATTGCTTGAAAATGTAATTAATATTAATCGTTTTCAATTTTTCAGTTTTATTTATTTTAAATGTACATTTTGCTGTTATCAATGTTGTGCTTGTAGTATACTGTTTTACGGCAGCACTTTGATTTTAAAGAATTTGCTTAGGAATAGGAATATGCCATGATCCACGCATACAAGCCATTTCTAGATATTATCAGAAAGTTAGGCGGGGCAGAAAATGGAGCACGATTACTCTTTCATGGCTTGCCTAGCCACGTAGTTGGACGGGTGCTTTGGAAGCTAAGAAATATTGTAAGTAAATTTACTGGTCTATTTTTAAAACTGTATTTTAAACAGTTTAAAAAAAATACTCATTTTGTTTTCAAAAACCTTAAGAGAATGTTGAGTAGAATTCGTAGAATATGTAGTAAAATATCATAAGTACATTATCATCTGTTATGGCCATCTAAGACATTTGAAGGAAAGTACCCTTTCATCGGTATCCAAATCTTGTAATAAGATACTTATAGTGAGTCACCATACATTGAAATGTAACAATGATAACTCTAAAGATACCCACCAAAATTAAAGATTAAAATCAGAGGTAAAGATGCACCACACTGTTTCATATCGAGCGCGAATAAATCTCCGTCGTTAACACGACACTATCAAATTCGTAGTTGAAAATATCTCTTGCGAGATCGGAAAATTTAATCGCGCAGAGTCGACATTGTCAATATTAACCAAAAACCCGCGGATTCCGAAAATTAAATCACACGTGAAAATTATAATTTACCCCCGTTGGCCGAAAGGATACTCTAAAAAATGAATCGGAATATCCGGCGTGTTTGACCATATCTACTGCATGACGCCATCGAATTTTGCATTATAAATATAACCGGTCGCATTTTCTAATTTTAAATTGCGTTTTGCTAGATCGTTTGGCGACACTACCTCCTAATTACGCGTTTGAAATTTGCGCAATCGCTGGACGGATAGATGGCAGCACTCGTCAACCTGATGCTAAGCAAATTTTACAATAGGAAAAACCGGTTATTATGGAATGGAATGTTTAATTATATAAATTACTATATTTTTCTCGATATAAACTGGAATTGCAGCTTTGAAAGGAATATGAAGCAAATCTTACAACAGAAAAAGACGGTATCAGAACTAACCTATCTTAATATTAAAGTCAAATGTTGACAAATTGGATAAATGGTTTCTTGCGATTACGGCGTCATGTAAAAAAACTGTGGTCAAAACCTGACGCTTTTCGGACACGGAATGCGAATCTCAATAAAAAATGGATGTTTCCGTTTAATATTTCAAAGTTGCCCCCTCTACAAGCAGTCGTGACGGGAGGTCATGTTTGGTCTTATTAAACATTTTTTATTCAATATTCAAGAGTATCTTAAGGACAACTGGTATATAAATTACTTTATTTATTTATTATTATTTACTTTATTTATTATTATTTTGTAATCAAACAATATTTTCCTTAAATATTTGTAAAAAAAGAAAATTACAATAATCTAGGTTGATACCTATACCTAGAAATTAATAGAAAATATTTAAGTCGTTTCTAAAGCTTTAAAAAAATATTGGTTTGAAAATAGCAATACATATTCTACCGCTACGTTATTACAAAAAAAAGGTTGAAATACAAAGTATATTTATCTAAATATGAGGGCAGCGGCAAAATTTACCGGTCTGAATATGGAAGAAACAAAGTAGAGTAACAATTTTTTATTATTTTTCAAAATAATCCCTCTTAACTTCAATACAACTCAATTCCTCTAAAAAAATATTCTTTTGGTTTGTCTGCAAAATGAGCTAAAACAGCCTCTTTTAACTCAACTTCGTCGTTAAACCGCCGTCCACGTAAGTCCTTTTTCAAATATCCAAATATCGAAACAAATAATAGTCGCTGGGGGCCATATAGCTATAGGGAGTATGTTGGAACCTACACTCTAAAATGGCAGCGTGTGCAACACAAGCAGTGTGGACAGATGCATTATCGTGCAAAAGACGCACGCCTCTGGTCAGTTTTCCTCGACGTTTTACACGTATGCAGTCCCGCAATTTATGTAATAATGTTGCGCAAATCTATATTGGCACCAGAAAGCAAAAATAGTAGTGAACGGAGAGATGTCGGATGAGGTTCGAATCATGCGTGGTGTGAGACAGGGCTGCGTGCTGTCGCCTCTGTTATTTAACCTGTACTCCGAAAGCATTTTTGAAGAAGCATTATACGAGAAACACCAAAGTATTATTCTCAACGGTACAGTTATAAATAACTTCAGATACGCGGACGATACTGTGCTTCTCGCGAGTACGCTGGAGGACCTGCAGGAACTTTTGAACTGCGTGGCAGACAGAAGTAGGGAGATGGGACTCAAGCTGAACATCAAAAAGACTAAATGGCTAGTAGTAAGCAAACATAGAGATGTGTGGGGTGATTTGGAGTACGACGGAAAACCCATAGAACGCGTCCAACACTACAAATATTTAGGCTGCATACTTAACGCAGAGTGGGACAACACACAAGAGATAAGATCCCGAATAGAGCAAGCCCGGGGCGCCTTCGTTAAAATGAAGGCCGTGTTATGCAGCCGCGATATCGATTTAGCTTTGAGGATTCGCATTCTCAAATGCTATGTCTTTAGTGTGCTCATGTATGGGGCCGAATCGTGGACGCTGACCGAAACCATGTGCAGAAGACTGGAGGCTTTCGAAATGTGGACATACAGACGCAGAGTCCGAAATATAGACATATTAAATCAACTAAACAAACAAACAGAAGTCATACACACTATCAAAAAGAGAAAACTAGAATATTTCGGACATATTCTACGCAACACAAAGTACCAAATACTCCAACTCATTATGCAGGGCAAGATAGATGGTAGGAGAGGCCCAGGCCGTCGCAGAACTTCCTGGTTGAAGAATCTGCGGCAGTGATATGGTGTTAGCGCCAGGACACTTTTTAGAAGAGCGGTGGACAAACTCCAGATTGCGCTGATGATCGCCAACGTTCGATAGGACAAGGCACGCTAAGAAGAAGAAGAATATTTACCATTGACAGTGGTATTAGTTTCTTTAAAATCTATCAAAAGAATTCCTCACAATCCCAAAAGATCGCGACCATCACCTTTTTTGTTGACTGGCAGACTCTGAATTTTCTTGGAGGTGCTTCACCCTCTCCATTAATTTGTTTTTCATCTCCCGTCACAATAGTTTCTATCACAGGCTTCGGTTCCGACCCACAGAGTTCCAAAAAAGACCGCGCACAGTTGACACGGCGTTGTTTTTGAATAGCCGAAAGGTTTTTAGGAACCCATCTTGCACTAACCTTACGCATACCTAAATGATTATGCAGGATTCGACGAACACTTGTATCAGAAAGCTTAGTAATTTCTGAGATTTCCTTGACCTTTAAACGTCGATCACTCAATACCACCTCTTCCACAATCTTTATGACTGACCGACCAGTTCTTGAACTTTCTTCAAACGACTCCTGCCCAATTCGAAAACGTTTTGCCCATTCTTTCACTACAGAATACGAAGGAGAACTTTGGCCGTACACACCTCCAGCCTTTTTTTAATAATTATAGGTGCTGACCCTTCTTTTGCCAAAAACTTTATGACTGCTCTATACTCAATTTGCGTTATTTGCGACATTTTTTCGGACACGTCTTGTTTAAAATGCTGTCAATAATAAAAAACTATTTAACGCAAGACTTCACTTTTTTTTTGCAGCCTACTAAGATATATATTTAAAAGTAGACAAAGTTTTATCGTGATACTGGAGCTGCATCTATGTCAGGAAGGGAAATTTTGGCGCTAACCTCGTGTATGCATTAAACCGATACTTTGGGTCTCTTGAACAACAATTTCGAATATCATCGTTAAAAATTTTTATCTTATAACTAAATCAATTTTCATTTTTGTTAATAAATTCTTTACTTATATACGTAATTTATTTACTTTCTTTTACCGGATACAGTACTGCAACCAAATGCAGCACGAGACGTTTATTTGTAGGTATTCTTCAAAGATAAAGGTTGTCGCCGTAAAAAATAATGAAAATATATCACAACCACTGAGTTCTATCCATTAGTATAAATGACAACAAAAAAGGAATATCTATTACCATCTTTTTAAATAACATTTACTTAGTAAAATCGATATTGGAACTTAGCATAAATGATTCAAAAATAAATACAATGGTTATAATAAACAACAGAAATTAATTACTCGGAAACAGATTTATATTTATCTACATGTGATTTCAGATGTAATTGTAAGTTTAGAATGCGAAAGCGAGGCAAATATAAAGGCTACAATTTTGAACTATTCCATTGAGATTAACGATTCGAGTGCCAAATGCAAAATCCCTGATAAAAGCATATTCGCGTGGAAGACGCGTATTTACACTTCCGCTTCCGTAATCGCTTCTGTTTCCGTTTCCGCCAAAATTTATTAATGATCGTTGCTTCTGCTTTTGATTCTCCTATGGCAGTTTTGTTATATCTACGGGAAAGCTAAAAAACGAGGCAAATCGTAATGTTGACAAAGTGGGTTTTGAAACCATACCGCCAATGGCGACAATGCAAATGTAGGTATTGTTAGGAGAAGAGATAAAAACAAGTCACTTTCATCAACAATTTCATAAATATTAGTGACACATAACACACACACAAAATTCAAATCAAACAACTGAGATGCTCCACCTAAATTACAAATTAAACTACGTAGAGATTCTAATTTTGAAAAGGTGAGTTATCTTTGTATCTTCTGTCTATACAACCCTACTTAGCTGTACCATTTTGGTTAGTTGTACTAAATTAATGACAATAATTACGTAAAGAAAAGAAAAATCATTTTGATATATATCATTTGGTCAGTTTTGGTCTCTCCGTGCATTTTCCAAAATAATTGCGTGTTTTCAAAATGTTTTTAACTTTTGTCTGACTTTTTCATTTCAGTTATAATCATCATCAAGTTTTAAATTAAATGAATTAATTTAGATTATTGAAATGAGGTGGCTTTTACTTGGTGAAAATACATTTAACAAAATAAATAAGAACTAAAAGTTCAGATTTGATGTGACATTTGATAAAGACGCGGTGTTGTCGAAACAATTGTCATGTCAAAATATATAATTTCGTGAAAATCTGAACTTTTAGTTCTTATTTATTTTGTTTAATTTAGATTATTACTTTTTAACCATGAAAATTACTTTTTTTAACTTCAATAAAACTAGGTTACCTTCTAGTATAGACTTCCAAAATGAGTTTGCAAAAAAATTCGCCACATACGACGGATAGTTAAATAACTGTAGTCATTTTCTAATAATGCCGAGCTTTATAATAATTAAGATTCAAATGATAATGATAATTATATTTGCTAAGGTCATATCCGATGTTAATCAATAATTGCCAACAAGTGACTACCAAGTGCTTAGATTATTTTTTGCAAAATGTCCATTAAGATCTATCTTCTTTATACACATTTGGGATGATCCACCCAGTATTTATGCTTTCGTGACTCACACTTTTGCGTTTCTGTTATATACATAACTCATCAGTTTTTCAACATCTTAAATAACGGCGTTTTTGGCACACAAATTCAATTCTATTGTGTTCCTAGGCAACTGAATGCTCCTTTGCTGTCTGAGAAGCAAACTAAAGTTTACCAGACTGTTCACCATGGCCTTCTTCGTTTCGAGCATTCTTTTTTGGCCTCTATCGCATATATACAGGCATACTTGCTGTGGGACAGACATTTGATTGACATTGAGGAGCATTTTAATTTGTAATGTTTTCAGTACATTTGCAATGATTACGTTCAATTTATCTGTAAAGATGGAATAAAAAGGAGTTATTTTCTGGAGGTGGCTGCCGAAAGTCGGTTAGATCAGCTTTTAGCTATCGGCTTATTCGGCCTCGACCAGGCTGTCGCTTGCAGAACGAAATTGATTTTTCAGTGACATAATTAAAAAATATACGAGGCGACTACGCCCTTGTTGTCGTACTTAATAATTAGCGTTGAATAAACACGCCGGTTTTCCAGTGGCGTCGCGAATATTTTTTCGCTCAATTTCCGAAAAACACATTTCCAACATTATAATTGTTTAATCTCGTTAAATCATGAAGAGCATGCTTTGTTTCCGTGAATAAAGTCTTTGCATAGTCTCTATTATAGTGGTAAGTGGTTGCAAGACCGTTATAAATACCGTTTGCAAAATTCTTGGGTTAATTTTCACAAATCTAATAACTGTAACAAGTAAAAATTTGAAATACTTGGCGCTACTTAGTTTTGACACTCTGGAAGAACTGATGACTTTAAAAGAGAGCAGGCAAAGTATCTACATACGAGGGCAGCGCCAAAATTTCCCGGCCTGAACATGAAAGAAACAATGTGGAGTAACAATTTTTTTAATTTTTTTCAATATACTCCCCCTTAACTTCAATACACTTATTACATTCCTTTATTAACAACTCAATCCCTTTAAAAAAATATTCATTTGGTTTGTCTGCAAAATGAGCTAGAACAGCCTCTTTTAACTCAACTTCGTCGTTAAGCCGTCATTCACGTAAGTCTTTTTTCAAATATCCAAACAAATATTAGTCGCTGGGGGCCATATCTGGACTACAGGGAGGATAATCTATCTGTTGGAACCCACACTCAAGATGGCAGCTTGTGCAACACCAGCAGTATGGACAGATGCATTATCGTGCAAAAGACCCACGCCTCTGGTCAGTTTTCCTCGACGTTTTACACGTATGCAGTCTCGCAATTTATGTAATAATGTTGCGTAATATTTACCATTGACAGTGGTATTAGTTTCTTTAAAATCTATCAAAAGAATTCCTTCACAATCCCAAAAGATCGCGGCCATCACCTTTTTTGTTGACTGGCAGACTCTGATTTTTCTTGGAGGTGCTTTACCCTTACGACGTCACTCCATTGATTCTTTTTTCGATAGAGGGTCATAATAGAGAACCATAGTCTCATCTGCCGTCACAATAGTTTCTATCACAGGCTTCGGTTCCGACCCACAGAAGTCCAAAAAAGACCGCGCACACTCGACACGACGTTGTTTTTGAATAGCCGAAAGGTTTTTAGGAACCCATCTTGCACTAACCTTATGCATATCTAAGTGATCATGCAGGATTCGACGAACACTTGTATCAGAAAGCTTAGTAATTTCTGAGATTTCCTTGACCTTTAAACGTCAAACCACTCCATACCACCCCTTCCACAATCGCAACAATATCTTCCGTTATGATCTCCACTGGTCGACCGGTTCTTGAATCATCTTCATTCGAAAACGTTTTGCCCATTCTTTAACTATAGAATACCAAGGAGCACTTTTCCCGTACACACCATCCAGCCTTTCTTGCCTTGTTTAAAATGCTGTCAATAAAAAACTATTTAACGAAACACTTCATTTTTTTTGCACCCTACTAAGATATATATTTAAAAGAAGAGTTTTATCGTGATTCTCTAGCTGCATCTATGTCAGGGCTGGAAATTTTTTCTCTAACCTCGTATTTCGTAGCTGTATGACTTTTTCTTGCACTACAAATAGGGAAGGGGAAATAGCATTCGGCTTCAAATATGTTTGAGTACTTAAGGATTTCGAAAGGGTTTAGATGTAGGAGCTATGAGTTATTTGCTTTCTATTTTCAAAATTGAAAAGTATTTGGTACAAATTATAGAACAACAGAATACAGCCCAAATTGTGATAACCATGCTGTAAAAATAACAAAAAACTCATTAAGAAACATGGAAGTGAGCACGCGTATACGATATTGATTAATTTATCTTTATCTCGTTTTGGTTTTAGAAAAGGGGTTCTCTTCCTGTTATCCTATTATCTATCCTACAACTATCTTATTTATTTTTGGAGATTCACTTTAAACGACTTCAGAACTTGAATAAGAATTATTACTACGATAAAGAAACATTTCCATCATTCTAGAATTTTCTTTATCTCACACCCAACCCGCATATTTTGCAGTCAATTTTTTATTGCACCAGTGGAAAAAAATTTAATACCGGTGCAGTTCCGGAAGTTTGTCGAAGGTCAACTTGCTTACCCTGTTCGCTGCTTCCGGACGTCGTCCAACTCTCGTCGGCGTCGAAATGGACGTCGACGCTAGCTCTCTGTCCGGTCGGGAAGAACGCGTGGGCCAGGATGACTCCCTTCCCGTCGAACGGGAAGTTGTCGCCATGATCCCTTCTGAAAATTTGATTCGAAACGTTTCAAATAATCTACTAAGCCGAGGATTATAGAAAAATACATATTCCTTTAAACTAGATTATTTACGCTATATGGCGCGGAATATTGTGGTCAAAATATAAAGTTTTTAAAGAGTTTTAGTTTTCGGATGTCCTATCACGCCAATTCTTTTTCGTATTAAATATAAAACCATTAAAAAATCACATAAACTTTAGTTTTTAATTGTTACTGGTTTATAAAGTCTGTTGATGTATATTTTTCAAAACAGTAGATTGATAGTCCTTACTTGCAAAATTTTTTAGGTCGTCAATCACTTTCAAAGCCCCTCTATACGAAGTAATATTGTTTTTCTATTCCCGTCTGTAAAATGCCTAATTGTACACCGAGCAAGAGTGCGGGAAGCGTCACTTTACCACGCCAGTTTCGTTTCCCATGAAACCCACTCACTTCGGACATTTCCGGGATTTTACCGCACGGATTTTGGAGCAATCGGACGTTTTCGGAGATATTTCCCACGCTTTAAATTTTGACGTTTGTCAATTCTGACAGTCATGTCAGTGAATGTATTCGTGTTGTTTTTGAAAATGTACGCAAAAACTAATGATCGTAGAAAAAGTATAGTATGCAACACATTCGGTAAACTTTTTAACTCACTCATTTATTAAAAACTCGTGAGTCAAATGCCGTTTACCACACTTGTTGCATAAGATACTATTCCCCTTTCAACGTCACTCTCGGGATCGGCGTCTTTTTCTAATAAAGGATCGCTCTCAATGGACATTTTGCATTTTATCCTCAATGCTCTTCCGTTCCCAAATTGGTTAATTCGAATCTTTAAAATATTCGTGCATTATGTTTATTTTGTATCGTTACGGACGAAACTTCATTCCAGACAATTCTAATGGAGTAAAGAACGTTCAAAATATTTATGCAGAGGAAAACTATTTACAATTCTTCACGCTGCTAACGTTTCGCCAATCATCCTATTGGCTTCTTCAAAGATTAACTGAAAGTCTGTACCTGCTCACATACCGTTTGAGTGAACCAAGCTAAAGGAGGGACACGACATTCTCTCATATGACTGATTTCCATATTGGAGGTAAAGACCTGAATCGTGGTTAAGAGTGTTTGGATGTTTAGAGATTTTTTTTATGGTTTCTTAAATTTTTCCTTAACAGAAGAATTAATTTCATGTAACAATTTCAGTTTGGTTTCATGGTTGTTTTCTGCGACTGCCGATGGGTGTATTTGTCGTGTTTTATTACAATTGATATTTTTTGCCTTGGCCTCTTGCCCTCTCCAAGGCTTAACCGAAACCGGTTTATTAGATGGCTGATCCCCTTATTGGTGATAGGTAAATAATTACATAAAATAATTGTTTAGAGGTTTCTATGGATTCTCGGATGTTTATTTGGAGAAAAATTGATTACATCCAAGAATTTTAGTTTGGTCGAATAAGATTTTGTGTCCGGTTTTATGATTATTGACTTTATTTGTCGTTGTCTTAATGCTCCTTCATATTTATATTGATATTGTTGCTCGAAACGGAATTTTATCTTTGACGGATCGAAGATGTTGATATATGTTCAGTGATGTTTTGATTGTAAGGAAGAATCACAGTGGCAAGTGTGTAGTTGTTTTCGGATTCATTTTCTTTTTAAGAGTGTGGTGAGGACCAATTTGTGATGCAAGGCTGTAATATGGGAATTCTTAGAGAGAAGAGCAGATGTTTTATAATGCTGACTTTAGATTTTCTTCCTGGTCATTTCATAAATGTTCTTAAGTATCAAATACTGCCGGGTGTACTGAGGGAGCTCGACCTGTTCAACCGATGGAGTTTTTCGAGAAGTTTGGTTAGAATCGAGATCCCCTACATTTCCTCTAATGAAATGGGCTGTATTGACTTGGAGAAGGGGCGGCATCTCCAGCTCCGCCAAAGTAAACGGCGGCGGAATGAGTCATTCTCAGAATAAATTAATTTTTTAAATACGGTTTTTGCATATTGTTTTCCGAACTTTTGTCCTTTGCACCGCATCCGCCAAGTATTTTTGCATCTTGGTTTACCAACAAATACAAATCAAATCGCGGTAAGAACCGCGTCGCATTGCGGCGGGCAGCGCATTCGTAATAATTCCGCGTCTAATGGCAGAATAATTCGCGGGCATAGACAAGATAAATTTCGGCAACCGATTCCGGTCGCTGCTGCATATCCCGGTGATCCCAAGGACTTCACGTTCCAGAGATTGTAGCCGGCCGCGCCATTCTCATCTTCCGGTATTACGTGTACACGGTATTTGTCGACGGGACTCGATCCCAATTATCCCGACGAATTTGTCGGGATTTGGCGTCGCCCCCGTTTCCTGTTGGGAATTTCGATGGTTTTTCGGGAATCGAAACTACGCCAAATTCAAATTTTCCGCCGAGAAATTTTTAAGAATAACTTTGTATAGTATGTATAGTATAGTTCAGTAAAGACGTATTCATTGGAAAACGGATGTACATGACGAATGAAAATTAATATGCTTAAATCATAGCAAGTGGTACGATATCGATCTTCCTAAAATACTGAAAGATCGGAATTTATTTCAAGCGCTGATAAACTTCTAGTTCATTAAACTCCGCTCGCGCCCAAACAAACTCGCAACTGCAGGGGTGTTTATTAAACTTTACAGAAACAAATAACCTATATTTAAATTAAAAATTGAAAAATTAAAAAATAAATTTGCAATGCCTGGGATTAGTAAATAGGGTGACAATTTAAAGATAAATTCCGTATCTCAGTTTTTAAGACCTACACACCATAAATCGTTTTTAAGTTAGGGTAAGGTCTGTTCATAGATATAAGAAAGTGAACAATTGCTTTTGAATGGGATTATCCAAGGGGGGTCATTAACATACAATGCAACAAGATTATTACCTAAAGATTCGGAATTTAAATTCAGGCAAAATTGTGGTCCGTCATAGAAAATAATTTTATACCTACCCGTGTTTAATATTCTTTGGTTTGGTATACTACTTAGTTTAAGTTTATTAGTAATTATTTTTATTTCGTGTGTAATACAGCGTGTGTTGAATCGTGTGCGAATTATGCAAAATATGTGCGAGTCTAGTGCATCTCACGATATGCTCCCGCCCAAATGTAGAAAACAGTATTCTATTGAAACTAAGGAAGTTATGAACAATGTTTATTTGACTCTCATTGAACGTGGTGCCAGCAAGTAAGCATCTTTAGAAGAAACGGCCACATTGACGAAAATTCCAACATCAACTGTATGGAAAATTGTGAATAATCCCGTTTCAGCGAGGAAAAAAAGAAGCGATGCTGACATTTTCTGGAGTGTAGATAAAAGTGATCAAAATATAATACGGCGTAAAATTTACCAGTTATGCGAGGAACAAAGCGTGCCTACATAAGATATCTTAATTAGGAGGCTTGAAAAAGATGAAACCGGTGTTAAATGTGGCAGAACTACCTTATGGAAGTGTATTCAACACATGGGTTTTAGATTTACAAAAATTGACAAAATGCAAGTTTTAATGGAATCTTTTAGAATTCGGAAATGGCGACTGGAATATCTAGAAAAAAAATAGGATTTACAGAGAACAACAAAGGCCAATTATTCCTTCCAAAATTTCTCCCCTATTTGAAATCATAATTTAACTGTAATTTGTTTTACCACCTTGCTGCAAACTAGGACGTTACATTCACACGAAGGAATGTTGATCCATTTCTCAACAACCGCTACAACGAATTGCTGGAGGTATTCAGTGCGATGTAAATATGTTACATTTACATTCAGTGCTGTATTAATCTTAGTAATGCTGCACCGTTGGTTGCAGTGTATTCTCGGCGTATTACTATACCCTGCCAAGTGGTTACTTTTCTAAAAAGCTCCTTCATAAGTTAAATTTGAGTTATTACTTCTTGGCAGGAAATATAGCTTCACACTTATTTTAATTTTGTTTTGTTAATTCCAATATACATTTTTATTATTTGATTTTCCCGTTTTAATAACAAATTATATCTGATATTGGCATGTTAGAATTTTAATTTTAAATGCAGCTCCACTTTCCCATTATGATTATTTTTTTACTCCCTATTCTGAATTATTTAGTTATCAGGTGCGCAAACTCTCTTTTTTTTGGGTAGATTTAAAACGCTATGTCCTACATAAAATATGCATAATATACTATGGTATTGTACATACTTTTAAACCTTTCTTAAAAACAAATTAGAACCATTAAAATATTGTTCAAAGCAGCGGATTTGAACAATTCTCAACCCAAACACAATCAAGAGTTCGACATAAAATCGCCAATACTCGTAAAAGCTGGCTCGTCAATAATATCATATATAGGATTAATTTATTTCCCAATTATCTCAATGAAGGCCTTAATAAAACCTTCTATAAATTTTTCATGCGGCCATCACAAGGACCCTAAATGAACGAATGTGATATTTGACCCGAATCATTTGGTTTCGATATAAAAGTCAGTAGCGTATCATATAAGGGGAATATTTATTGTTTCCACATATTGCGTCAGGCCCATATTGTGTTGAACGTTACGCGTAAAAAAAATAAAATTTTGAAAAATAAAGCGCTTTTAAATGGCGATAAAGGAAGGTTCGAGGTGTACTATAAATTCTCCATTTTTATTCAAGCAATTTGAAAAGCGCACCTTTGAAAGTCCTAAACTGATAAAATTATATTTTTGAACCTTCATATTGAAACTGTATTAAAAATTGTGGATTGATGGATTTTACAAATGCGCAAGTGCTGGTCGGGATGTTTGGAATCCGCGAAAGCACAGCGGGACTTGACGGATTTGAATTTCCTAAATAACCACTTATAGAAATAATTACTATGCCCATCTTAATAATTATGGATTAATAAGGCTACCTTGATTTAGCATTAACCAATAATAGTATATTATGCAACAAGTGCGGTAAACGTCATTTGACTCACGAGTTTTTAATAAAAGTTTACCGAATGTGTCGC